TATGATACGAACTAAATAAGCATCACTAATACGTTATTTATGCAGTAAATTATTTCTCGCATTAATAACTCGACTATTGAAAGAAAAAGTAAATAAATTTCCACTCAAATGAAGAGTAATGAATTCCAGATCAGTAGAGAATTCATATAAAATAAAAAAATATGTGATTTATTATAAAATATTTTAATATAACGACTGAAGGAATTAGTTCAAAATCCAAATTTCAAAAATCCAAATCCAGAATTCAATAATTATTTAGTGATTTTGTGATTAAGTTTAAATTAAAGCCCACCGCTTTAATCCATTCATTTAATCATTTAATGCGTCTAATTTTTCAATTAAGTTGGGTTTAAATTTGTAGCAGAATTCTGAATGTCTGATCTGATTTATATTCCAATTAGAAAGCGCATTTGAAATGATTTACAACTAACTCTCAACAAATTTCGCTCTATTTTGCTTTCATTTAACTAAAAAAATTGAGCATATTTTTAGACAAAAAAAGTTTAAGAAACGTTTACTTTGAAGAAATATGATAGTTGAGTGGATATTTATTGAAAAAATTCTTTTTTTTATATTTCGTTCTCATTCAAAGTTCAATAAATGTGGATGAGAAATAATGAATTTATTTGTAAAAATTAGTATTTATTTTAATTCTTCCTATGCTTTACAAGTTATTTTAAAAATGATAATAATAAATAATAATAAAAATATAGTTTCATAAATTTACTTAAAAAATTTTATTTTACTTTTTTAAATTTAAATTTAAATTTTACAAATTCTTGTCTAAATTTTTATTTTGCAGCATTTGATTCTTATTTAAATTGATAAAAATTGGCTCATTAAAAATTTAGCATAGTTTCTTTAAAAGAAAAAAAATTTTCCGTTTTAAAAACATCATATTTTTTATCCTCTAACCACTCTAATTTGGCTAATTTTTGTTAAGTCGGAGTACTTCCAACAATTAATCATTTGAGGGTAGAAATACAGTTTAGTGATACTCGACTTCACCTATCCAGAAAAAATCTTATAAGGAATTATGAATAAATTTAGATGGTAACTTTTATTCGTTTGTTTGTTTATAAAATTTTTTCATATTAATCAGTATTTATTCTATTATTGTAGCGATTAATATAAAGTTTACAGTTGTTTACAATTTATCTTAGTAAGGTCGTTTAGCTTTAGTCTCTGTTGATTTTCTTGAGGTCGCGCTTTGACCGCGCTTATATATACATATATGTATATAATATAGTGTATTCTTGACCTGTGAGGATATTTTTTAATAATCCCTGGTAACTTACTTTAATATTGGCATTGCTCCTATTATTATTAATAAATTTCATTTGGCTGTGGTTTGTAACTGAATTGATTATAAATTGTTACTGAATGTAATTAATTTGAAATTAGCAACAAAAATTTATATTACATTTTGAGGTTTATTAAAAAAAAATTTTTATAGTTTCTCACTATTAGTGGTCTCTCCAGTGGCTTGTTGTACCATAAATAAATTTTTTCAAAGTGCTACTTGGCTTATCGAAATTTTAGAATTTTAAAGTGAAATTATAAATTACAAATATATTAGCAAAAATTTATGAAATCTTTTAGTCATTTTTATTAAGAAAAAATTCCTCTTTCTTACATAAATGAAATTTTATAATGATAATTTAAAAAATTATCATTATAAAACTATAAAATTGATTATTGCTCTTAAAAGAGATAATTTAATTTTAAAAAATCTATCATCAAAAATCTAATAAAAATTACTTTCCAGGTCAATTTTCTTTCTAAATACGCTCATTACTTCTGGTTATGCTCGCTTTGCTGATTTATCCAACCAGATAAATTTTGGTAGAAGGTCCTTGGAAATATAGTCACCAGTACCACTCGGATTTTTGAAAGACTGATTTAACGTGAGTCGAACCACAACATCGGTAGATCAAGTGAGCAATACAACTATTCAGTTAAAATTAATGAATTATAATGGCAAATTAATAATAATAATAAAAAATAGTAATAAAAATTGTATTGAGTTCGCAAATTTTCTTAGCGACTCGAATTTTTTATCTTCAGCGAGTTCCAATAAATCTTAGATTTTCTTTTTAGACTTGTACTTTTTCTTCTTCAATTCGTTATTAAGACTGCAAGTAAATTTTTGCCCTTTTTCCTTATTTACAATTAAATTATTTTTTTTTCATTAATTTTGCTTTTTTCTTTCATGTGATTCTCTTATAATATGAACATTAACAAAGGGATTTATTGAAGAGATTGCATAAGAATTTTTTGAGTGCAATCAGATTTGTCTCCTTAGCGAATTGTTTTGTCTTTAAATTTCATTATTTAATAGTTGTTATTCCTTTTTTAAAGCGTTGATGCTATTCTACTCCAAGCAAGGAGAAAGCAAAAAACTTTCAAAAAATATGGGTGATGAACATTTGTATTTCTGTGGCCAAGAATTCTCTGGAAAACTGCACTCAAAAGAATGTTATCCAAGCCAGCGAGATGAGTTTTATCATAAATGTATGTCTAAATAGCATTGATAAACAGAAATAAATTATTAAACTATGAGTGGAAATGAAATTGATTTAAGAAATTAAGTTATTCCTTTTGAAAACTCCACAATTATTATTTCTATTATTGTTATTATTATTATTGTTATTATTATTATTATTATTATTATTATTAAACTTTTAGTATTTAATTAGTGCCAACAAACTGGCCATTTGAAATTGCCAGTAATTTATTTATAATTTTTCATGATAAAAATAATTTATCATGATAAAAATCTAAAAGGATAATTTACTAGAGATTTATGTTTTTCAAGGCGAATTAATGTGATACGAGCCTGAAGAAGGTTGAATTCGAAATTCTCTCTATGCGAAATGAAGCTTAAAATTTTCAAGCTTAAAACTCCCAAGTAAGTTACAGGAAAATTTCTTAAAAATGGCGGAATGTGGTTCAAATTCTCCGAATGAATGTCTTTCTGAAAATTATCTTGAGTCACGCCTTCCTTTTATCATTCAATATATTTAAATTCTGAGAAGCACAGTTTATTCATTTTTTAAACAATTTTTAATAGTTTTAATAGAGTTTTTTCAAGAAAATTTGAAGTAATATTTTTTAATTTTTCAGAATTTTCCTAAAAAATTTTTATGAAATATTTCTAAATTTTGTCTAAAAGAAAAGTTTAAAAAGAAGAGAAAAGGAGAAATAATTATTATATTATCTTATTAGCTTTTATCAGCTATGGGGCCCGAAATTAGTTTTTTCTTAGAAAAAATTGTCCAAAAATTAATTTACTTGCTTTCCAACTTGATTATTTCTTAATTTGTTTTATTGAGATTTCTTTGGTACGATTAACCACAATTGATTTTAATTAAGCTAGCAATTAAATTTTTCGTAGAATACAAATTTGCTTTAATCTTACAAATTATCTAAAAATTTCGATCGAATTTATATTATAAAGGAATTTTATAAAGAAGTCATAAAAAAGGAAAGGGAATATTTAGATTTCATGGAATTATATAATTACAGCGCAACAGAATTCTTATAAATTGCTTGAAATTTAGCAATTGTTAAGCTATTCGAGACAATTAGATTCGTTGAAAATTTTAAGGAATTTTCTTAAAAGTATTGTCAGTGATTCTTTCTTTATTCAGCATTAAAAGTGAAGATTCACAATGCTCAAATCAAATATTTTACTTTTTTGTTGGATAATCGTTTTTATTGACATTATCAGTTATCAATATGAAAGACGTTTCTTTTTTTATAACATCAAAATTATATTAATCACTAATGAATCTACAAATATTCCAGTTTTATTTAAAGGATTATATATTTTCTTTTTATCCATTCGTTTTAAAAATTCAAAATCGAAAAATTTCTAGTGGAATTTCAGGTGAAAAATTTAATATCACCTGTCTGTCTTCAGATTCTACTTTGAACTATAAATTTTTAATATTTGCTTGACCTAAAACCCTTTTAAAAAAGTCGTTTTTAAAAAAATTTTGCATAATATTTGCGCGCTTTTGAGAATTCCGCCTAATTTATAGGTTTTAATTTATTTTTTCATTATAATAATGCATGGAATTTATTTCACATAAATTTTTAAATTTGTTTGGCTTTTTTTTGATGACAACGACATAAATAATTTTACATCAAATTATAAATAAATTTATGCTTTAAATTCGTTAAATTTTTTATTAATTCTATAATTGATTAAAAATTATGCTATAAATATTATAAAATAATAAATAAATATTTTATAGCAAAATTTTCATCTTTCATAATGGAGTCTCTTTTTTCCTTCTTTTTTGATCATTCATCTTTAAGATTTTCCATAAAGTGAAAAATTTTACATTTCCGATTAAAATAATTCTTAGCAAAAGAGTGTAAATTTCTGAAAAAAAAAAACTAAATTTTTCATAAAGGAAATTGAAATAGTGAAGCTTTTTTTCAAAAAAATTTATAAAAATTCTTATAAGCAGAAATCAATTACTAGGTTGAGGCATTAATCATTTGACCATTAAATCGAATTCTCATTTAAGTACTTTTTGGTTCCATTTGGTTACTCTTGATTACCTATATTTCGAAATCGATTCTGAATCGATCTGTGTTATTCTTTCGAAAAAATAATAAAACCAGTGCCAACGATAGGCCTTTATTTATATATAAATATACTACTCCGTTCTTGCTTTAGTCCATTTGTTAAATTTGCTGGAAATAATTTCGAATTGAAACATTTTATGCCATTTCATTCTCATTCAATATTGTAATTTCCACTTTTTTATTTTGATTTGCTCTGCTTTTTACTATGCCAAATAAAAATATATCAAGGAATGTGGTAATATGAACTTTTCTCATAGACTCACTTCAAGTCTTCGACCTAATTGGCAATCGTCATTCTTGGATTGGCTAGCTGAATTGACTATGAGGATGAGGTATTTAGACAAACCTGAAGGGTAGGAAAGCCGTTCGGAGATGCATAAAGCACTAGAATCGAATCCATGTTAGTTATCTTGAAAAATAATCAAAGAAACTCAACAGAAAACGGCTCCAAGACCAATTTTATCATTCATATCATTCGTAATCGACTGAATACTTATGGAAAGAAATATTTGTGAATGTATTTTAGGGATTAAATATTTGTTAAATATTATAAATTTATCCTGTTATTTAAAATATTTATTACAAAATATATAATGTTATGGTTACAAATATGTCATCGATATATGAAGTAAACGATGAGATAGTGAGAAGTCACGGTCATCTTAATATTGCCAAACTAAATTTTGGTATTAAAGAGATTGTAACTGCTGCTTTTTTGGTAAGTACCATTTAATTAGTTTATCTAATTCAATTCTAAAATGACTACACATTTCTTGATTTATCTCTATTGTTTAAAAATTAAAACGATTAATAAATAAATTCCACTAATTAATATTTATGCGTTACGCTAGAAAAGTATCAATTTAAGGCTTAATTTCGCATAATTCCTATTATTTGTTATCAATTTCTTTATAGATAATATTAATCCTGATGACCATTATTGGTAATGTATTGGTGATTTTATCAGTATGCGTTTATAAAAGAATGCGAACTTTTACGAATATCTTGCTTATTTCATTAGCAACCTCAGGTGTGTATGATCATTTTTTTGAAATTTTCATTCATTTTTTTAGTTTTATTCATTCACGTTTTGGGTTTAAGAATTGACCATTGAGAATTCTGCTCGATTAATCTAAAAATTTTAATTCTGGTTTATTATCGAATATGAAAACTTAGATAAATATATTCAATTCCAATTTCAGATTTGTTAGTAGGTTTAATTATTATGCCTCTTTCACTGATTGATTTACTTTATAACCATATTTGGCCATTAACTCGTATTATTTGTGCCATTTGGGCTACGACTGATGTTTTGTTATGCACGGCTTCGATCCTCAATTTATGCATTATTTCAATTGATCGATATATGGCTATAATTAGTCCATTGAAATATTCGAGGACAAGGTCTATCTCAACGTTTATTTTTCGTTTATTTTTATTGGTTGAACCATGAATGAAAAAAAATTTTTTAGAGACCGAAAACTGGCCACTGGTCTTGTAAGCACGGCTTGGATTCTTTCCGTAATTATATGCAGCCCACCGTGGTTCGTTCCGGGTTGGGGAATTTTTGCTGACTATAATATTACGAGTGATTCCAGTTCTTTATTTAATATAACAAATTTACCTCTATCATACGACACATTCGCTTGTGTTTATCCGGCATCTGTTCCTTATCGAATCTATAGCGCACTTGGCAGTTTTTTTATACCGCTCTTGGTTAGCGATTGTATTTATCTATTTTATCATCAGTTCTTATCAATTCATATCGCTAAATGATTATTTTTTAGGTAATGTTGTCAGTTTATTTTAAAATTTTTCGAGTGACATCAAAAAGAGAATCCTTAATACGAAAGACACAAGGAACAATTCGTTTTGCAGAAGGATTGAACGCTGCCAACAAAAACAGAATAACAAAGCAGTCTTCATCTTCTCTGCGGTAATCGTGAATTTTCTTAAGAAATAAATTTAAGCACTTTTTTTTGTGGAGTTGTTTTTATAATTTTGTTGATAAAATAGAGGTACAGTGTTGAATTCAATCGCTTTTACGATGTGATTTTCCTTCATGTGCCTTATTGTCCAGTAAGTTTGACCAAAATTCTGAAATGCATGATGACTGGCAAAGCGGTTATTGAGCCGAATATTACTTCATCCAGCATCATTTGATCCTTTCACTAATGTGTGAAATTATTATTAAATTTGACTAACAAAAATTTTAGTGCTCGAAAACTATTATCCGCTTTTTCACTCGAGGTTATAGAAATTACCAACGGCGATATCGATAATATGAATTTTGCTCCAAACACCGACAATATGCATGACGATGTATCTCGAACAACTTCCAATATGTCAAAGGATATTGACTCTTTTGATAGCCATGGAAAGACAAGGACAGTAAGTAAAATTTCGATAAATAATGAATTTTTGAATCATTTGAAGATAATTTTTGGCAAAAAACTATTGTAAAGCGTTGCAGTTTTGCATTTAATTATTGAACTTATGCAATATTATAAATTTAATAGTACATTTAGCTTTTGCAAACGCTATTCGTCACTAATGCTCTATTTTATTTAAATAGCTTTTAGTCTATAATTAAATATTTTTTAAATGAATTTAAAAAATCTTCTCGACAATGCCTATTTCTTATTGCTATTCTCGAGAATAAGGTTCGTAAAGATAAATTAAATTTACGATAAGAAGAATGGATGAATCGCAACAAATCTCTTTTTATTATCTGAAAAATATTAAATTTTTTTCGAAATAATTTCTTCTTTATTTGAATTATTATGATTTTTATAACCATCAAAAGAAGAAAAATTGAAATCTTCTTTCGCAAAAAAACAATTTCTTAGAAAACAGTTTCGAAATTCTAACGCGTACCATTAGTGGTTAGGTTAAACTCCGCTGACTACAATTCCAAAATTACCGTCTTTTGGTGAATAAATGAATCATTCGCAACGAAGATTCGCAAATTCGCTGAATATCTGCTTAATAAATTACAGCAAAAAAATTGAATTTGGATATTTTTTATTTCAATAAATTTTATTAGCATTTTTCTCATTTTTTTTCGTCCTGTTGGAGGATTTCTTCTTAGGAAGTTGCACCGAATTAATTTAGAAATATTTTATGAAAAGGTCCATTATTATTGTTTTATTATAATTATTATTTGATAATTATTTGATAAATAATAATAAATAAATATAAATAATATATATAACTGATAATATAAAATAATCATCATATCTTGATGAATGTATTATATCCTATTATTATTTATTGATGTTATTACTATGTCATTATTACTGTTAATATTATTACTGCTATCATTGCTATTATTATATTATTCATTATTATCAAGCCATGGTAATCCCTGTGGTTCTCTATGAATGTGAATATACATGGGCAAAGGAAAAAAGATAAGAAGATAAGAGTATTTATATTTATATTTTTGAACTTTGATGTTGTAAAGACTCCTGAGATTATCGTGGAGAAAAAACAAACCAATAGACCATTGAGCAAATTAAGCCAGAGTTTTCACTCGAAGCATAAATAATCGGGCTTATAGTACTTTTGGACACATTATGCGAAGGCCTCATCAGGCTGTTCATTATAAATGCGATGAGTATGCCGTCGAAAGATCAAGTTAGAGAGAGGTTATTTTGGAGATCATTGCTCCCTATGGGTAATCGGAAACAACTTGATGGCAGATAATCATTCGATCAATTATCACCAAAAATTACTACATTTTCGATTGGGCATATAATTTGCAATTTAATGAAAAAACACATGAAATGATTGAATGGTTGCATGGATAAATCGATATTTTAAAAAATCCTTGAAAATAGACATCAATTATATTAAAGTTTGGGTCTCCCAAGTTTATAATCATGCAAAAATGAAATTTAGAATTTTGATTAACAAATGGATTTTCTAAATATTATTTTAAGTTTATGAAGAATTATTAGACGAGTATTTTGTGGATAATAGGGATGTATTGTCCATGCCGATCCTTTGCATCGAAAGTCAAAAAGCACTTTACACAAGTTTACTAGCAAAATAGCATCAATTAAGACTTTAAATTGGAAGAAAAAGAAAAAATTTCTGAAATTTCAATCATTGATTTGCCATCACTTTTTCTTTTTTGCTTTATTAAAGAGATATATATATATCCTTTTTTTATTAGAGTTTATTTTGAAATTTCAACTGAAATTCAGCAAACAGTTACATTCGAAAAAACTGATGGTAAAAATGAAACACCGACTTCAATAAGGAAAGCGAAACACGGTTATAACTTATTACAACCACGACACCTTCTTATGAAAGCGCAAGATCATTATTTATCACAGGGACCGGGAAAAATGAGCAAAAGTTCGAGGGAAAAAGTTATGTATATGAAAGAGAGAAAGGCACTTAAAACTATCACCATAGTTGTATCAGGTTAGTTCCAATTTCTCCCCGCATACAAAAGTTAATCGCAAAAATTAAAAAAAATTTTAAAAACATTCCAAATTCCGATCGAATTTATTGAATTTTTAGCTGAATATCTTTTCCTTAATAAATTTAATGAGAAATGAAGAAGAAAAGTGAAGAAATTTTTAAAAATTTCGTATGTTTTCTGATTGATTCCTTTAAATTTAACCTTTTAATTTTTCTTATTTTCTTAACTTTATTTTTTTTTTTCAGAAAAGAGCAAAATTATAAGAAAAATATTTTCAGGTTTTGTTATATGTTGGATGCCTTTCTTCGTGCTTTATCTTATTGAAGTATTTTTTAATGAAATAGTCGAAACGAAAACTTTCCCAATTGCAAGTGAATTATTTTTATGGCTGGGTTATTCGAATTCTGTGAGTTATTTCTATGGCTTTGCATGATATTATTTGGCGGGCCAAATATCAAATGCAATTTTGAAAAGTTCCATGAATAATTGTAGTTTAGTGAATATTGCAGGTACTAAATCCAATTATTTATACTATGTATAACATCGATTTTCGACGCTGTTTTCGTGATTTATTTTCATTGGGTTGTTGCTATAATCGCCCTCGAACGATGAGTGTTAAAAAATTGCATCAAAGAAGCGCTATATTTTGATTCAATGGATTTAGGCCCATTTTCATTCTATTTGAATATTTTCAGGTGAAATATTGAAATATCTCTTGTTCCATTGTCTTTTTTTGCATTACTGTACAAATGTACAAATAATTGTAAAACTGTAAAACTGTACAAATAATTTCAACGGGTTTAATAATAATTTATTGATAAAAAATTTGGTCAAATAGTTTGCGTAATTTGGAAATCCAAATATCGCATGCTTAGTGGCATTTTTTTTATCAACGACAGCAATCTTTGTAAATAACATTGCTAGCAAATAATAAACTAATCAGAATTTAGGCATTTCGTGATATTTGATTATTTCTTATGGAAAATAACAAAGATCCTTATAAAAACGGATTCACTTATAAAAACGGATTTCGGCATTTTATATTGATAAACAATAAAACAAGCGAAGTAAGTTCAGAAATAAAATTGAAAATAATTGGCTATTAGCTATTTTACGATAAATAATATTAATTTAATAAATAACTTATTTGATTTTATTAATAGAAATAAATTCATGAAGCTGAATTTGTTCGTCTTTCGTCAGATTAAGTAGATCAGCCAATTTGCGCAATGATTGAAACATACGCTGTTGATCAGAACTGAAAAAAAATCCTTTATTAGAAATAAAAAGTCAAATAGCTAAAAAATAAGAAATGAATAATAAAAATAAAATTATAGCGATTATTAAAATGAATTCGGAAAAACAGGCTGCAAACTGTAAAATAGAAAATAGAAAGTACGAAAAAATTCTAAGCCATGAAAATTTCTCTCTTGTTGATCGATATTATTTTGGTAAAAATAAATATCAGATGGAACCAAAATCAGTAAGAAATTCGTGGATGATTAGAAACAAAAAATTTTTGAAATGGTCGAGTTCATTTATTTTTCTTTATCAATTGCTTCCGCAATGCACAGCATGCATTTATGGTCACCATTTATGGTTGAGCCGACTTCTCTGCCTACTAAAGGCCTTTTCACCACAAATTTACCAGTATTGAGGTCCATCCTCTTTAGCTTCGCTAATACTTTTCAATTCCTGCGTCTTTTATTCCTCTAATTTCGCCAAAAGTCATTTTTCCCAATATACATTTTTCTAAGATACGTAATAAAAATATTTATGTAATCTTATAAAGGTGAATAAACCTAAACCTTTTTAAAAATTGCAAAATCGTTGATTTAAGAATTTGATGATTTATTATTGGTGGTGATTTGTCGAAATTTTTGTTGTCCAATGATTCTTTCAAATTGCTAATTCGCATTTGCTGTGCACGTATTGCTGCATCACGATCAGCGATTTCTTCTTGTAATTCAAATACTTTTGTTTCCCACTGAATTTAATTATAAATAATAGTCTATCAATATAAACTTTTCGGTATTTTTATTTATTTTTCAGTTATATAAATATTATAAATGTAATTATATTAATTATATAAATATAAATATATTGGAGCGAACAAATGCGACGAGCCAAGTCGGAAAGGAATAATTCAGTGGGTTATTATTCTTATTTTGGAGCGCCGATGGTTGAATTGTATTTCTGGTTGAAGTGGAACTTTCCTTCCTAGTGTTGGCGATTATAGATTGTTTATAGGTCTCCCGTCATCTGATTCTTTTATAAAATCCTAACCAGAAATGGTGAGCGCTTATAGAAAAAAATCGGCAAAATATGATAATCAAACATTAATGCTATTTTTCGCTTACGTATCTTCGATTTCATAGTTCATAGATCGAAAAGGGATTTAAGGGATAAAAGGGATCAAAAATTCGCTTAAATATTTAATGAAATGAAATATTTTGTCATTTTTAAACTGAATAAATTTCTTACTCAATCACTTACCGAATTTAATATTTCTGAAACTGGTTTTCCATTTAAAATCACTTTTTGAAGTTCTAATTCTTTTGTCACGTCATCCAATTCCAATGAAAGTCTTTCACGTTCGATCGACCATTCACGTCTTTCATATTCGATCTAAGAAATTAAACTTATTCATTTATGATAGAGAAAAATGAATAAATATATTGAATTATATGATTTAGTTCAAAGAGGTTGTTAGTTCTTTTATAAAAATTCTTCCCCAGTAATACGACTAAAATTTCGACAGAAAAAACCGGTTTATTTGATGTTAAAAATAAAAAATTGTAGATGCAACGATGAGATTAGAGGGGATAAATTTATCGTTGACTGATTGATAATAATCTTTTTTTACACAAAAATTTCTCATTTTCAATCAAAATGATGAATTTCTTCAATAAAATTATCTGAAGGAAAAATAAAAAATACTTGATGCTTTAATGATGCATTTCTTAAAAGTAGTTCATCTCGTTCAGCTGATAATTCGTTAATTTTATCAAATCCGACTCTATCACCCCTTTAATGATGAAATTTATTTATTTTATTGTATAGTTTTTACTTTTTTAACTTTTTTACATGGAACTTTTAAAACAATTAGAAGAATGTATGATGCAAACAAAATAGGTTTTATTGGTGAAAGGGGTAATCTGAACAAATTTTATTGAAATTAATAAAAATACTAATATTAACGAACTGATTATAAATATATGGAAGATATATGCAAGGAAAGACGGTTGAAAAAGGCGAACGACTGGTACTTCGAAGAAGGTTTTCTCAAAGTTCGTTCATAAGTTTGTTCACAATAAATATATTACTGAACTAAGAGATATTAAAAAGATAATATTTGCTCTTAAAAAAATTTTAACTGCAAAAAAAAGTTTTACTTTTCAGAAGCGATTCGATAATTTTCACAAAGTTTTTCAAGATTTGAAATGCGATTTTTGTATTCATCAAGTAAAGTGTTTTTATTAAAAATTTCTTGAAATGCGATTGATAATTGCTTATTTTTTGTATCAATTAACTGGCAAGCTTCATCAACGTGATTTAATACAAATTGTAAATCCTAAAAATAAATTCTAAAAAATTTAATAAAAGAATTTAAATTTGTTTCGTATCACCAATATTAATGAAATTTTCGCCCATATTTCAATAATCAATTAATAATCGCCAGTGAAAATGAAAATTACTTATGAATTTTAAATATTCCCGACGTAGGAAATAAATCCTAATTTATTATTTATTTATAAAATTTTTTTTTTTTGATTTTAATTAATATCATATGTAGCACAATTAATACAGTGAATAACAATGCATTTCGATTCATTAAATAATGTAAACTATGAAAACGAACCGAATTAATTTGACCAATCGAATTATTTCGTAGACTTTTAATTTTATTCCTTAAAATATTACTGAATTCCTGAAAAAGGATTCTTTAAAAACAAATTAATATTTTTTATAATGCATAGCACAATAATTTATAATTTTAAAATGCGATAAGTACGAAAAAAGATTCAATTAATTAAAATAATTTTTTTTAAAACAATTTATTATTTTAATTTAAATATTCTAATATTTTTAGATTTAAAAATAAATATTGCCAATTGTCTGCTATTTCTTCTGCGCATTAAACTGTTGTTTTATCATAAATTTACTAATTAATATTGTAAAACCTGTTGAAATCAAATTTACCGAAAAAAATTTTATTATAGAATTCGATGAGAATTTTTATAATTCATTCTGAAAAAATAAATCGCTGCAAACAAGATGCTTTTCAATGCGCCATTAAACTTTTTTTAAACTTTAACTACAATTTTCGGTAGCGAAGAGTAGCCGACTGGCATACAACTTTGCTATATAGTTTTAAACGAAAAAGTATAAACTGCAATTTCGAGAATTATAAACTGCAAAATGGGTAAACTGGTAAATTAATAATGGTAGACTTATAGAAAATCATATTTTTTCAAATTTCAACTAATTATTAGGTTTTCATAAATTCAGTGTTTTTTTAAATATATTATTTATATGTCAAAAGCCAGTGAATAATTCTTTTTGTTAAAAATATAGCAAATAATTTATTATTCGCTCTTTATTTTTTGAGATTGATAAGTTAAAAAGAAAAAAACTTTATAAATTATAAATGAATAAATGAATGATTAAATTGTTTTTCTTAAAGAATTAATAAAGAATTTAACAAATGCTTTTTAAGTAATAAAATGCTCAAAAATCATCCGATTCTCTTAAACTATTATTTTTCAATAAAAGCAAATAATTTTTTTGAAATAGGTCATTTGCAAGAAATATTATTTTTTCTGTTTCCTATATAAATTTATTTCCTCTAAGAAATTAGATAAAATTAGACAAAGTAGAAAACTTACTTTTTGTAAAACTCAACTGAATTAAAAAAAATTGGAATAAAATAGAAAAATTAAATTCGCTTTACTGGCGAACATAAATATTTATTCGAAATATTCAAAAAAATTTACTTCACTAACATAATTTTTCTAGCTTAAAAATATAATTTTATAATATAAAAATATAATTTTCTTCAGAATTTTCTTCAAATTAAAAATAAAATAAATAAAATAAAATTAAAGTAAAATTCACTCTTTTTCAGAAAAAAATATTTCTAAATTATAATAAGCCTTAGGGAATTTTTGAACGAATTTTAGAGAAAGTTAAATTTCAAATAAATTTTATAGTTTCCATTTTAAAAAATGGATTGATTAATTTTCCTTATAGATATATCGCAAAAACATTTCGAGAATTATGAAAAATTTTTTGACAAAATTCACTCAGAAATTCCTTATTCTCCATTCCTTTTTTTCATACAATTCATATTGCTTTTTTATTAATTAAGGAATTTCAGTGATATTTACTTAGGCTGAAATTAATTTTGCACAATTAATTTCATGTTTTTTCATCAAATTTTATTTTAATAAATATATTTCTGACAAAAGAATTTTTTAGATCAATTTTACCTTATTTTTTTTTGCATTTTTTTGATTAAATTTTTCGTTTCCTTCTTTTCCGTTTAAAAATATTTCCTTCTGATCGCTAAAAATATTACTATTTACGGAAAAATAATTCTAATAACTAAAAGACTTTTATTTCATTTTACAAAAAAAAATAACTTCGCATCTTATTTTTGTAAACCTCGTAATTTTCTTTATTGTCATGTAATAAAGCACTTTATGATGGGAATTAATTTAGCAATTAAATTTACTTAAAAAAAAATTTACGTCTTTTTCACGCCATTGAAGAAAGCGATCGAATTCTGCACTTAATACTTTCCGATGAAAATTTAGAATAAATTTATCTATAGTCTACAGAGATAAAGTTTTTTCGACTTTTTTATTTGAAAACATTTTTAATGAACTTGAGAAATACCGTTGGAATGAATTTAAGAAATACAGTAGGAATGAATATGCAACTAACCTTGAGCAATATCCCTCGGTTGATAATGTTCCCGGTAATGGTCTGAAATTAGGGAAAAAAGATGATGCTGATGTTGTCGCAACTGATACCATTGATGGCGACGACATCAATGCTAAAAAGTGATTGTAGTGATAAGATTTTTCACTTAGTTTAGAGTTTATTTAATTAAATAGAAATATCAAATGATACAAAAAATTCATCCCATCGAATAAAAAAATTCGTTTAACTTCGAAATCTTAAAATTTTAATGCATAAATATGAAATAATTTTGAAAAAGCTTTTATTTTTCCTCATTTTTTATCGGAACCAGAGATCCTTTATTTGGATTGTAAGAATTCCAAAGACCACCAATTCTGAAGACATAAGATGTTCTGTTGTTCCGTTCTAAAGCTTTAAGGCTTCTCACTGTGCTTTTTTTTCGTGAAAGAACATAATGTACTAACATCATTAATAATTAGTTTCTTGTACTTTGCCGAAATAGCGAAAAGTTTAAGGACCATTGATTTAAAAGCAATTAGGAAAGGGCAAAAAATTTGCTTGCATAGCTTATTTTTTATTCATTAAGGATTTAAGGAAATCATTAAGAGCCAGAAATTTTATAAATTAATAAGTTTTAGCCAAATTTGCATATAGAATTGTTATTATAATTTTACAAATTTGTAATCGACTTTCTTTCTACGTATAAATTCTATCTGATAAGAATTCTTTCTTATCACTGCTCAGCAAATAATTTTAAATAAAATAATAAGCCTATTGAAAACTGATAAGTATAAACCAGTTGCAGAATCATCATTAATATCAGAATCATCATCAGCTGAATGAGTCGATCGGTTGAGTCTCTTTGAATTCTGTAAAAAAAATAAAAAATTTATTAAGATTTGTTTTATTAAAATGTGAGGCAAGTTTTACGCTATTTTTCTTTGACGATAAATAAATTTGACATGGAAATTTTCGAATTTCTTATCATTGTTGGCAGCTTTAATCAATCAAAACTCTTCATTCAAAACTTATTTATTATATTTTATTATTATATATACCAATGAACTGTTTGCTGATGAATATGACGGTGGTCCATTAGAAAAATCCATTGTTGCTTCGATATATTCTAACGATCTAACACGTGGAATTCGATAATTTATAAAACGTCCTTCTCGATCAAATGGCATTTCTTTATAAAAGATTATCTAAAATATTTATCTCTTTTAAATCTTTCGTTATCTAATTTTATAAAATTTTTTTAATCTCGATGAGGAAAAAATAATGATAAAAATGAAATTTTTTTTATAAAAATTTATAAATTGCAAAAATTAAAAATAAAAAAAACTTCAAAAATATTTATAAATATATTAATATATATTAATATATATTAATATATAAATATTTAGAAATATATATAATATATATTTATTTATTTATGTCCTATAAGCTTCCAAAAAATTAATGGTTATTTTTAATTATATTTAATATATATTTATATATATTAATATATAAATATTTAGAAAATAAATATGGAAAAAAAATAAAAGAAAAATGAAAAATTATGAAAAAAATAATATGCGGAAGTGCAGAAAATTAATACAATTTCAATTAGCCAACAATGATTATTTATTTATTCTTTCATTAAAACGAATTTGTTGAAAACGTGTTTTTTTTGACAGAATTTTTTATGAGAAATTAAAACATGTTTGTCAAATAAAATATATTTTAAATAAAATACATATGTATGCAAACGAAGAAAATGCCAAAACTATGAATATATTTTTACATAAATTTTTTGAAAAACTTTTCAAAATATTCCGAAAAATCCATTAAATTAATCAAATTTTAATGAATTTTTCATTTTTGAATTTCTCATAAATTTTTTTTCATCCAAATTAAAAATAACCATTAATTTTTTGGAAGCTTATAGGACATAAATAAATAAATATTTTAGAATATATTGCAATCAATCAATAGATTTCTTAATTTTCAAGAATACAAATTACGTTGAAATTGATAATAATAAAAACAAATAATAATCTATTTGCATTCTAATTGGCAGATTATAGAATTTTTGTTGGACCTAATGAAACTAATAGGTGGTTCAGTGGGTTTTTGCTAGAATCACCGATACTGGACTTTGTCAAATTAAAACATATTTTAAAGATTTATGTCTAAGATCTCCTGTCTTATCTGTGCCTTATCTGATAAGCCAGTGGAGCATTTCCCCAGAAATAGTCTCATAGAAAAACGAAAAAAAATCAAATGAAAATGCCCAAATTACATGAATTTAATAAAATTTTTATTTTATTTTTTTTATTTACATATGAATCAATAAAATTCTCACCAATGACTTTCGCTAACGAAAAATAAATGAAATATAAAAAAAAATTTTTTTTACATTTTTTCCAAAAAAATTGTTTAAAAATGAAATGATAATAATTTTAATTTATTATATAATATATTATTATATGAGAAAAATTTATAAAAAATATTAGAAAAATTACAATAAAATAAGTAAAAATAAAAAAATCTAAATTCAAGAAATGCAAAAATTTTTTCGAAGACCTTAGATACGACAAATTTGTATTATATGAATTTAAAAGGTATTGAGAAATTAATCGTGATGACGATTGATAATAATTATAATGATGATAGTGATGACGATGACAGTGATAACAGCGATGATAATGATGAAGAAAAGTAACAAAATAAAGAGATTTTTCTTAAGATAACAACAACGAATGATTGTCACCAACCTTCATTGTCGGTTGACATAATAATGATTTCTCTATGAAAGATTGCGATATTACAAAATATTTGCAGTGATTCACGTTTGTCTAATAAATCAAATATTGGTCTCAGATTCTATAAAATATGAAATTGAGTTTATTTATAGTGTTTTTTTAATGCTCAGCAGAAATAGCTTAGAATAAAGGAAGAAATATCCACGGAAATTTATGCAAAAAAAATTTCCTTAATCGAATTAATCGAATGCTTCGTATCAAATCGATTAATAATTTAAAATAAATAAAATAAAAAAAGCACTTCAATTTAAGAAATATTGCCACTTCGAACAAAGGAAGGGAACTAAAAAAAATTTGAGAATGCTTATTGCAAACTCACATACCACTTTATATTCGTTATAACAGCGATTTGAAGGTTTTAAGGGAATATAATGGGAATTTGAGAATGAAAAATCCAACATCATCTTTATTTTCTATATTTTCAAGATCTAAGTTTTAGACCATTTGATCAAATTTGATAATCCGTACTGTGAAAATGGTCAGAGAGCTAGGGATTATTTAGATTAGCGTCGATCACTATGGGTTCGCTTCTTAGAATCTGTGTAAAACAGAATAGATAATGGTGACAAATCTGTATTTCTATCACCAAATGACTCCTTGGAAAAAAATTTTTAATCGCAATTTTTAACAGCTGTGCTGTGAAATTTCTAACAGCGTACTTAACCAGAAATGGTGAATGTTAATGGTGAATTTCTTGAGTTCGAAGTTTTTAATTTAAATCTATCATTTTAAAGAAAATATTTACCCATCACGAAAAAAATATTTACCAAACTTTTTCAATAATATTGTTAAAATTTAAAATTTTCAGTAATATCTTTTATCTTTAGAGAAGCGATGATCGAGTGGCCATGTTGCTTCGACTAGACCATTATTGGTTCAATTCTCTTCGCTTAATGGGGATAAACTTGAAGATGGATACGGATTCTGCTGTGCACATATCTTTATTCTTAGGCTCTTCTAATAGGAAATGAAGTCAGTAAAACAGGTATTGTTGACTGGTTTTTTCAGAATGATAATGATTAATTTTTTTTCGTCCTTGATTAAATTCAAGGATCCACAATGTACGAATTTTATTGAATTTTATAAAAGTGGATTATGAATAATTTATTGCGATTAAAATTAAAACCGAATTAAGTTTTAAAATGGAAAGAAAATAATACATCTATGCCAAATAAAACTGTCAAATGATGATTGTGATTGACTGATAAGTTTGAACTGAAATATTTCTTAGTTGAAATTGGATCTTCACAACTAATTTTATTGTAAATTATTACACCTTAATATGTTGACACCAACATTCAACTGTAAATTATATATATGCATAAAAGTAATATTTGGGGAAGTCGGCAAGCTTCGGAAAAAGAATCCATGTAAATGAAAAAGAACGCTTATTCTCATAGTTTGCACTTTTTCTAGTTCGCCAAAGAATAACTAACGTAGATATAAGAGAGCAGCAACTATAGCAACCATATCGATATCACTCTTCATGAAAGATTTCTCTTATCAGTGAATGCCAATAGAATCCATGTTAACCGCCTTCAGCCAAAGCAACATACGATTGAACTATCGATATTCCCATTTAATTTTATGTGGAATGAAAACTTCTGTGAATTTCAAAATTTCAATGCATCAATTTAATGCTTATTAGCGATGAATAATTTAAAAAAATTTTTCAGGAAACAGAAACATAAAAATTATTTATTTTGAAATACTCGTTTTTATAAAATAAACACATTTGTAAAGTGTTGCGCTGCTATAGCAAACAAGAAGAAAATTTTCATCGAAAACCACAAAAATATCAGAAATTCTGCATCAAATGAGCTTTAGAGCTCGGAAATTAAGGAATGAAAAATTATAGAAGCTTATAGCACAATGAACATATGAACGAATTGCATCGGAATACGGAAAAATAAGAGGATTATTAATAATTTTTTAATAAATTCCTGGATAAATATTTAAAATAAATGAATTTAATTTAATTTGAAAAAAGAGAATTTTGTTCATTTTAACAAATTTAATGATTTCAATTGAGTCGAATTAGATTACAGGCGAATTCGATTTGTGATTAATCATAACTGAAAAACTGATAAATATTTAATAAACAAATATTTGAAAAACAATTATATAAAATAAAATTCATCGTTGTAAACCACTTAGATTTTGAATGAATTTTAAAAATTTCGACTGAGCGACTTAGCAAATTTTATAAATAAATAAATTTTATAAATTTTTAAACAACTAAGCAGTGATGAAAGAAATAAATCAAATATTTATTATATGGCAATTTAAGTGGAAAAGTTTGAAAAATTTTTTAGAATTTCGCATCGTTAAAATATAAAGAATTGAAAAAAAAATGATTTCAATTGAGTCGAATGAGATTACAGATGAATTCGAATTGCGATTAATCATAACTGAAAAACTGATAAATATTTAATAAACAAATATTTGAAAAACAATTATATAAAATAAAATTCATCGTTGTAAATGAAAATAAATAAAGAATAAATAAAATTTATTAAATAAGCTTCGAAAACTAGAAAATTGAAATTAAATAATCAAAAATTTTTCAGATTTACGCCAAAAAATCCATAAAATCATTTAGATTCTCAATCGGTGGAAATCTAAAAGGAATCGATATATCTCGAAAACGCCACTGGCTCTGAGGATCGCTAGAGGGTCGATGGACTAATCAAGTCAAGTAATTTTGCACATTTTTTAAAATTTATAAGCTTATTAATGAAAGGATTTACATGAGAATTCTGGTGCGGAGCACTGTTTACATCTGGGACCATCTGGGACCTCTATCTTCTCCTAATAAAGAAGCAATATTCGTCGATTGCCGGTCCAAGGCCTACAATGGATACGCTCGAAACATGCTCGAAAACGGGGCTTAGTTCAACTCAACTTTTGCACCTTCTAAGAAATGTGAAGAAAGCTAAGAATTTTCTTTCTTATAAGATAATTTAATCGCGAAACGAGAGATGAAAAGTTAATATTGCCAGAAATTTAAGAAATATTCCACGTAGTAATAGCGCTATTCAACGTCATATAAAATCATGAAATCGGTGAAGGGTTTTAAAAAATCATTGGCATTTGAATTGCCAAAAAAGAAATTTTCTCTTTAATCGGACGAATCAACATCTGTGAAACTGAATGTCTTCACGGTCTGCGGTCTGTGTTCGTTCGTTCGTCCTTTTCTATAGTTCCTGGAAAAAAGGAATAACGAAAAAAGTAATGGCTTTCTTCATGTGTGGTAATTAAAGATTTATGTTTAATTTCGAAAAAAATCTTACAATCCCAGTAGAAATGCAGCTTTCATGCTCGTTTAATGTTCTGGATCATTGCTTTGTATTTTCTAGCGCATCTAAAAGATAGAAAATTCAAAGTATTCATCGAAATAGTGCATTATAGATAATTACGAAGAAAACGATGATAATTTTATAAAAATAATAATTTATAATTTAAAGTAATAAATAAATACAATAAAATATAAAGCTTTCAGTGATCGCCTTTAAGTGATACAAAAGAGATAAAATGAAATAATTTGCGTCTAAACTTGGAAGAATTCGAAACATAATTGTGTGCAACGAGATTTTTTACTCGAAAATAGAATTTCTTCTCAAAGATCGCAAATCGATGGTAATAAATTTGTGGAATTAAAACTAAAGCAAATAAAATCACATATATTCTTTTTCGCATATATTCTTTTTAAAATAGTATTCGAATAAAACACTATTTGAAGGAAGCAAACGAGTGGCACAAATTCGATCATTTATTGCCGACTATCACTTCAAAACTGACTTATCTATGCGCCTGCTTCTTCTAACGGTTCTCACCATACTGGTTAGGCTACAAGGGTAAGACGTCTCTAAGCTGCTCGACGCTATCGCTAGTAGTAATAGAAGTCATATCTACGTCTACTAAACGCCAATGATCCTCAATATTATTTTGAGAATTCAATGCAACTGCCCTATCATTAGAAAAGATAGTATTTCTACTGAATAATACTGCTTTACTTAAAATTAATTCAATAATCGCTTCAAAAGACTTAAAAATTTCGATATTGGATCGTGCGACGTTTCCGTTATAAGTGTTGAATCGTTTTAATATGACATATGACATAATTCGATCATAGCAGCCCATATGTATTTCTATCGCTAAGTGGCTTCCCGACATAATTTGCCAGATTCGACAAGCCAACAGAATGAAATTGACCAGAAAAATGAGAAAATAGGAATTTTATCGGATTTTACCGAACATAAGACATTTCCTAAAGTCATGAATTGACAAATAACAACAACAGTAGCGTGTAAACTCGGTGACAATCTTATTTCCCACACTGTATAATTTAAAAAATATCAACGAGTGAGCAAAATCCCCGACCAATCGCTCTGTTAAAACTTAACCGATGACTGATCTCTTCGCCATCCGCATATTTCTCATACGATAACAATACTATCGTTGCTTTTACTATTGCTATTATCTCTATTCTTATCACAGTGAATACTTTTCCTCGATAATTTCACGCATATAAAATTTTTTATAAAATGAGTAAAATTTTTTATAAACAATTTCTCATTGTTAAAACTTTAAATATTCAAATTCAGTTATAAAAAAAAATAAAATTAGATGCGAAAAAAATTTTTTTCAAAAAAATTTTCAAATTCTCATATTTAAAACTATGAATTTTTAAGAATTTTTATTTCATAAATATTTTACTCATTTAAATAAAAATAAAAAATATTTAATAGAATATTTAATAGACAAAATTATTTTGAATTTCTAAATGAAATGAATAGAAAATTCAAAAAAAAATTTTTTTGTTTTATTAATGCAAAAAAGTGCGAAATTGCAAAAAAAAAAAAATTAAAAGGAGTGGGAATAACAGCCTCGCTTGTCATGCAAGTATTCTTTTTTCCACACTCTTTGAACGGACACTAAAGTGAAAGGTGTAGGACGTCGCACGATCAAAATTTTATTCTCAAACTTGGATAATTAAATCACTTCACAAGAAACGGGGACAAGAGATAACGAGGAGCATAAAATAATAATAAAGGAAGAGCAAAAGATTATCGACGATAAATTTCATTATCACTATCACTATCATTATAAAACAGAACCTCGCAAAAACAGTCGGACAGTCAGATAAAAAATCTCATAAAAAATGAATTTACGAGTAAAAATAATAAATTTATCAACATTCGAGGCCTAATCGCTTACGCGCCGTATCCACGACAAAAAAAAAGGGGCCAAGGCTATTGGGCTGGCGGAAAGGTTGTACAAAACAATCGCCCACGCCAAATATTTCACGAAAATTACTATAAAATGGCAAAATTTCAATAATTTATTGATAGTGAGAAAATTTTAAAAAAAGTTAGAAATAACTATAAAAAACAATATTTGGTAAAAAAAACCATCATTCATTTACTGAATGATTTTTTTCAAAAAATATTTTTTTCACAAAAATTTTCTCTTTTTTACATTTGAATTAAATAAATTAATTAATTTGTTTTAATGAAATAATTTCGCAAATACTTTTTGAAAAAGCAAAATGGTAAAATTTCTTGGAATGAAATTTTAGACGACTAAAAATGACCAATGCGCTGGTACGAATGGCTTGCTGGAAGTCGGTCAAGGTGCGAATCCTCATGGACGATTGGACATTGGTTGAGGTGCGAATTTTTACGGACGATCGAATATCGGTCGAGGTGCGAATCGTCACGGACGATCGGACATTGGTCAAGGTGCTTATTACAGTAAGGAAAGAGTCACTGATCGACGTATTAATCAAATTAGTCTTCGCTATTGTGCCTCTAATGAAGTCACCGAATGGCGAAAAAAGCTGCAAATATTAGCAAATCATCTGGATCGCACCTGCTATGCCTAGCAAAAGAATTAATGAAATAAGGGAGAAAAGAGTTGGAGAAAGTATTAAAAAATATCCCACAATAATAGTACCTCATAAGTGAAAGATACATTGTAGCTTCTATTATAAGATTAAAAATCATAAACCTTAATTAAATATAAGCTCCCGAAAGATCATTTTTGGCCATTTATGCTTCTATTAGGGAAACGAGTGGGGAGCGATGGGTGAGCTGGGCATTTATATTTGATTTCATTTACTATATCATTTCTTTGTAGTAGGACAATAGTTTCACTCTGCTTTCTTGTATATAATCACTAATAAAGGTTTAATTACATAAGTTTTAAGTTTGAGGCTTCGCAACGAGAAAAATAAGAAGAGAACGCTGGCCGAAGGGTTAATAATATTGTTAAGAAATTAAAGTCCCGCGTGGCAGGAAAGTTATTAAATCTATACAGAAAAAACAGAAAAAAAATAGTGGAGCGGGTTCCCAACAGGAATTTTTATAAAGGTAGAATATTGGAATGGGAATCGCCCTGCTCGCAACGAAAATTTCGTAGTAATTCTAAGAGATGCTAAGAGAGTAGTATATTCTTTTTTCTGTGAAATGTTTCCCACTGTTCCCCATTAACTTCCAATCTATATTTGGTTTATTCAAATTTTAGGGTCTCAAAACGATTGCTCTGAATTCGGTATATACTGGCATTTACATTCTTTGTAATTTTTTTTCGTAGTTTTTTTCGTTTTTTTGGCGAAAAATTGAATTAAATTTATCGTTTTTTTTTCACGAAATTCGTTTAATTAAGCTCATTGAAATCAATTTTAAATTAAAAGTCGCTTCTTTAAATACGAAAAGAATTTTATTTTCAAATATTTTTCAGTGTAAATTTTAAATTTTCTTTGAAATTTTTTGATTTTCTACGATTTTTCCTAATTTTTCAAATTTTTTTCTTCTTCGCTTTACAAAAGATGAAATTAAAAAACGGCTTTTAAATGCTCTTTGAATTTGAAACCATCTGAATTTTATCTTTTGTTTTTTAAAATTCTTCGAAAATTTGTTTTTCGAAAAGTGAAAATTCTGAAAGATTGCTATAAACTGTTTAAAATATTTAAAAAAATCTTTGATAATTGTTAACTTTTAATTTAATAATTAATTTTTAGTGAATAATTTTAAACAAAAAAATTAATTAAAAAATTGTCGTTCAGTAAGAAAAAACAAATCGAAAACAAAATAATACAATTTTCAATTTCAGTGGAAAGTATTTCAAAATATTTTTTATCATTTTCATTATTTCTACCGAACTTCTATTCCACAAAACCAAATGGTAAATTTTTTAATTTATATATATATTTGTATATTTTCCGATAATTTTTTTTTCATATCCAAAGAGAAATTTTTTTTACATCTATTAGAATAAATTGTGTAAATTTTCGGTGGTTTATTTGCAAAATTTATTTTGATATATATCTTTCTTCTTCTTTTCAAGTTAAGAAATCAAATATTGCAAATTGTGATAAAGCAAGAATTATAAAAATACTTAATTTTCCTTCCAAAGCATAAAAAGAAGTTTGAAATCCAAAAATTTATTGTTTTTTTTTGTTTGCTAATATTGTTTGTTTTTTATTTCTCTTTTTTTAAAATCTCTTAATGTAGAGAATTGTAAAAGAATAAAATTTTTTGTTCATTTTTTCTTATTAAGTTGAACCAGAAGCGTCGTGGTTTTCAATCTCATAGTGGAAGTCAGGAACGAGTTCGAACTCATTTATTTTTCTCTTCACAGGCTGAACATCATACAGCAAAACGTAAACGTCGTACTCATAGTATGCTTCTTTTTTTTGATTTTTCCTAAGGCAAAACAAAGGCTAAAATTATCGTTGGGAAGAAATTATTTTCCTTTTGTTATTTTCTGTATTTTCATTCTTTAGTTTTAATTTTGTATTTTAGATAATTTTTTTTTTTGAGATAAGCTCCATCAGTTAATGCATCGTAAAGATGAAATGGTTCAGACTGGTCCTATCGAATTTGAACCTGATTTATGGTCAGGTAATCAAAGAATAATTCATTTCGGTCCTTTGGCTCAAAGAGATCCTTATTTTTATTATTATCCTAAAGGATGGGATATCCTGTATCCGGCACATTTCGGATTTTTTCCTTACAGAGCAACGTTAGTTTTTTCAAACTTGGTTTGTTCAGTTATTATTTCTTCTTTCATTGGAATGCGTTGTTGAGTGAGTTTGTTTATTGTTTACTACAGGTATGAGTATTTTTGTTACTTTTGTTTACCTTTGTTTTTATTTTAATGCTTGATTCATTTCTTTTTTTATCTTTTTTTTTACTACTTTGAATTGCTCAATTTAAGTAACACTTGAAAGAGAATCGATTAAGGAATTCGGAAATTATTACTTGGAATACTTGGAATTCGATTGTGAATTCTATCAATTAATTTTTTCAGGAAGATTATTTGTTTTATTCTGCATTTTCGATGAGTGAAAAATATTTTTTTAATTATGAAAATTCTCATCGAATAAACATTTTCATCTAACTTTGTCTTTTTAGTCGCGTTTTTGGTTGATAATGCGTGCTTGATTGCAGTTCAATTTTGCTTATTTTAACAAATTTCAGATGGAAACTTAATTTGACGGAGTAGTGCTTATAATGGTTATTTTTAATTCCATTAATAAGAGAGATGCATTTTTTAAAAATATTTGCTTTATGTACTATTTTTTTTCAAAAGGATTCAGGTAGAGGAATATTCTAAAGGTGAATTATGGGAAATATGAGAAAAATTTTTAAGAAAAATAAGGAAAAATATAAAGAAAACTTTCATTATAAGGAAGATTGCAGTTATGAAAAATCCGCCTTAATATGGATCTCAATATTTTAGTAAATTTCGTGGATCATCATCTGCAGTATGTATGGGTGCGTTTGGTGGATTTTTTTGTATTGGCGGTGCATTAATGATATTTCTGGGTCATTTTGTTATTAGTGGTCCATTGCCATGGTTTCATAATATTTATCTAAGAGATCCAATTCAAATCGCTGGACCGATTTTGTTCCTTTTTGGTGTTTTCTTAATTTTGATCGCTGCCATTTGCTCGATTTGTTCTCTCAAAGTATATTCATTTTCATGCTATTTAAAAATTTTAAATTTTTTGAATTTCTTTTAATTTAATTATTCTCATATTTTTTGAAACTTGCAGTTATTCAATAAAAGTACCAAAAGTGAAGCAGAAGAGCCGAGAGTGACTATTTTGACTCGATATTTCAAGGTTATCTTTTCATAGATTTGCCTGCTGGATTTTGTTTAATTCATTCGAAAAGTTTTTTATTCTAGTCATTCTAAAAAATTCCATGAAAAATAAGTGCTATATCTTAACTTTATGAAAAATTTGAGAAATTAAAATATGAAATTTGGTCATAAATTCATTTCCTTTTTAAATGTTTTTTTCTATTCGAGAAATTTAAAATTTAGAAACCAGATGGCTTTTATGAAAAGCCGCCTTATCAGCCATTGCCGCCTCCTGCTTATCCTGTTCTGGAGAATAAATATATACAATCAGCTGTTTTCAACCCCCAATCGGAAATGAAGCTTTATCCTCCAGTGTAAACTTTATTCTTTAATTACTTCATTTTATCTCTCGTTTTATTATTTAAAGAATGGGGAATTAACAAATTTACAGGTTTTACGATTTACGAAATTTTGCACTTATATATATATATAATATATGAAAAACGAAAGTTTGAGAACTTTCTTTCCTTTTTACTTTAATATGAAAGGTATATTAAGAGATATATTAATAATTTAAAAAAATATAAAGGGTTTTTGGGGTTCATCTTAAAATAGGAAAATATCAGTAAAATATTTCAAGATTTATTCAAGTTTTATTAAATTTTAATATTCTACTTTGGATATCATTTTTTTCCATTTATTTTCTATAAATCTTTATTTTTAGTATGCCAGGTTGCTCGACTTTGTCGCTACATGGCCGATCGCCCAGTGTTTATCTTGGGAATCCTTACAATACTCTTCGCGCTGTTTCAATCAATCGGTATCATTTTATTCTTTTGATAACTCTGACTATGCAGTTGAATTTTAGGAAAATATAAAATTTCTTGAAAAAAAAATTCCAGAAATCATTCGAAAATGGAAAATGTTAATTCCACTAGAAGAGCGAAAGAACGTGCATCTTCTGCCACTGTGTTTCGTAAGCGTTCTAGCGAATCATCTTCAGCAGTAGATCATCGTTCGAAAAGTCTTGCACCTTCTCAAAAAATTGAAAAAAATAGGGGACGTAGTCAATTGCCTTGATCTTTATGATTTGATTGCCTAATTTTTTATGTAATCTTAGGAAAATACAAATGGATGTTTTCGACATTCCTATTTTTTCATTTTATTTTTATTAATTTTGATAAAGATTTTATGGTGAATTTTGTTCCATAGTAACACTGCTATGAAATAGCCATACATTTTATTCATATTTGATTCATATTTATTCATACATTTCAATTGTAATTATCAATTGTATTTCAATTGCAATTTTCTCATTAATATCAGTATTGACGAATATAATCATAGCGAAATTTTTTTATTATTCAGTGAGTTATCATTTAGTTTTCATATCTTCTTTGTACAAATTTTTAATTCGAGTTTGTTAATTTATTGTTAATTTATTTGAATATTTTAAATTTTAGGTTTCGGCTTAAGGTTTTATAGATTTTTCGACAATTTTTTAATGCATGGTTGGTTTAAACGAAATGTCGGCCAATTCGCCGAAACAACGGACTCAGCGCCAATTTCGATACGTTAATATGAATACGGTTGAATTTGCGATACCACTGGACACAGTTGATGAAAATTCGCAGATTGAATACTTGGGCGGTGGATCTTTTGGCAACGTCGTGTAAGATTCTATTTAATTTTAGACTCAAAATATTAGAGTGTGAATTTTTGTTATAGTAATAAAGAATAAATAATTCGTTGAGCAGTTTATTAACTTAAAGTAAGCCGATAATGATGCCAATGACACATTCATTTCGATTGACGAATTCATTTGCAGGAAAGTGACAGATTTTATTTGTGGTCCAAGTGGTCGGCTTTGTGTAGCAATCAAGAAGCTATATGATCCGTTTCGTGATATCAAATCTACAATGCGTGTATATAGGTAGGCATTCATGTCCTTAAAAAAATATCAAAATAACTAATATTCAAAAAAAGCATTCGACAAAAGATAAATTTTTTTGAAAAATATTTGGCAACTTTTGCCGTTTGAAATTTCCAAATTTTTTAGGGAAGTTCGATTACTACAGATGATGATGCATGAAAATGTTGTGAAGCTAATCGATCTTTATACTCCCGATTTATCCGCCAATACTCTCCAAAATCTGTGAATTTTTCATCTAGAGTTTTTTTATTACCACTTTTTTATTATCACTGATATAGCTTTCCTTTCTTTTCTTGTAATCAGACTGATTTTTTGTAGGTATATTGTTACACAATATGCTGGTAATAGTTTGTATGAAATCTTAAAACGCCAGCGTGAACGGAATGTTACATATCTGACTGATGATCATCATAAGTTTATTATATATCAACTCTTGAGAGCATTAAAATATATACATTCTGCAAATGTTCGTCAATTTATTTTCTAAACTTTCGATATTTTTAAAGAAAAATCGATGATAAATTTTAGGTCGTAAATTTTCAAATTTAGATGATTGTAAACGATGATAGATTTTAAATTTTTAAATTTTTTTAAATATTATATTTGCCATTTTATTTATTTTATTTTGTTTTATTTTGCTTCTTATTCACATTTTTTAGGTAATGCATCGTGATTTAAAGCCTGGTAATCTTGCCTTAACGGATGATTGTGACTTAACAGTATTAGATTTCGGCTTAGCTCGTTCACTGAATGATGACGATGCTCCACTTTCTGCATATGTGATGACTCGCTGGTATCGCAGTCCCGAAGTGATTTACTGGAAAATTGATTCATACGATACACAAGGTATTTTCCGTATCCAGTAGAATCACATCGATTTATTACGCTAAATAGTAATTATAGTAATAGTAATAGTAATAGTAAATAATTAGTAATATAAAAATGTCATGCCATTTATTATTAAGTGAGCACAATAATATACTTAATATGTTTAAAAATCATTAAATTATTGAATTTCAATTTTTTCTTGTTTTTAGCTGATATGTGGTCAGTTGGTTGTATTCTTGCTGAATTAAGCCTTGGTCGACCTTTATTTCCAGGCGAAGACTGTGAGTTTCTTATCATTCTTTTAAAATCTATTTATGCTGGTTAAAAGAGTAGATTAATACACCATCGATAAGTTTATGGATGAAGCCTTTGGTAGAACCATTCGATTTATTTTCCATTTCTGGATTTTTACTTTAGAATTGAATTAATTAAACTTTTTTTCTCCATTTGTCATGTTGGTTGTTTGTTGTTATATTCAAAATTAAATTTAGCAATCGCTCAATACCGACTAATCGCCGAACTATGTGGAAGTCCTGATCAAGAATTGATGTCAAAATTGGCTTCAAACGAAGCAATTTTAAATGTCATCACCCATTTAGGTGTTTATAAGCGAAAAAATTTTTCTGAGTATTTTCCCAGCTCATTTTCTCCTGATCTCATTGATTTTTTGGATAAAATTCTCGTTTTAGATCCTGAAAAGAGGTAAATCATTTCTTTCGCATCCATGGTTTTTTCTCTTCATCCTATTAATCGATGTTTTCTTTTGTGTTTTTATTGAAATCGTCGGTTTTTGAGTTGAATAGGAGTTGATTATTGTTTTAAGGATGACGGTAGTGCAAGCGCTTGCCCACAGTTATTTAGCGGAATATTCGATGCCCGAAGATGAACCAGTTGCAAATGGTCCATTTATAATAAATGATGATCATCTACCAAAACGTACTCTTGCTCAGTGGAAAGGTCTTTATTTTTGTTCTTATTGTAGGTCTCATTCCCTTTTGTTCTTATTGTAGGAAATTTTTTTGATGGAATTTTTTTTAAATTTTAATCCTTTGCTTTTTTTCATTGAATCAATCTGATGTTTTAATGCATCAGAAGAATTAGAAAAACCTTGTATTTTAGAAGCGCTTTGGAAAGAGATAGAGAAATTCAGCCGTTAATTTTCTTAATTGGACACTTCGTTATAATTCGTTAATAATGATGCTAAGATTTTCGAATGAATTTCAATTTATGGCTGAATATCGTTGCTTCTTACTTCATAAAAGCTGCAGTTGTTGCCTTGTTTCTCTATATTTTCATGAATTTGGTAATTTTTAATGTTGAATTTTTTAATGCCAGATTTTGTAATATTCTTATTTTATTAAGATTTTTATAGAAAAATTTCATGTAAAAATGCGGAAATCGGCGATGTCAATGATGGAATTCAGTCTTGTCTTTATCGATCTGTTTCATATTTTTGGCGATTTCTTTATTATTCTTGTTCTTATTCATATGTTCTTATTTCCGAATAAAAGATTATATTATTCTGTTCAAAAATTATTTAATGAAATCCTTCACTGGAGTAGTATATTTACCTTTGCTTTTTTCATTAAAATTTAAATGTTTTGGAAACTACTTTCATATTTGGTCAGAAATTATTATTATCAGAATTATTTTTTTCTGATAGTTTTACTTGTTCCATGGGATTTGTCAATAAAAAATGAAGTGGAATTTGTTGGATATTTTGATACACATTAATATGTTTTTCATCATACAAATAGTATTTCTCAGTTGTGAGACAAGCACGGATTAACTTATTTTCAATAATAAATTTGCAACAAATCTAAATATTTTTAAAAGGTCGTCGGAGTCATTTTTAGAGTATTATGGATTTTCGTCGATTCGAAAATTGCATTTTAACAAATGTATCAATTCAGAATTTCCTTAAAGATGCTTCGGTACCGGTCATAACAATAGTTTTCATGGTGTTTTTTTCGCTCTTTTGAAATTGAATATGTTTTCGTTGTTTTTGGCTTTTTTTTGTCGATCTATTAGCTTAAAGGAAAGAAAGAAACTTTATGCGTCATGCTTCGAGGCAATTAGTCTTCAATTAATGCGGAATTTAAATTTAAATTCAAAGCATTCATGCTTATCAGATAATCAGATTAATGGTTGATCGGTTGATTTTACAATTTTGGAGAATTTTGTCCGATATTTCACGTTTGAGATTGTTATATTTTTAAGCTATTACGTAAATATTCCGATCAACATTTACCTTTCCAATCGTTTTCAGAGACCATTAAATGGTTTGCCACTGGTTGGTTTCTCATTTCTCTCTGCGACGGAAATTATTCGCCAAGAACTTGATCTCAATAAAGTAATCGTTTTTCGTGAATGGAATTTTTCTAATCAACCGCAGTGGGCAGAAGAGCCAGTTAAAATGTGTATGTTACATTTTTATTTCATATATTTGTTTATTACATGTTTGTTATCTAAATTATCTTGCCATATTCTGGTAATTTTTGAAATAAATTTTGGAACTTGAAATTCAAGGAGATTATGCTTGAAGCGTGAGATTATTCAGAAGGAATATTAACATAGCTTATTATTTAATGAATTTTTTATATTTTGTAGCTTATATATCTAAATATACTTTTGTTTTATTTATAATATTTACTATTTTTCACCTCCAATGCGTAATGCGTAATTCATTCTAATCAGATTATTCCATTTGATTAGATATCCATATTGAAAGTATTTTTTCATCATTTAAAACTTTCTTCTTCTGGATTATTTTATTAAACTGTTAATTACTCTTTAATTCAATGAAATTCAGTCGATTATTTGCGAATGATGGTAAAGTTTCATAAGACGCATATTAGTGTCCGATTTCGAAAAAATGCATTGTCAATGACTGCATCATTTAACGTAAGGCTTCCCTCTTACTCTAATGGAATTTATTTGGCGATAGCAAATCGAGAAATATTTGACATAAATGTTAGTTATTTTTGAAATCAAATGAAATTATCATAAGTGGACTTGTGATATTAACTATGTTATTTAGAATACTTGTTCCATTGCGATATTGAATGATTCAGAGCTGTTAGCATGGGCAGTTGATAGGAAATATTCAGTGGACAGTGGTTCGAAAACTGCTACCAACTTCTTTTCGCTAAGTGATGACAAAACTGAATGGACAAAAAAAATTCAAGCTGAAGATGCAAGAAATATTTCAGATGCTTCAGAAACATCTGTAGGTTCTCATATAATACCTGGGTCCGACTTTTGGTTCCGAATTTTTTTTGATTTTAGGTGGTTTTAAAGCATCCTTAAAAATTTTTTCTTTTTTCCGAAAAAACTTGGAGATTTTTTTCTTTTACTGATGACAGATTTTTTTATAGACCAATGTTCCATTATGTACTTGGTGTTCTGAGAATAAAATAGAAGTGCTTTTATTACCTTGCGCTCATGCTGTCTGTTGCAATTCATGCAAACAAAAATATATTGATATTGAACAAAATAAAAATACGTTGTTAAGCTCCAAACGAAATGTAGTTTGTCCAATTTGTCGGAAAAAAGGTGAGTTTTGTTAATGATGGGAAATATTCAGTGGACAATGGTTTGAAAATTCGGTTAAATCATAAACAATAATTGAAATAAATAAAAAAATATATTCGAAACCAATTTTTTTATCTCTTTCATTTAATATTTATTTGTAGAAAAAAATTTCAAAAGATTATCGTTAGAAATCCATAAATTTTTTAAAGCTTTCTTTCGATTTATGATTTTTTTTCGCAAAATTTAGTCAGGAAAATTCAGGGCTCTTAATATTCAATACTCAGTATTGTAGGTTAATGTCAAAATGAGATCGTTATCAGCCAGAGAAAATGCAAATTTGAAATTACTTGTAAAAATGTAAATTGTTACAGTGATAGAATTCGCATTTATATGGTTCTTTTCGAATAGTTGCAGTCTTTGTGGATGTAATACTCTTAATGCTGTTGCTGGCGGACCAAACGGTTGTGGTTGCGTTATTGGTTGTTATGAAAAAGCAATTGAATGGCGAAAAGAGAGAAAAAGCTGTCCAATTTGTAATCACCCTTTAGACGAAATTATCAAAATTTTTATTCAAGCTGATATTAGTTAATTTTTCTTTTTAGTTGTTTTTCTTTAATAATTCTTTTTGTTTGTTATTTTTTATCAATCAGTGGAAAAAGAAAAAAAATTAAAAAGTGCGTAGAATCATCTTTTAATTCATTAAATTTATTTGAAAAACTTTATTGATAATAGAGGTGCCAAATAATAGAAATTAGTGATATCGATTTAAAATATGGAAATATAGAAGAAACACAAAAGAAATTTAAACCAATAATACAAAGAGACATTTTTAAAAATAATTGAATAACTGAATCAAATTTTGGCGGAAACAAACAAAACCCTTTAATTTTTTATTTATATAAATTTTAATTAAAAATTACAGAATGACACGAACTGAATTTAGCCACACTTGTTCGCAAGATCAATAAGGACAGTTATATTATACTCAAGATGAGACTAAACGAACTAAAACGAACTGAACATTTCATACTTTTTAGAATTTAGAGAATTTTTAGTTTTTAAACGGCTTTTAAAGAAATAAAATTTAAGATTTGAGGATTTCTTTACTATGATAAAAAATAGATTAATGAATTATTGATCGGAAGTGGTAAATGCATACTACTGAATATTGGGACCCGACCGCTTGGTCCCTTGGTGGCACTAAAAATGAGGCAGTGAGCTTCTTTCTTGAGGATATACAATATATACCATGAATTGACCTCCATCTTTTATTGTATATGAAGATAAAGAATCGAATGAGTTTAATGAAAGGTTTCATTTGGTGGACCGGGGTCACCATTTTGAAATAATTTTAATTTTAAATTGATAGAAAACATCGCATTTTGCGACAACTATGGTTCTGCAATAGAGGTCGAAGTCAAGGTTTTCACCTACATTTACGAAAAGATCTGAGTGACTGAGTATTTGAAACTCTTGTGAATATACTACAAGTATTAAAGAGATTAGGAAGATCCTTTCTAATTTATATGAAATATGCTATACTTTCGAGTGAGAATGGGTAATTCGCCTATCATTTTAACAGCTGGAAATTCCACTGATCAGCTTGTAGCGGAGACGGATTGTCCGATGAAAATAAAAAATTTCGATAAGAGAAAAGTATTTCTATCATGGTAAATTTTAATTATCACAGATTCAAAAGAGGAATAAAAATAATCGTCAATGACGCCATATTTATTACAACTGGAATAATCGTGATATGCACACTTCCATATGCATTCAAACCATGAACTGCTTCAAAATTTACCACCAAAGTTTAGTCCTCACCATTACTGGTAACTTGTTCCACTGGCTTGTTACACTGGGCAATATGCCATGGAGTCGCTTGGCGATAGAAATACAGATGAGCATCAACCGGATTTTCGTGCAGGTTTACTCCTGCAGAGAATCGAACCTCAGCATCAGTGCTTCCAACTGAGCAACCCACTGAGCCATTCTATCCCTTAATTCATGATTATCAGTAGAAAAATCTGACCACGTTTCACTGATACGATTTTAAAGTGCTGCTGACACTTGTCGTCAAACGGCTAATGCAAAAATTTCTTTTAAAAACTACTAGATTTCAACCTTTTTCGGCTTTGTGTGCAAGTTTTTTTATCTTCATTTTTTCATGATATTAGCAGTTATCATATTGGCCTCTTATTATGTTCTTCACACTCTTTTGACTCCTATACAACCACCATTTGTTTTCTTTCATTGATATCAACTTATAGACTTATTATCCATTTATCTAAAAAACATCTTACTGAGATGGTAGTTGATGCCGCATTGTTGCTTGGTTCTCGACAACCGACCTGAAACCAATAGATTAAGATTTTGTCATCAACGCTATCTATCCTCTAGATTCGATAGTTCATCACCAATCACCAAAGCACCACTTTACTCAAATGGTTTTCTTTAAATTTCATTTTCCACTGCGTTTGAATTTTCAAGTTTTTTAAACCACGCTTTACTTCCTTTGGTTGTGCTATATCCCCGTAACATCTCTCGGAACCTCCATTCATATTCATCAGACGTATCGTACATAACCCTATTAGTAGAGCCACAATGAGTTTCCTTTTTCCTGTGTGGAACCACTGTAGCATTTTATTGGTGGAGTTTCTCACTTCCGCACAATCTTTTATACATTTAATTCTCCATGCGTCTAAAATCTAAAATTAAAATTCCTAAATCTAAAATTCTTCACCACCGTTTGATCGACTTAATGATGAACTATCATTGTCATCTTCGTTCGAATTAAGAGAATCGTTACTTCGTACTTTTTCTTTTTTATCCCGGCCAAGCCTTTGGCCAAGGCTTAGGACTAAATCAAGAACTAATCCTAGGCCAATTATTCCGAGGCTTGGCCAAGGATTAATTGGCCCTGTGCAGTCTTTTTTAAAAAAAAAAAGAAAAGACTTTTTTAAAAAAAGAAATATGTTAGTGCTTATGTGCTCATGAGAAATCCATTTATTTCTTCTCGACGTTTTATTAAAATTTTTATAATTTTATAAAATTTATTGAATTTATTTATTATCGAATTATATAAACTTAAACTAAATTTTTAAACTTTTATTAAACTTAATAAATTAAACTTTTTTCAATATTGAATGACGTTTATTTATTTATTTATTTTATTTTATTTATAACGAAATTTTATTCGATAAATTTCGTTATTCATCTTTCATTGGTTTTTTATTTTTATTGAAAACAATTCAAATAAATTGTTTTGTTTCATATCGAAAGCAATGTTTCATTATTTTTTCGCTTTTTTCCGCATTATTTTTCACTTTTACTGGAAATAAAAAAAAAAGTTTTGATAATAAATATTTAAAATATTCATTTTCATACTTTTTCCGATGAGCGATGAACGAAAGTTATTTCGTTATTTTCAATATTTAAAGGACTTTGCTATGCTATCGAACAACTAACAAATGAACGATCAGATCAATCTCAAATCAGCGCTAACAATGCACGTTAATAATGAATTGGTTAAATCCACATTTCTATTACTTCCAGGGGCCGCAATTTATGAGCCACGCTGTATGGCCGCGGTTTATTTCTAATACGCAATAGTCACATTTTGTCTGCTGCTGCCCTCGAGGCTGATTATTAGTAATTGTCGGTTGAGATGATTATGGAGAATTTTTTTTGATATTTGATAGGTTGATGAGTATGGGTGGGCTTGGTTTTATTCTGGATATTTGAATCCATAAAATAAAATTGTTTCGAAAGCAGTTGACAGAAGGTGGGACTAGTACTTGTGTTTTTCCTGAAGAGGGAAGTGAACTATTTTTAATATATCTAAAATGACAATTAAATGAGAATGGAAGATGTTAAGAAGCTGTTAGCCTTTGACCACTCATGTCTAAGGTACATTCTACGGATCCGTCGAGCAGATAAAATCGCACATGATTGTATCAATTTTCGCTCAGATACCACCTGTATTAATAATATTATCACAGAGCGTCGCCTTCGCTGCTTAGCTGGACACGTTCTCCGTCTTCCACCACAGGAGTTGGCGCATATTTCGCAATTTGCCGAATCCTTTGGTGGATGGTTTCAGAAGCGAGGAGGACCAATCATGATCTGGACTGATGCAGTCAGAAAAGATTTTGAACGTATAGGGAAACCATCGATATATGGATTTAGACGATGGAAAAAGGAATGGCTTCTATTACTACTAGCATTGGCGTTGGACCGGGCAGCTTGGAGACACCTCTTGTAGCCAACGAAACCAGCCTAACCAGTAATGGTGAGAGCTGTTAGATGAAGAATTATTTTTAAATAAATAACCTCTGACATCGATATTAAATATATTTTTAGAATATTAAATATAAATATTTACATCTTTAGAATATTAAATCCTAAATATTTAGAATATTAAATATATATAAATATTTAAATATTAATTAGTTTCGCTTTATTTTCATTAGCATTGGTTTTGCTGGCTGCACGCTTTACATTTCTCTAAGTGTCCCGATCAGATGTCACTTCTACAGAACCACTAAAACCACTTTTCTCCATCTCTTAAATGCGTTTATTGTTGCATACACGTGCATTTAAAGAAAGTCCACTTTTCACTATCTGCGGATGGTGTGAGTCGCCCTTAGTCTTTGCCAGAGACCTAGGAGCTTGACGGTTCTACGCAGTATCTTCGTAGTAGTGCGTTTTTCTGGACAGAACTTTCTATTGTCTAGTCTTGTTCATGTTACATTTATTTCAATTGTCTCTTTGAAGCCAGATTGATCCGCTACACCTAGCGCATTTTCAGTAATCCGCTTATCATCAGAGTTCTGGTTCTCTATTTGAGGTTAGGCAGATAAGCTTTCAGAAGGTCTTGCCCAAGGACTTTCATCGACTTTCAAGGTAGAAATTAGACTGCTATTCGAGCCCTTATTATTGTTACATTCCATATTAATCGCCTGGCTTAAACACATAAATATTACGGTTTATATAAACAATACGATCTTCTGGACAAATCTGACGTCATTCCAGATATATATATTTTTAAAGCATTATTGTTGGTTAGATTCGGCCACTCCGCTGGCTGAGTAGGCAGATATGCCAAAGAATCCCTTGGCGACAGAAACATGAGCTGTGGTTTGGACAGTTTTATTGCTGCTGCTAGTAGAACTTTAGCAATAGCCTAATGAGCAGCTCTATTCTCTTTTGGTCCCTCCACTATGCGACCGTACTTCCCGGCGAAGAGTGGTGCGTCGATCGGATTCGAAGCCAAGCCTCGATCATCGATGGCAGTTATGGCAATTATCTTGCCACTGAGCCATCGATACAGTAGAGTAAAGGGATGAACAGTATATAATGAACAGCATATGGTTGGCATTCTCTGCTAGAAATATTTGTTGCGCATATGACTTTGATCTTCTGAGATTCCACGGAGAATCGTGGAGAATAATATTGGCCAGTCAACAAGATATTTTAATAACAGAAAAGAATTAGAGAATATCAGTGGTAAAACTTAATGCAGTATCAAGTGAGATCGGGAAGAAAATAAGAGAATTTGGAGAAATACCAAAGCTGAAGGAAAAATAAGAAAAATAATAGATAGTGAAGGTCACAATGGTCCTAGTGATGGAAGGAGCACTCGAAGTTGTGATTCCAAATCTGGAAAAGTAGTTGCATATTCTAATATTATTATCAAATATCTTTATTCAGAAGAGTACTGCTAAGAAAAGCTAATGAGTTAATGGGCAGAATTCTCACGTTCCCAGATCTCTGATAGAGGACCCGAGGTTGAAGACGACCATACTACCACCAGGTGACAAAAGAATTTTTTTAATAGTATTATTTATACAAAAATTTATACTCGCTGTTGGATCGCAGAATTTAAAGAATTAATTACTCTGAATTATTGGTTATGCCAGGATCTGTAACCAAAAAAGAATGAAAAAAACTGGACCCAAAACTAACACCTGGAAATATATTCGTACGGTTTTTCCCAGGACCTCGTCCATACATCCATTATGCATTTCATTTTCATTGGATGAGAATTTAGCTGTAGCGACTTCGAATCCACTTAAGTGTGCACTCTACTCGAAATATTTGTCATTCGTTAGATTGCTGAAAACTTATATTACTGCAGCTGCAGTCGAGCTCGAATTTCATCTTTCGTTTTGTTATTGGGTATGAGAATGACACGAAAATATTCTAAAAAATTGGCATTTCACCCGATAAGTTAATTTGTAGATTCTACAAACGACTAGAGTTTTGCCTTATTTGCGTCGTTCGAAAGTCCGTCTTTTCCTTTACACCATCGTTCTATTATTTATATTATTATTTATTTATTAATCCGATAATTAAAAATTAAATTTACTAATTGTTTTTTCGTTTTAAACTTAGAAGAAAAATTGTTTATTTATTTAATGTTTTTTCTTCGAATTATTCAAATTGTTTTTTTCTTTAATTAATTAATTTATCGCGAAAAGAAACGAAGTAAAAACGAGTTCTCTTATTTACTTTATTTGAAATGAAGTACAAACGATTCAATTTTGAACTTTTGAAGTAAATCATTTCGAATAGTATCGATGAGCGCAATTACGCAACTTACGAAAGTGGGTCGAAGGTCATTAAGGTCATTTAATTATATCATTTATGATTTTAAAAATATTACAAATATTGTTCCATTTCGTGTAGTATTTATGCGAATGATGTTCTTCATAGGATATTCACGTGAATATCATGCTGAAAGATGATAGACAAACGGGATTCGAAGAGAATACGAGAGAGTCGAAGAACATAGATAATTTATCGGTTTGCATTAGGCGATCGTGCTTTGTCGGCTTCTTGTCGTGTTGCAGTGTTGGTCTTCGAGATCGGTGGAAGTGGACCCGTGTCGGCTGAGCTGTGGTCCATCGCCCATAGCCTGGAGTCCGTAATCCATAATCCATAAACTGTAGTCAGCTGTTTCTGATTGTGACGTTGAAAATAAAGTGAAATACTTTTTTCACAAATTTTTTCTTTTAAAATGATTCGATGATGTTTTTAATAGATTCAACAGCCGTATCTTTATATTTATTATCTTTTTTTTCCAAATAGGTTTTAGTATTTAGATTTCAGAAGAAGTAATTGATAAGCATCAATTACTAGTAATCAGTACACGCTATCAGTGTTAATAACTGATAACGTATATGTATTTTGTAAGGGAAATGTAGAAATATATTTACCTTATGAGAATGCGTTGTTGATTGGATCATTTCGTTGTTTTTCGTTTTAATCACATTATGTTACATAGTTTTAATTCTTTTATCAGTTGGATTTGCGTAACTACTTTTACATTGAAATAATTTTTAATTTTGTGATAACCAGCTTCCTATGGGTGAGTTTTCAAAGGTTTCTTCGTTTTGTTCTGAGAAAAACGATTTCGACGAATTCGTTAAGCTAAGGCTGATAATTCGTCGTGAAATGTCCACTGCTACTCGTCCGTTTCTTCCTTTTTTTCTAGTTATTAATTATTGTTAATCTATTTTTTGTTAATAATGAAGAAATTTTTAAAATGGATTAGATTTTAATGGATTGAATTATAAACGCCAAATAATGAAAATACAAAAAAAATCAATTTGAAATTAACAAAAAATGTCCTTTATTTGTCAAATCGCTATAAGTAATTCATAAGTATTTCTCTGTATCGGAGTTCTTACGATGATTTTCGTGATTTTCGTTTGTCCTAGGTCTTCCTCTTTTGTTTTTTCCATTCGTTATTCGTCCTCTCTAATAAATTGGCTAAGGTTGCTTAGTATGAGGTCTCTCTGATCTTTCATGTGGCATTCCTGGTTGCATCTTTGCAAATGCCCATTAATTTTCTTTGTATTTCTATCTATGGTATGCTGAAATTAAATTTGTTTTCCAAGGTCCGTAATTCATTTAAAACTGTTTAATCTTTTTTTTCATATTAATTTTATTTGGTAATAAAATTGTAAAAATGATTTTAATTCATTTCTTTTTTATCGTAAAAGAAAATAATTTGAATCCCAAAAGATTTTATTTCAGATAAACAAAAAAATTTCTGCAAAAAATACATTTTTTGATTTTTTCGAAATTTGTCTCGGTTTGTTTTTTCCTTTTATTGATTTTCATTCATATCATTTCAAAATTTGATTTTTCTATTTTTTTACTAAAATGAGTCAGAAAGTATCTTTAAACGAGAAAAGAATAATGGTGCATGAAAGCCGAATGATTATCAGCTCAAATTAAAATAAATTATTGACTCGGCTGCTGCACCTGTCGGGAGTTGCCCTATCACTAAGAAATCCGCAGTGGTGATAAATCTACCGCCAAGTGACATCCGCGGAGAAATTTTCCAACCACACTAATCGCTAGCGATTGATCGAGGAGTAAGAAGGATTATGATCGTTGCGGTGTAAAATCATCATCGTAATCGCTTAACTGTTCAATGCGTCGCAAAATACAACCTCTTTTGATTTGCTCTGAAAACATTTTAATACTATTTTATACAATTTTGACCCTACTATAGATTAAAAAGGGACCTTTAAATTTGCTTTCTTTTCTATTATTTTGTCAGATTTCCAGTGGAATGATGCGCATTTCGCTAAACAGCAGTCGATGATAAATATATCAGTTTTTACATTGTTGTCATGTGATGAATCTATTGTGAAATCTGTGTTCTTTGAGGCTCTTTAGAGATGTTTCTTTCTGCTGAATAAGTTCTACTCTCATTTTTTTTGCTTCTATTAATTGTCGAGTGATTGATAAATTGTTTCAATTTTGGATAAACAACTCGGTTTGTGCCGATTAGTGCTCCTTGCAATATGAGGGGAAGAAAAGTTTTGAAAAATTATAAAATATATTGTAAAATTACTAAAAAATTCTGAACGATTTTTTTGTCGATTTGTTCGTTCGTATTTCGTTCATAGGAAAAGAATATGAGTTATGAAATAGTATTTTAGATGTCAACTGGTGTAAGAAATCGGCGTATTTCATTGGGATCACCAAAAGATTTAAAAGAAGTTCATTTTTTTGAAGAGGAAACTATACCCGATGTGCCAGCAAAAGGAGCGCGAGTCAAGGTTTGCCAACTTTTGATAGAAAGAAACATGGGCTTTTATATTTTCATTAAGATTTAGAGCTTAGGACGGTCATCAGTAAGGTTAATAGAACAAAGTCCGGAAAGAAGCGCGATGATAGATTTCAACTTTAAAGAAAACATTTGAGATTTGAAGATTTTTTTCCTTTTATAATGTAATCAGTAAGAGATTTCAACAATATTGTTTGATATCAATAAAAAATTCTCTACTTCCGTAGTTAAGGTTGGGTGCAATATAGCAGTTAAGTAGAGAATGATGGATTTATAAAAAGTGCCACCATTTTTTTTTACACATAGGTTTGCTATGCGGGAGTATGTCTCACCGATCGTGAAGTTGCAAATACGAAACAGGCTAGAATAACGAATGGTATCAAGGACACCAGTCTTTTTCCAGGTGACATGATTTTTTTATCCTTCCTCTTTTTAATTTTTTTTATTCCTCTTTTCCTTTCTATAGGTATTTGAACATTAGTAGATTTAATCCATCCAATTCACTTTAAGCCATTAAATTTTCTTCGAACTACAATGTCACTATCTATTATCGAAGGATGTGTAATAATTTCCTAATATTTGTTGGTATTAATCATTTCTCAATATACATTATTTAAGGAAGCGAGCTCAATGACCTGCTAAAAATTCAGACAATTAGATTTTAATGCAAGTTAAAAATCTTTATTTGGAGAAAATCCTACTGGAAGTAAGAGTGCAAAAAATGAGAGAAAACAAACATTAAGGAAATTTTTAAGGCCTAAGACTTATGGAATATTGATCTATTAAAATAAATAGTCGATTAATATTTTTATCTCATAATTTTTATGAGTAAATTTTTATTGCTATTTAAGAGATATTTTTCAAATTATATTTTTTTTTCTTCTAACAACTCTCATTACCGGTTATGCTGGTTCCAGTGGCTACAAGACTCTTCAGAGCGGCACCGTCGTCTGGTACCATCGTCAATAGTAATAGGAACCATTCCATCGTCTAATTCCATATATTGTTGGTTCACCCATACGTTCAAAGTCTTTTCTGATTGTATCAGTCCAGGTCTTGATTGGCCCACCTCAATTTCGACGCCACCTATCACACGTTTAACAAGTAACGAAATATGTTAATTCCTGTGGTGGACGAGGAAGAACGTCCCCTTACCAGCGAAGGCGACGATCTATGACGCTCTAACATTAATGCAAGTGGTATTTGAACGAAGGTGGATGCGATCATGTGGCATTTTACCGTTTAACGGATCGGTAAAATGCATTTTAGACAAAAGTGGTCAAAGGTATATAACTTCTTAATATCCTCCACTCTCATTGGCCATGCCTCAGAGCGACATAGCAGGACCGAACGAATCACGGCAAATAGAAGCTAACTTTCGTTTTTTTCGTGATTTCACGAAGGCTCCATAAAGATTTTGTTAGCCGAAAGAACGCATTTCTACCTGTCTGTCCGGCTTGTAATCATTTTTTGCCTAGCTATTTCATATTAGAATTAATTCAGGGTATTTAAAAGTGGGCACTTCCTCAACTGGCAATGAAGAAATAAGAGGAGATAACCTTGTTTATAGGACGAAAATACTTTCGTTTTACGCCGACACGTTAATTCAATATTATTTGCATTTCTACATAACAAAAAGGACTATTTCATCAACGTGCTCGAGATCTATGATACATGCTCTGGGGTGATTCGGACATCTCTTGAGTGCCGACAAGCGTTTTCCATTATCCAGTCTATCGCATAGTTAAATATTGTAAGGGAAAGGACACAAGCCTGACAGGCACCAGTTTTCATTTCGAAAGAGTATGTCAGTTCCCCATATATACAGACCTGCGCCGACGCTCATAAAATGCCTTTGTAAGTCTAATGATTTTCTCTGGAACAGCGTCACGTTCTATTACCCTCCAAAGTGCTGCTCTATCAATTGAATCAAAGAGTCGATGAAGCACGTAACAGTGGATTACAAATATCTGAAGCGATCTTCCAATACCCTTCTTAACGTGAATATCTGGTCAGAACAACCACCCCCCGGTCTGGATCCAGGTTGTTTAGAATGTATCCGGCTATCCTATAGTTCCATAATTTTGTTGAATAAAAAGGGAAGCAAAAATTTTCATTGAAACATCTAGTAGGCTGCTTCTTCGATAATTGTCGTAGTTTGTCCAATCATCTTTCTTGAGAATTGGGAGCAGAAATGTTTGTTTTGTCCCAATCATCTATCTGGTAATATTTCTTTTTTCCATACCAGAGTGCGAAGGTGTGTTATGAAGGACGATGGACAACATTAAAAGAGTTCAGCCTGAAGACCATCTTTTCCCGGAGTCTTATTGGCCTTAAGCTTATGGATTGCAGAACAAGCGTACGGATCGATGGGCGAATCGGTTACATTCGCCAGGTGGCAACAGATGGCGCTTCATGGTCAAGTTTGGCCTCAAGAATTCTTTCCATCTTCATTCATATGAGGCTCCTTAATACTCTTGATCGCCGCGCTATTGTTGTACCTTACCATTTCACTAATCGAGATATAATTGCTTTATGAAGAAGGCGGAATAGTTTCTTACTATCGACTAATCGAGCCACCGTCTCCATTCTTAAGGCCAAGTCACTCTAACAGAGATTTCCCGCGGTGCTGCTTTCCCCATTGGCATACCGATCTCCGGTGCAATATTTGCCAATTGTCGAGGTCATTGCGGCGGCATTATATTCTACGCGCGCATTCCAGCCCGATTATGTCCATATCGTGTTTCGGTAGAGACTTTCTTAGCATTTGAAGTTTCGCATATAACTTATCTTTATCACGATCATCTGCTGACAGAGTTGGAGCATAGACAATGATGACCGGGTTATTGCGGAAGCTTTAAAACTGGCATGAACCATAGGTCGCTTACCCATTTCCACGCAGTCAATACAGAATGAGTGTTGTCAGATACGACAATCAGCTACGCCATTTCACCTCGAGTTATCCGAAGGATCACAGTGATATAGCTATTGCCTCTGTTCCAAGCCAGGATTAGTAATTGCGCAAGATCCGAAGTGGGGAAGATGGATCTCCGACAAGCAAACTATTACTAATATAATATAATATTAAACTCGAATTCAAAAGTTTAATTTCAGGTTACGAAGTTTCTGGTGTTGTGGAAGCATTTGGTGACGAAACAAAGCCCTCTGAATATGATTTAAAAATTGGAGACAAAGTTTGTTTTTACTTCATTTTGGATTCAAACCAATTTAACTGATGGTTTCGGAATACTTACTTTCGTTTCGAAAAACTTGGAATAGATCTTAAATGGATCATATTTATCCAATTTACCGATAAGACTATCCAATATTAGGAAAAGATCGACCGCATCCCATCCGCATTTTTTTCTAGGTAATTGTGTGGCCAACAGAAGAAATGTGTCAACATGGTTATGCCGATTATGTAATCGTACCCACGTTGCAATTTTTGATCAAAATACCTGATACCCTTTCGATGCATGTTGCTTCAATCTTGCCAGCTGGTGCGACATGGGCTCTTTCCGCAGTCATTCAGGTTTGACACGCGTTCCAATTTCAAACTGGTGCTTGCATCTTTTTAATAATACTACTAATACTGGTAGGAGTGACACTTGCTACGAGTAGACGGAAGTTTTCAAACATCTCGATGAAATGCCATATCTAATTTTAGCAGATGCCTTTTTCAATTTTTTGTTTATTTTCAAGGAAAATAAGTATGGCATAATAGCATTATATGGTATGTCAAAAACATGATAGAGTTAATAATACAATAATAATAAAATAATAAATAATAATAAAATAATGGAAGATCTATGATGGAAGATCATGAAAAAAATGAGAAAAAGAGTATAAAGAATAATATAGCAATAATGGATATATTATATTAATTGAATTGAAAGTGATATTTCTAATCTATAATAAAAACTGCTAAATAATATTGAGAATAATATTATTTCGTCTTGTTTCAAATTTTTTGATGAAGTGTACCACATCTAGTTTTCTAGCGTACAAAAAATTCTTTGTGGTTGCTATTATATTTCCTCGTTAGCAAATGCATTTTTAGTCAACATGTGGAATAGCATTTCCTATTTTAATTATGCTATAGAGGAAAAGAATTTTATTTTAAATTAGATTTATCTGAGATTTATCTGGAATAGTTATCTTATTTTTAGGCTAGACCAATCGTTGAGGCTTTCGCTCAATCAAAAGGTTTCTGTAATATTCTTATTGTCGGTGCAGGAGGACTTGGTTTGTGGTTGCTTAAACTTGCCAAGCATTTTCTTTCCGGAAGTCATGATCGCAAAATTAAGGTACAACTAAAATATTTTCTTTTCATCTGTTGATTTTTTTCATAGAGTTATTGAATTATTTATGTTGACTTGATTTAGATTATGGTGGCCGATGCTCGCGAGGAACGTCTTTGTTTAGCTGAACGCAACGGTGCAGATTTCGTTGTCCATTGGGATGATTCAGGTATATTTGTAATGGCTTATCTTTTGAGATGAAGAAAACAGGTTTTTTCATTTTTCATAAAATTTTTTCTCAGAGTTCGAAGAATATCTTATAATGCGAACGAAAGATGTCGCTCGGACTGGCGTTCAAGTTGTGTTCGATTTCGTCACATCACCTCGAACAGTGACTCGGTCGTTGAAGTGCCTTGTTGAGGTTTTTTCTTTTCCTCATACTCGTTATTATTTATCGTTATTCGTTATTAATAAGATTACTAACGAACTAAACAATATTCAAGGTAATTGTTCGATTAAGCTTTAATAAGTGATAAAAATTGTAGGGTGGTGTTCTGTTCGTCGGCGGTTTAGCTGGTCTTGATGTTCAACTACCAATTAAGCTTGTTGCACATAATCGCCTTGCTATTATGGGCGTTGCTCGTGGCTCTATTGATCAGTTGAAGAATTTAGTTTGTTTGATCGCTGGTGGTCAGATTGAAGCTCCAGATTATCGCGTTTATCCTGTTACGCAGGCTTCACAGGTACATATTTTATCGATTATTTCATTTTATTTGATTTAGTCCGATCCGATAAAAAAACGTTGATTACATCTTGAATCCAATAACATTATTTTTTTCATTTTTTTTGATTTTATTTTTTTGTTCTATTTTATTATTAACTCCAGCATATATCCAGCTTGCTTTATTTGTAAATAAATATGAAATGTAATTCAGTGTATTATTGAAGCTATGGTTGCAGGTGTTGAAACAGTTGAGTATGTCAGAAGTGGAAGGTCGCGCGATTCTTGAGGTTTGTGATCCAAATACAGCTCTCCAACCTATTAACAATGCATAAAAGATTAATTTGTTAACAGGAAATGCCAATATATCGTCAGTGTCGATTTGCTATATAATTATGAGCATTTAAGTATACGCTCGATTTTGTACAACTAGTTGATTCTGTTTTTTTCATTTTTTTTCACATATGGTATTCATTTAGTGGCTATAACTCATTTTACTCATTTTTTTGCCATTTTCGGAGTAGTGATCTTTCTTCATTACTATTAAGCAGGCATACATTTATTAATTTTTCATCTCAAAATACTTTGACAAGACGATGTTATCTTTTGCAATTTATTTGTTCTCTTCGTATTATGGAAAGTAATTTTGATGAAGAGAATTTTGATACATTTTAAAGTTCAGCTATCTGAAGAAATGTAAAATAAAAATATTAATGAAAAGAGTTCTCTAAATTGTATTCGATTTAAATATCGTCCAAATTGGTTTTCATAGGTGGGAGATGCTTTGAATAACTAAGTGGTTTAATCACTTGCTCAGAATATAAAGAAAGCATTAAGTCATTAACAAAAGGTCGTTTTGTCATATTTTCCTGGATTTTGAGTGGGCATAAGTATAGGGGTGTTCTGGAGGAACAGAATCTAGAAATACAAAGCACAAGTGGAGGAAAGGTTTAGAGGGGGTTAAAGGACCAATATGGCAAGGTGTTTTCTCTCCCCCACACGATTAAAATAAATTATTATGCGGGTAGTGAATTTTTTAGCGGGAAGCAGTTTTCGTAACGATCTATAACCAAGTAAAAATTGTTTAAAGCGTTTGAAGTCGATTATTGGATATAGGTCATGTTGATTGCATGAGGAAATAAGCTACGAATCAGCTCGAGCCGGAAGAATACAAAAGCATTTTTGCCATGGAATTTCGTATATTGCAAAAGAGTGGGCTGGCAAGGCATGGAATGTTGAAGTTTGTTTTTTTTTGGCAGCATATTTGGTCATTGCCTCGTTCCACCAACCTTTATTATGTCTTTCACCTACTTCGTCGTGCGGCCATTTCGCGGTTAGAAAAATCGTTAGCCATCTTTTTAATGGCGATTTAAACGGATAGAATTCGAGTTTTGTGTCAGGAATTCAGAAAATTTTTAAAGCAGTGATAAGAGTAATCATTCGATCACTAAATTATTTTTTATTTCAGTTTATAATTAATTTATCATTGTTTTATAACTAATTTTTATTGAAATTTATTTATCTTCATATAAATTTTTCTTTTTTCTTTTCATAATATAAGAACTCCAATAAAGCGAATAAAAAGCGTAAGAAATTAAATGGCGCATGTTTAATTACTCAGGTTACCTCATAGTACCGTAGAAACGCCAGTCTTTATGCCGGTTGGTACGCAAGGAACAGTAAAAGGAATATTGCCGGAACAGTTAATTGATATGGATTGTCGCATATTCCTTTGTAATACATATCACCTTGGTCATCGTCCCGGTCATGAACTTGTTCAGAAAGCTGGAGGTCTTCATCGCTTGATGAATTGGCCTCGATCATTGCTGACTGATTCGGGAGGTTTTCAGGTTAAAATTATTTTTTTGTGATAAATGTTGATTAGTAAAAAATAGTTTCCAGTTGATAAATAATAAATAAGCATCACAGATTTTCAGATGGTCTCTTTGAGTAAACTCATGAATGTCGATGAGACGGGTGTTAATTTTGAAAGTCCGTATACAAGAGAAATGATGCTTTTGACTCCCGAAAAAAGTGTCCAAATTCAGGTTTTCTTTAAATTTTTGCATTATTTATTTTAAATTATCATTGAATTTTTGACTTATTTATTAGAAATTCTTAAAAAAAATTAAAGTAAAATTATAGTAAAATTATATAAAATTATAGAAATATTTTATTAGAATTATTTAATTATGGTCAAAATTTAAAAAAAAAATTAATATTGTGATTGATACAAAATTTCGAAGACAGTATAATTTTTTGAAATTATATTATATGACGCTAAATTATGTTCTATTTGATTAAGAAAAGCAGTAAGATAATTTTTTTTTAGGAAAATCTCGGAGCAGATATTATAATGCAACTTGATCATGTTGTGCATGTTCTTACCGAAGGACCTGCTGTCAACGAAGCGATGTGTCGCTCCATTAGGTTTTCTGAACATTTTTACCAGATTTTATTCTAATGTATACTTATAAATTTGAATATAAATTCGTAAAAGATTTTTTAAGGTGGTTGGATCGATGCTTGGAATCACATTCGCGTGATGATCAAGCGTTATTTCCTATCATTCAAGGTGGCCTCGATTTTGAACTTCGCAAGAAGTGCATTGCAGAGATGGCAAAAAGGGCAAAAGTTGGCATAGCCATTGGCGGTCTTAGCGGAGGCATTTTTCTTCCTATTTGATCCATTCTTTTGTGAAAGTTTTTTGTTTTTGAATTATTGGTTATTTTGCAGGCGAAAATAAGGATTCGTTTTGGAAAATAGTTGCTTTTTGTTGCAAGGAAATTCCTGAACATTTACCTCGTTATGTTATGGGAGTTGGATTTGCTGTCGATTTGGTGATTTGTTCACTTCTTGGTGCAGATATGTTCGATTGTGTTTATCCAACTCGTACAGCTAGGTATGTTTCATTTTCTTCTTCATAACCAGAAATTTAGTTATTAGAGAGATTAAAAGGAACTTCTCATTCAGATTTGGATGCGCGTTGGTACGGCACGGCGGCACTCTGCATTTAAATAAGCAAGAATTCGCAGAAGATTTCTCTCCTATTGATAAAGATTGCACTTGTTATACTTGTCAAAATTATAACAGAGCGTATATTCATTCCATAATTAATCAGGTAAGAATTTTCTTTTTTCTGTTAGAAAACATATTCATTCGTTGAATTTAAAATTTTTTATAGGAAAGCATTTCTTGCCATCTGATTACCATACACAATATTCGGCATCATTTGGATCTCATGCGTCGTATTCGTGAAGCTATTGATAATAATTCAACTGAATCATTCCTTAGAACATTTTTAGAAGAGCAATTTCCGCAAAAAAATATTCCCGATTGGATTAAAAATGCATTGCAATATATGAATTATAATATTGAATGGATAAATAATACTCGCAGTTCTTAACAAGTAAAGAAGAATATTTTTTCAGTAATTCGAATTCAGTAATTTTGATGAAATAATGAATTTGAATTCTGAATTTAATACTATAATATAATTTTTCCCACAAGTATTAAAGATTTATTTTTTCTATTTTTCTTTGCGTTTAACTTTTGATTTTATTGTTGTAATATTCAATTCAAAATAAATTATATAATTTGTTTACAATTTTCCTGGATGCACAAATGCAAATTTAAATGTGGCAAAATTTAGGAAATATGGACGATTGATAGCAAAATAAATTTAGAATAACATCAAAAATATTGAAGGCATTTTCAACATAAAATGCTAAATTTGACGCCGTGTTAAGCTACTGATAATGTGACACACAAGGAGGACAAGGAGGACGTAAGATGGTCGTTTAAGATGAGGTGCGATAAGATGAAAACTTCCATGCCTTCTTCTCGTCGTTTGCTTTTCTAGTAAAATATCGTTTTTTTTTAAGTTACCAATTATCTAATAGCTAAATTTAACCTTAAATTTGATAGTACGATGAATGATGAATTTCAAAAAAAAATTTTTTGTCAAATTACGACGTTCTTGTTTTTTCTTTTTTTTTAATGCGCTTGTCATTCATGATTAGATTTGCTCTACTAGCTTTATAGCTTTTGATAGAGAATCAGTTAGCGATAGAAATACGAGTGAATGGCCAGCATCATCCGGTTTTTTTGAAAGATAAATTTACTTGATAAAATAAAAATTCATCAAAAAATGGCTGTTATCAATGGCTGTGATAATTTAGTGATAAATTCAAGTGGCAGCACTGTTTTGTTCTAATGATTGTTAAATGATAATTATCTTTCTAACTAAAGAAATTTGAGTGAAAAATTGTAAAGCAAATATTCCAACAATGTTTTGATTTTGCTCGTTCTACAGATTTTAGAGCGAAACGCTTTCATCATCATGGAGAGAAGTACGAATGAATCTGTAATATCCATTCAGATTTCGCTCGAATTAGCTTCCTTTCATACTTTATTGCACACACATTTTGCAAATGAATCGTTTATAAATTCTCCCTATTACTTCATATTAATAGCATCGAAATGCACGAATGCATGATATTGATATGATAACGTATTGTTGATATGAAAAGAAGGTTCAACAAAAATACGTTTTCGAAATTGCAAAAATACAAAAATAGTTTTATATAATTTAACCATTTTCAATGTTTCAGATTTTTTCGATATGGAAATGGAAATAAAAAAATTCCAAATGAGACATTTAATTAAATTTTTCATTTAATATTTTGACGCTATTAAAGAGAAAAAATACTCAAATATTCAATGAATAAATTATTTGAAAAAAAAACATATTTTGTTCGTAATTTATTCAAATAATTCGCTCATCATTTCATTACCGTTCTGAAAAAAAAATTTTATTCGAGCAAAAGTGTCACTTTTTTTCTAAACTAAACTTGGATCTTAAATCCCTCGGATCCGCCACTAAATCTCACCAAGCAGCATCCACTGGATCTCAATCCGCCACTAAATCTCACCAAACAGCATCCACTGGATCTCATTTTTACTACGATAAACAGACGAAAATCAAATCGAACGTCATTTGCATTTAATCAAGGGATCAAGCAATCATCATTCTTCTTCATGAGCAATGGAATTAGTTTTTCTTAGTGGCCAAGTGATTTCTTAGAATGATTAAACAGAATACATAATACCTCATCAATTCCATAGAGCGGTGTAATGGAAGCCAAATCAATATTAACGATTTGCGCTGAGGCATGATTTGAATTTGTAACGTTTACTTTCCTTATAGCAGGTTCGTATCCGTCAGCCATTACCATAATTTCGTAATATCCTGGAGTAAGCAATCGAAAATAATCACCAGTTGTCCCTAAATATTCAGATTTTTATTTATTGATAGGAATATTTAAATTTACTTTTTAATTTGTCTATGAAAATTTTATGAAAATTTTAGAAATTGTTACATAACCCATACACGTTGTGACAGAGTGCTTGATTGGCGAATTGTCGGTGCCATTCCAAACCCATACGATTGCACCAGAAATCGGTTCACCAGTAAGTCTATCTGAGACAACACCCTTTATACCAATGTGCGCCTGAAAATTGTTCATTTTAATCTTTTAGTAGTTTAGTATCTTCTTAATCATGAAAATTGTTTGAATCAACGGATTGCCAACAATCGCCAATGTGACATATTTTTTCACAATGCTGAAATAAATTTCCGACCTGTCGAAGAAATTCGATAAGTGCTTTTTTGTTTTCTCTCCAAAAAGTAGGCAATTTCGACTCGGTGGGGAATTTATCACATGAAAGTTCCAGTGTAATTTCGAAAGCGTCTGTTGCTAAATAATTGAAATCTTGCATGCCTCCTGACACTGAGTACCATTGAGCGCCATTAGTTATTCCTCCTTTAAAGAAATAATGTGCAATTTCAATGGTTATTTGCGATCATCCCCAATAATGATAATTGACATTATCTGCCGAAAACAATTATCGTAAATGTTAACGTAATTAAAACATTGATTATCCCGTTCGTGCGAATATTATTTACATTTCATTTATGCTTAAAGCCGTAAATATTTCAGGAAAAGCGAGAAATAACATGGAAAACCTTGTTTTGCAAAGGCATCTTTCGCACGACCATCACACGATGTATGATCTTTCTTAGCCATTGATGCATGATTTTTTGCATAAACTTCTGCTAGATATCTTAAAATCGGCAAAAGTTATATTTAGTATGAACACAAAAAAAATCTGATTTCTTTGCTTTAAAATAACGCTTCTTAACTATTTTTATTCCATGGACATCTCCGGCTTGTTGAAGCCCACAATTTGTTATGGCCTATGGATTCCAAAACAATGCATAGAATATAAAAAAATACTATAGAAAAATGTAATATGAAGGTGTTTATAATTTATAATTTATGCCAGTGGCATTGAAACGTACATTCATATGTGACAGAAATGGTACAATCCAATTATAGGTAAATAAAATAATTTTTTGTCATGCATATAAGATAATCTCTTCTCAAAGTTTCCTTTAAAATCTATCCATGAAATCTAGAAACTTCGATTTAAGTGATATTAAATTAGTAAAATCTGGATTTTAAATACTATAATAAAATTAAATGATATACAATTATTACCTGAATGTTTGGTCATCCGGTGATTTAGCATAGTCATTGATACCAGGATATTTTGATGCATCAAAAGGATAGTTTGCAACCAAATCACCTTCATGAAGATTGGCTGAAAGAACGAATGGAATCGAAAGAATCCATCTAACAGCTGCTCTAGTTTCCGGCTGATACTGTAAAAAAATGAATTAGTTTATGAGAAATGTTTGTAAAGATTTAAAAAAAGATTTTGCACCACATTCATTAAGGCAGAAATCTTCGTCTAATATTTTTTCACAATTTATATATAATTTAAAATTCATATCCGAAGGAGATCGAACAACTGTAAGAATTCGAAATGATTAAACATTTATAAATTTTCGACTAAAACTTCATCCCTTTGAATAAATAAGTTTTGTGAAACAAAAGAGAATTGCTTACTTAGTGGAAATTAATTTAAATATATCAGCTATAAATTTTTATAGATTTCACCGAAAAAATTTTGTCGAATAGAAAAAATTTTTTTTTCTTTTAAATTCTTTTATTATTTGATTTATTCGCATAATTTTAAATGCTCTGATTCAGGTCATCTAAATTTTTCTGAATTTCAAATTATAGAGCGATTTATTCATTTTTACCTCTCTTTTGTCGTCATCAAAAAGGCCAAGTATATGATCATAACGGGGAATCCCTTGCTTCTCCAATGAATAATAAATGCTGTCAAGATCAGGAAAGTCTCGATTGAGGTCAACTCCGTTCGCATTTCCTCGTCCTAAAAGCCATCCTCTTTCGTTCCTATCCTAGAATTGATCGGCTCCAGTGGACTTTTACTTAATTTCATCATTATTATACAGCTAACGCTTATGGCAAAACAAATGCATAGGATATGCAAATACAGATCATGCATATAAATTAACGCAATCCAAGCAATTTACTGAATGGATTAAACGAAAAATCAATTTCTAGTCTATAAAACAGTTAAATGGACTCCCTAAGATTCATGGTGACTCTTCATGAGTGATTAAACATGTCACTTCTGTTGCTTAAGGCAAGTAAGATAATATATAAAAAAATGGAAGCTTAACAGTTCTTTGCTACTGCAATTTGACAGTTTCTACATTTTATGCCAAGCATAGTTAAGAAATAAGTTAAAAAATTCAAAAGATATTGCAAAAGGGATGCGTAGAATTTTATGGAAACACCTAGTGGTCCATAGAAAATAAAGTTTGATGATCACCATCAAAACTAAATAAATTACAGATGTTGTGAAGATCGGGGAAATTATAAATTCATCACTTAAATATAAATTTTATAAAATTTCAAAAAAATATTCACCGCCATATATGCAAGTTCAAATCCGTCGGGATTCATTGATGGGAGAATATGAATCGAGGTCGTATTTAATAATTCCATGATCTCGTCGTCATTTCTATTAATACCATCGCAAAGATACGCTGCCAAGCGCAATAGTAATTCTCTACCAATCGCTTCATTGCCATGCATGTTACCAATGTATTTCACTTCAGGTTTTACTATAATAAAGCACTTTTTCAAGTTTTCTTGTTTATTTCAAATGTTTTTAGGAATCTGGAAGTATAAATTTTAGAGGAAATTGACTTAAGATAAAGTAGTGAAATCAATAAATCCTCTTTGCTGAAATCGATGAAAGCGGAAATTAATGACGATGAAATGCGTAATCAGCCAGCGATCAGCATTTGATAGTTTTAATAAATAAAATTAAATATAAAATTAAATATGAGCGACACATCCGTTTACCTCTTAAACATCAGTCCTATTTCTGGTTTGGTTGGTTTCATGGACTAATAATGAGGTGTTTAGGCATTTTTTGCCAGATGATCTTTTGAGGTATAGGATGACTTCTTGCATCAATCTGGATTTCGCTTTCGATGACTATTTTATTCACAGACTACAATCGGATGCTGGATTTATTTGAAGCAAAATTTGATTCAATTGCCTTAGGTGATCCTTCAATTCGCCCATCCAAAGTCAAATTCTATGGTATCGCAACTCATTACGTAATAATTTGAATAAAAACATAATCTACTGCTCATTATTAATTATAGAAACCAAGTAAAGCCCAATACTACTTAAAACTTGAGATCATCATGAATTTTTCTTATATATCTGGCTTAATCAAATAATATTTTTCGCCTTTTTTAAATTATTGTTTTATACTTTCAAATTTCTAACTCGTAAATCAAATTACGCACGGTTTGAAATGAAGTGAAATGGAAGTGAAATAAAACGTACAAAGTTGGTGACCTCCAGGTCGAGTTGAAAACTGAATAACTAATAGTTGTCGACCTTCAACACTTTCTCCAATAGATTTCACTTCAGTATATTTAGGACATTGTTTATGTATATCAATAAGCTTAGATACAAGATCTTCATAATTGTGGTACTTCGACCATTCATCGGTGCATGAAACAAAATAGATAAAATAAAATAATAGATATATAGCCACACAACTAATGTTCATAATGGCTGCTTGCGATGAATGATTTTCAAAAAGTCTTTAGTCCTTTTCACATTTGCTCATGCATACATACGCTGACGCTTTTCTAAATTACTTCTGATGACGTCGTTGACAAATCGATTCGTTCGCTGTAAGTAAAGCCAACTAATAAATAATAAAAAATGCGAATGTTGAATCTATTTTATTGTGAAAATTTGCGTTAATTGTACGAAATTCTAAATTTGAGGCGTTCAAAAATTCGTTTAACATGAACGCTGTCCTAAATGAATTCTTTTAACTAATTAGCGGCGTCGAATTTTTTTTCTACTGTTTAGTGATTTCCTCTACAGCTTTTTGAAATTTTCATATATTATAATTATATTGTTCATCTATGAATTTAAAATATATTTTAAATAACAATTTATTAACTTTAAACATATAATTTATTTCCTCTTGTTAACTTGATTTACAGCAAAGTTGTCGGATTGTTACGAAAAATTTGCACTGTTGATAATCTATGAATAACAATAGCAATATCTGAATAGCTAATTTAATTATATATTAAAATTTTGTTGAAAATTTCTAAATATATTTGGCTTCTGCACATAGTAATTGAACGATATTCAATGTTATCAATAAATGAATCAATAAATATTATCAATAAAGGAGAAATTATAAACCAAAATTGGAAAGATAATGAACATTTGGAATGATCCATTTGTTGTGATGCATATTATTCTCGTGTAGTTTCATGATTCACTTCTCAGATTAATATTAAAATAAAAAGATTGTAAATGAAAAAGAAATGTGGCACAAGAATGTAGGTGGTGGTTTATAATTGGTGACGCACGAGTATCGCTAATATTACTGTAGTTTGTTTTCCACATTCATGGATGAGGGGAATGTTGAAATTTTATTAGCGATAAATTTTTTCCGCAGTTAATGAACGTAGATAAATAGATTTTTTGTTGCAAAAAACATTCATACTCGACCATATAATAAGTGAAATTCTTAGTAAAAATTAGATCGAATTGAAATGTCTGATTTAATGAAAGAAAGATAAAATCTAAAGAACATTTATCAAGTTCATACAAAAAAAAATATTCGTGGATACCATTTAACAACTATAACATCGAAAAATAAATATTTGTACAATTTTCTTGCAATAAGGATTAAGCCACATTAGATTCGAAGAGTCGAAATTCGCAAATTCACACCGGGGATTTTTCTTGAAAGAATAAGGAAGAATTTTGTTAAGAATTTGCCAATAGTTCATTAGTGTGTTGAAAGCGTTTGGATATTGGTTATATGAAAGGATATAAAGTGAAGATCGCAGTGATGAGGTAGTTCAAACATTCTCATCTAATTTCCGAGAGTTCATTTATGGAATTTTTTTCTTTTTTTTATATTAGAAAAATGTAAATTCAAAAATATAAAGATTCAAATAATGCAAATTTATTTACAGCAATTGAATCGATTATTATTGAGTAAATTAAAAAAATTTACTCTCTAAAATCATATCAAAAGAATCATTTACCACAATTCAGAGCCATTGATTTGTTTTATTTAATTTAGTCAAGAAATAAAACAAAAAAAAATAAATAAATTTTGGTTTAATGAGTAAAAATTGCATATTTATATCCTTATTTCTCCTTATTTGGATTCAATTATTGTATTCCAAGTGGATAATATGAATCAAAATAAATCCATAAAGGATTCATAAAAGAATAAAACTCTTAGCTATAAATTGCTATAAATCTTCTTTAGATTATCGCAACCTAAAATAAAACTGCCTTATTTAGAAATTATATTTTATTTAAACAAATAATAAAAAATCAATCTTTTAATTTTTGAATATTAGGTGTCGCTGATCCCATTAAATTGATCAATTCAATTTTATTCTCTTATCTTTGATAATATTGTCTTTTTGATGTGACCCTATCTAAACCATTTCCATCTAATAATGTATGGACTTATTTAGAATGCGATATGCTACAGACATAATCTTGCAACCACTAGCTGCTAATATTCTCATCTAATCTATTATCCCAATGATGTTCCATGCTATTACGAAACCCCCTTACATAACAAGGTTGAAATATTTTTAATATTTTTTGATAAATAGCAAGGATTTTCATGTATCTTGTTGTCAGATTAGTTCTTATTTCCATTAATTAGAATTTGGACTTTTTGTGGATTTCTGAAGGTGAAATATATGAATTAAAATACGTATTGTAATTTAATATCTGCCAAAATCTTATAACTCAGTTCACCAATTAGGTAAACTAGTGGAATATTTCAATGAATATTGTTAAAAATAATTTAAAAAATTTAGAAAATTTGTTGAGAAGTGTTCCGCTGAAGTAATTGGAATAACAAAGGAAGGTCATTGACAAGGACTGACAAGAAAATTTTAAAATATTGCATAGTTCTTCCAACATTATGAAAATTTATGCGGAATCATGGATTTTCATGCTTTTTTTGAGAAATAAACAAGAAAATTTAAATTTTTGGGCGCAGCATGGCAAAAGAATCCACGCGATGGCAGAAATTTCAAGTTTTGGTTTTGTAAATTCTAATTATGTAAGATATAAAGGTAATGAAATGCATGGAAATTTTCGGTCTTTCACTGGTCATTATGAAGGTGAACAATAAAAATTGCAATATTTGCAAAATGAGATCTATTCACAAATAATCAAACATATGAAATTTCTCGCATAATTGACTTAAAATTGGCACAAGAAATATGATTTGGAAGAGTTGTTCACAGTTGTTCGAAAACGGGTGGCGGAGGCAATGGACTTAATACTTGACTACTCGACGCATTCGAAGTAATCATTGTTGAATGTTCGTCTTCTTGCCTGGTACGATCATGACCTCGACGTCGTGCATTCATAAAAAAGTTAGCAACAGTAGTCGGATCGAGTTGTAACTGCTGAGAGATTGTTAGTTGCATCTCTCGGGAAGGGCGCTTTGTTTCTTTGAAAATTGCCTGCAACAGCATTTTGATCGGCACACAACGCTCGTGTAGTAGATACCGCCTACAAAATATGAAAAAAACTTTCCCCAATCGATGATTTTACCCCGACTAATTTTAATCGTCCAATTAACTGAATTATCGTGAGTCCATTTTTTTCCAGTATTCCATAATTTTACCCTATTAGTTCTAGAATCCCAACCTTCAAACCTCGCAATATAGATGCATAACTGTATTCAAATGCCTTAGAATAAAAAAATGAGCTACAGTATCACCATAAAAACCACGAATATTTATTTCAAATGCCACTGTCTTTATTAGCGCTATGAAAAACAATGTTTTGCATTATTTGATTTTTTCTTTTAATTTTTAAATTCATTAGTGTTTTCGCACCAAATCTTGAAAAACTTATCGGCAAAAAAGTGAAGCTGAAGTAAATAAGGTGCGATGAAGAAAATAAGATAAAACCTTTGTTGTATTATCGTGTAAATAAAGAAAAAATTTGTTAATATTATTCTTAATCAGCAAAATAATTTGCTAATTTTACGCAAAAAACTGGCAAATTCAAGTTTTCTAAAGCAAAAATTGGTAAAAAATTCTTACTTGCAACGTGCGTCGCTGTATATCGGTGAATACTAAACGTGGCTTTTTTGGCGCTGATGGCTGTGTTCCACCATTTAGCTGTTGTTCCTCTTTTCGTTTACATGCTAAAAAAGTGGAATAACTTGATAAGAAAATTATTTAATTAATGTGAGAAATAGCAAAAATATCCGAACAAGATATTCTTAAGAATATCTGAAAAAAAAGAAAATATCTCCATTCATCTATCTAAGAGAAAATTTAAGTATTATAATTGCTTCTAACGGCGTTATTTGACTGCATTTATAATTATGGCATGTCCATTTCGACAGGAAATCATCTGGGATGCAGGTAGTACTCGTGTAACAACCTGGGGTTTTATTTCTAATTTCAGATTACTATTAAAAAGCAGGACTCAGGCATATGCTGCTTGATTTCTTAGAGAACATCATTGGGATCACACCGCCTTAATTACAGTAACAATTGAAAATTAAGGCATGTATTATATAATTATATTTTTGATAAATCATCCGTTTTAATCGAGAATATTAAAGGTCTTGCATATGCTTTACAATTTATCAAAAAGTTCATGACGTATTTTGTAGTTTTAATGCATAAAATGATTGATGGATCTTTGAATAATTGATGAAACAATTCACCATAGCTTAATCGCTCAAAGATCTCTTGGATTGATGAAGAAAAATCCGGAAGTGATAAAACAGCTAAATTTGCTTTTTCCCATTGCGGAATAGTAAATTGATTGACTTTTAGAATATTTATCAAAAATTTATCAAAATTATGATTGAAGAAAATTCAAGATTCAGAAATTCAAAATGTTGTTCAATATTTTTGAAAATTTACTACCGAAAATTTTCCTCAAAATTGATTTGATTTTGTAAAATTCGAACTTGTTATAGGGCGATTTTAATAGCAATTTATTCATTCAAAATTCAAATTTATATTTATAAATAAATACTTAGTATAAATATAACTTTATAACTTTATAAATATTTTTATTTAGTGTTAAAAATACTGTTAAAAATATCCCACATAAATAATTAGTGTTTTTCTAAAAATTTTGTAGTAAAACTGTGAAATAGAAAGAAAAATATAAAATATAAAGATGAAATGAACTTAATAAGTTAATTAATTTTTTGACACAAAAAGAAGCGTTGAATGAATTTCACTATTTTTATTTTGAATGAAATAAATGATTTTATCGTTAAAAGCTATAGTAATTATAGCAGTAACTATAGCAAATCATAAACTTCTAATACATATTATATAAATATATAAATAATATACATTATACATAAATAATAAATAATATAATAATAAATATATATTTTTCATATATATACATATACATATACATATATATATTTCTTATATATAAATATATATACATATATATATATATATATATATTTAAAATTTCCATGCAAATTGAGCATTTCTCTTGAAATTTCTCATTTATTTTAAAAAATTTTTTTTTAATAATTTTTAAATTTAATTAAATTTTAATAATTTTTATTAAAATTATTTTAAAATGCAAAATAATGTAAGTAAATTCCATTTTTTTTCGATAGCTGACAAAATAAACAATAATAATAAGGAAAATTTGGGTGAATAAATCTAACATATCTAATATGCAGCTAAAATAAAAGATTGGAAGATTTATAAAGTTTATTTTCAATTGTTTGCTTGTGTAAACGTCGATGAATTTAAGACATCAACTGAAGTGAAAACGATGGAAAGAGAATATTTCAATGAAAACATGTTAAATGAAGACGAAGATTAGTTAAAATAAATATTTTGAGAATGAAGCGAGTGAGCATATCAAATTGTGATTCGTCATGGTACTAATATTCATTCAATTAAAAAACAAAATAGCGATGTTATTGAGGAAATATCAAATAAGAATTATATTAAATTATATTATATGATAGCAACAATGCGATAGGCTTTTTTAGTTTTTTTCTGTTAATGAATTTTAGAATTTCGTAAAATTGAAATTTTTCTGCATGTGAAGCAAATCATAGCGAAGCTATAGGAAAAAACAGCTAAAAATAAGTTTTGAAGAATTAATAAATCTGAAACGTGAAAAGTATCGTTATTAATGCAATCACCTACAATGAGATAAACGAATAAGAAAAAGTGCCATGAAATTAGTTAGTGATTCCATAATGCGAATCTAATAAATTAAGTTTTAAATAAAGAAAAAATAAATAGTAATGAAAGAAAATCAGCGGTTTTGTGCTAAATTGCTTAATTTTTCCAAAAAAAAAGTTGTAGTAAAGTAATCAAATAAAAAAAATTGTGCACAAAAAATCCTTAACTTATCATATCATAACACAAAAAATACTTATTAAACTCAAATTCAGATATATATTTCGATAATTATTATATTTATAAATCATATAATATAATAATACATAAATCAATGTATAAAATACGATATTTCTTAACGAAAGTCGGAATTTATGCACAAGTGAGATATTGATGAAAACAAAATAAAAAGATGATAAAAATAGATGACAGCAAAAGAAAATGAGAAAACAGAAATAGTACTTAAATAGAGAGGATTATGGAAAACGTGAGAAAAATTTTTTGGATTTGAGAGGGGTACGATAGTTTGAAGAGGAGAACCGTGTAAAGAACATCCCACGAAAAGTTTATTGTTAAGATAAGAGGTATAAATTTTTCGTTCATATAATTTAGCCAATATCATTAATTTTCAATAATATTTAAGCTTTATCGTTTGTTTACGAAACGAATCAACGAAATTTATGAAACATTTAATAAACTATCCATTCAACAAATCATTGATTCGGCAACCTTATTTTTGCTACTGAATAAGGATTTAAGGATTAATCCATGCTAATCCACTCGATTTACATCTCAAATAGATAATGAAAAGATATAGCAAATGTTTTCTTATTCGAGGAAGAATAAAGGCTTTTTCTTTTTCCTTAATTAGTCACATAAAGATTTAAAAATAAAGCGAAAAATCAAAATGGAACTAAATTTAGGATAAAAATTTCACTGCATTTTGCATCACTTATTTCACATTGATCATAATGTTACTATGAAATGATTTTCCAAAAAAATATAAATTTACCGATTTTTATAAAATAACGATTTCCTCTCTTGATAGCCACAATTATTCAACCAGAAGATGGTACTAAGCATATAAATCCAGAATCTCCATAAGTCTTTTATCACTTTACAAATTATATTGCTTTTCTTGCATGACTGCATAGAGCCAAAAAATTAAGGCCGCAATGAAATGTCCATTAAACCAATCATTTCCGAATTCAGGAAATAAACAATTGCAACAGTCATTGACAAAAAAATATAAATCAAAAAATAATTATAAAAACACAAATAAATAGAAAAAGATTTCGTTTAAAATGGATCGCAAGCGATCAATAAAGACATTTGCGGGGTTGGGAAGGCGATAAAGGATAAGGAACGAGTCTATTTGATTATACCGAATCGGCAAATTGTACATTAAATATAGATGAGAATTGTAATTAATGATTGTCGACTGCATCGAGACGAGGACTCTTTCTATAAATGTATATTTATCTGTATTTCGAGTTGACCAAACAACGAATAGTTAAGCCACTTCCTTTAATTAAAAGTCCTCATCATCTGCATGCCCGACAAATGTAAGCAAAGCGAATTGCTTTTAGCGATACATTTATAGCGATATTTGCTATGTTAGAAAAAGAAATCCTTGCTTCCCATGCAATACTCAGTCCCTCCAGAAAAAAAATCGATTCATCATTGCCTTTAAAATTTCACATTTGCCACTCTCGACTTTCATTTCGTTCCATATAAACACAATTTTTATGAATATCTTTCTTTCTTGCATGCAAAGACATTAAATCAATACTAATTTCATATATATATATATATATAGTAAGTATATATATGTGCGAAATTAAGTATATATATTAAATATACTAATTTTTTTTTTTAAAAAGTCCTCAACATTACTGGTTAAACTCGCTCCACTGGCTTGTCGCATTGGGCAATATGCTAGGAAGTCCTTTGGCAATAGAAATACAGATGAGTTGCCAGTATCATCCGCATTTTTGTACAGGTTTACTCCTGCGAGGAATCGAATTTCAGTATCAACGCTCCCAATTGAGCAACAACCCATTGAGCCATTTTATCCCCAAAGTGTACTAATTAATGCTAAAATAAATATGCAACAGAAAAGACATGTTTATTTTTAATAAACATCAACGAAGATTTTAAATATTATTTGAAATAATTTCAATGGTATTTAAATTTGAAATGTTATTTAATTTAAATAACAGAAAATTTAAGCAAAATTTCGAAATAAACATGGAAATATCGAAGATGTTGAAAATTAGCTGTGAAAAATTTCGTTGAAAATTATAAACATTTAGATATGAATATGATTCCTTGAAATCAAGTAAACAAATAAGTAAATGGTTAGCGTTTATCATTATTTTTGATTAGCGCGTAAAACTGATTAGATTTCTTGGCACGATAAACTAAAACTACCACCATCCATTCGGCTATCGTACCTCTCTAAATCAGCTAACTTATCGACTAAATAATAAAAAAGTTTGAAGAAAAAAAATTAGAAATATTAAGAAAATTTTCTCTTTTTATTAAGAAAATATTAATATTAATAATATTAAGAAAATTTTCTCTTTTTATCGAGATTATTTTGACTGAATACGAAATTATTAAAAAACTCTTTAAATTCTACTCGAAATTAGTTTTTTTGGAAAACTCTTTTTAAAAATTTTTGAAATTTTGATTTCAATTTTAGTGAATTTGCGTTAAAATTTATTATTTTTGAAAGTAATAAACCGTTTATCGTTTTTGTTTCAAAATTTCATTAAAATTTATTTCAGACTTTCATATCGAAAAATTTTTTTCCGACTTTCCGATAAGAAAATTTAATTTTGTACAAAAAATTTTTTTAAAAGAAAAAGCAAAAATTGAATATAACAAAGATAAAAAAAATTTGTCTAATGAAAGGGGTAATTTTCGAATTGTTTTTTAAGATATTTATAAAAAGATTAAAGTTCGAAATTTTCTATAGGAAAATAATTTCAAAATATACTCAAAATTCTGTTTGATTTATTTCATAGGAAAAATGCACAATTGTAATTGAAATGATGATTAAAACTATTTAAGTAGAGAGAAAAATAAAAAGTTTTACTCAAAAATTTTTTTTCAAAAAATAATAAACCAATTGCTTAATAACTATTAACCTAATGGCATAATGTTCGAATTGAACCATACCAACTCTATTTCTCTTCTAACAATACGCCATTATCGGCTAACGTGGCTGCACTATTGGCCAAAAGGGTGCAAATTTCATCTTCAACCGAAAATAAGAAATTGTTGAGTAATGGATAAATTAAACTGCAAGTTTAGGTTACACTCAACTACTGTTTCAAAGGTAAATATATCATATAAGCTATTCATTAAGCGTTAGTTATCTAAAAATTCTTAATGAAGCAACTGTAATAGTAACAAAAAAAAGAAGTAATGGCAGAATTTTGTGATTGACAATATATATTTAGTGCGAATTATTCCATCATTTTTCTCAAAAATGTTTGCAATATTTCGCCATTTTTTAAACTCTAAAATAGATTTTCTTTTTGTTAAAAAATCCTCTGCACTTTTGTCTGAAAAAACTTTTATGAGAGTTATTTAATGGTAAATTATTTAAAAATCTATGATATTTTAATAAATTCGCTGAGTTTTTGGTTAATTCTGCATTGTTTTTATCGTTCATCGAATATCTTAAAGAATAAAAGTTTATAAAGAATTATCCAAAAAGAATTAATTACTTACATTCATTGACATACTAATTACAATAATAAGAATTTTTTGAATTGTATTTGGCTTGCCACACTCCATTTTCTGCTACAAGAAGGCTGTTTGGCCAGAGAATCACTTGAGGACTAATAGGGTTAAAAAAATATTCATCAGAAACCACTCGATTTTACTTTCAATTTTTTTCATTCCCCTATCGAAATGATTCATATTGTCCAAATTTTTTTTTCTCATTTTTTCTAGAAGCGATTCTTATAAACGATTATATTATATAAGAATTCCTAATGAATCAATCCAGTTTACTAATTAGTGAATTAAAAAGAATGAATATAGGTTTCATTTAAGGTTCTAAATAGTTTTTTTTTGAATATATTGCAACACGCCTTAGGTGAATTAATCAAATGATTAATTAAACTATTATGAAATATGACAAAATGCGCAACAGAAAGTATTTCAATTCAGTTATAATCGGTTTATCGAATTTTATAATAAATTTATTTTTTATAAAAAAGGAAGGCTGCAATTTTAAAGCTTATTTATGCTTTTTAATTTTCCTTATCAGTGGGTCGATCCTTTTTATCATTCATTAACATAAATAAAAGCCTTTGAGAATGATTGGATTAAATTACCGTTAAGATAATAAGATGGAAGGTCCGTAGGATATTTAACTAGTCTTATAGGATACTCTAGAGAATTCTTCACAAATCAAAAGCTCAAATATAGTTTTTAATGCAACTTAATATAATAATATAAAAGTCTAGTTGATTTCATCAGTGGCAACAAGAAATAGGGAATGATTTTCATTCCCTTGAGGGCATTTTATACGATATTTCACTTTCTCCCAAACAACTCCTCGATTTTCCTTTTCCTCTTTTTTCCTCATTTTCCATTCCTGTTGCATTTTCTTTCCTCAAATTTTTTTGGAAACCGATGCAATTAGTTTATTTATTAATGTTATTTTTGTTATTAAATCTTTTGATTCAGTTGTTTATAAATAAAATTGAAAGTAAAGCAAAAAATTTTGAGGTTATAATAAATGAATAAGCATTTCAATTCATTTTAAATATAAGTTGGACGAGAAAAGAGAACTAAATATGTAAGTCAATAAATAAATTATTCAATAGCATATGCTGATTTTTATTTCGTGAACTTCAATAAAAATTCGGTTGAATGCGTTAAACATTTGAAAAAGATGCTAATAAATTAGAATATAATTCATATTATATATTAAAAAAGGTCAAATCAAAAATTGGCTGACTTTTACGACCTATTCATTCATATCATATTTGCAATTTAAATGTTGAACGAACATTATAAATTTTTGCTTCGCTAAACTCATGCTAAAAATGCAATCTAGCAAATGTCATGACAATGATAGAAATCCTAATTTTCACATGGAAAGGTTGTTTGATGCGAATGGCCATCTGCATGGACAGCTGGATGCAAAGAAGGAGACATGAAAAAACGGAACGCTACCTATTGCTTTTTCATGAAAGTGTTGTCATATCCATGTAACTCTAACTGTCTAGATCAATAATGTCGTGTTAATTTTTGTTTTATTCAACGATTTCGAAGCTCATTAGCGCACAAACGAGTTGTTTCATAATTTATCAAAACCATAATAGTGGAAAATATTTTTTCTCATTTTTATCATCTTTTATAGAATTTTTTTTCTAGAAAATTGACAAGAAATGTAGACTTTTCATATATTTATTTATTCATTTATTTATTTATTTTCATATTTATTTATCTATATTTATTTTTTTCCAACTATATTAAATCTATATTTTTTTCCAACAATTGCCAATGACCTTTAATGACCTCTATTAAGAATCAGTAAGTGTTAAAACATATATATATATATAATAGGCAGGTTTATTTCCAACTGTGCTTTAGGTCAACAAATAAGTACCGTAATTTTTTCTCAGATCGGAAAGGCGAAGAGAGAAAATGGAAAAGAAAGAGACATGAAAGATGATAACTTCAGAAATTGAACTACAAATTTATAACGCCGTATATTGTTCAACTGCTAAAACTAAAGGGATTAATTATATATTCAGAATAGTTTGAATATTTTTGATTGAAAAAGATCCAAAAAATGAAAATTCTTTGCAAAAAAAATGAAAATTCTATTAATTAACAGTTTCAATAGATAAACGAGTAGAAAGCTTGAGCATAAGAAAAGGATGAGCGAAAAAGATAAAAACTACGAGATTTGCATGGCTCAGAATTCGTGAGCTATGAGCTTACATCTAGTTGATTACTTAAAAATGAGAAATACCTGCTAGTCTTAATGCCGACATGCGCTGAAACTCAGGCTCTTGCAACCATTTCGCCATTCGCCTAAATGTTTCCCGTCCACTTTTCAATTTTGACCAAGGTTTTGGATTTCGTAACAAATCAGAAAGTGTACCTTGAGACCTAAAATTCAATTAAATTAAAGTTAAAAAAATGATTGGAAATATAATTGACTTTTATATAATTAATTTTTTATTTAATTAAAATGCAAGATCTCGCCTGCAAAGGACACGTTGCGCAAAAATTGCTTGAGGAATCGAGTACCGCTTTAATTCAGCGGAAATTCTTTGCGCCAAATCCTTCGTATTTAATTCGTCCATATCGCTTCCTGAATCTGGCGAACCAGTTGGGGGTGCCGATCGCTCTCTTAAAGGTGAAGAACCACTCTAAAATTTCAATAAGTGGTCGGCTTAATTTTAACTTAATTTGAACTGAATTAATGGAATATCTTCCTCTTCTCAATTATTTTCTTATAAGCATAACATTTGAAGCTATTGATTGAAATTATGATGAAACAGCACATTTCTACAAATATTGGTACCAGTAAAACTTAATTTTAATCTACTGGATTCAGAAAATTGAATTTAAATTAATTAATGAATTAATATTTAATATTTAATTCCAGCTCAATTTTTAATTTTTTCATAAATTTTATTAGTTCTTAACTCAAAAAAAATTCTCAAAGGTCGAAGTCTGAGAAAAACGAAATAACTAACTTCATCATTGTCATCGATACTCCCCGATTCGATTATATCGCTCGTGGAATTAAAATTATTAAATGAATTTGGGGTACCAAAACAGAGTTTGAGTTGTTTTGATGGGCGCAATTCCATTACAGTGGAATATGAGGGTGCATAAGTGGTTTGAGTTTGAGAGAATGGCACAGAAAGTTGTTGAAGTTGTTGATGCAAAGTCACCGGTGGCACATAATCAGTGGTGGTTTGAGTGGAAGTGGAATCACTTGCCTGGACATCATCAGATTCTTGATCATTCTTCATATCATATTCATATTTGATGTTGACGTTATAGGCAAATGATCCAAAATTCAAAGAATTTGCAAGTGAATTAGTAGCGTTTTGTTGAAAGAATAAATTTGATGACGCGCTACTTGTTCGACTTTCTGGAGTCGGAGAATTAGACCTTACAAATTTCTCGCTGGAATTCGTTACAGTCGAAATAGGGGGTAATGGCTGAAGTGGGGTAAGTGTGGTATACTGACTGAATATGGCATTATTAGTGCTATTAGATCCATTATGTGGACTAGTACGACCACCATTAAGAGTCAGGTAATTTGATTCAGGCAAATGATTCCGAAAATCATCATTGTGTGGACCGGTTGGTGAACAGTTTGATAAAGCAGCAGACAATAGCGGATCTGAACCAGAGGTTGTCATTTGCCCTGTCTCCAATCCCTCCATAATATTTGTAATACATGCAAGAGAGAACCGGCGAAGCTTTACGGATGCTAGCAACGTGCCCTATATGTTAGGAATAAATGATGTCTCCGCCTTTATGCAGCTCGCACGCCCTTATTGTCCTCTTTCTTCTGCTTTCCTCATTTGGCATTCACAGCATTCCATATATCCATGAAGTAGAGTAGAGCTAAATGCTTTCTTCCTTTGCTTCTTTTTCTGCTTCGAATCTCTCTGTTCGCTATCATCCAATAATTTCTACTGTTTACATATTCCATGAACGAACTCTACTACTACAAAACTTTTAGATAATTTATGGAGTTAAATACAGATTCAGGCAATAATTAGTTGTTCTTTAAGAATTAAGCCTAAGTATTCCAGATTCATTAAATTCTAATCAAGTTTTTTTTCACTGAAACTGTTTTAAAGCAATTGCCATTGGTGCGATTAACAAAATGCTGAAAAAGACTTCTCAAAAAAGCTTAATTATTTTAAAATTAAAAATTACCGTATTAGCAAATATAATACAACAAATGGCATGGAAATTAAAATCAAATCGTTTTATTATGAATCGAATGAGAATCAAATTTTAATATATTTTTTATAATTTCACATCTCATGAGATTTCACTGATCAAATTATTCATTATATTCTGTAACAAAAAAATTAGCTTAAAAAAACAATTGAAAAAACTATGAAATTAATCAAAATTAAAAATATTTTCCGTTCAATCTTAAATAATAATTACTATTCCAAATTTCTAAATTTCATTTAGAGATTTATTTATATATTTGAGGATTTGAGCGATGATTATTGCTTTACTGAGCAAATAAATAATGAAAATATGAAAATAATTTTTTGATGAAGCAGTTTTATCATTTCACTTAATAGTTCGATTAATACAATCTTTCAAAAACTTCCAAAAAAAGAAAAACTTGGCAAATTGGCCAGGTAGGTTTTATATAAAATTTAAAATTACCTGTAATACCCAAATTACTACAATAGAGTTAACGTTGACTTGTTTGTTAAAGACAAAAGACAAAGACAAGCTCTCAGGCAAAGGTTTTTAAAAGAAAACGGTTTTTTTTAAAAGAAAAATATGATTGTAGGTATTAGCGCCTGATAATTCAATCAACTGATTAAAATCATCAAATTTTCAGTTTCAAATTTATTTCTTATTTTTTACCCAAAATTCTATGGATTTGCTTTTGCGACCGCTTAACGTATAACATCTTGCCTGGTGGCTTCCTTTATAAAATATAATAGAATATTATTTTAATGAACAGCTTAAAAATGTTTAAACTCTCGTATCTTCTGCATATTTTTGTATTTTTCGCTTTCGTTTATAGGTTTTTTTAAAATATGATCGAATTTCATGCAGAACATAACAAAAATAATAATGTGCATGATTTTTCATTTTGAAGGATTTATGATTTGAGTCGAAAATTTTCCGTTTTGCTTGGAACTTTCATTTCCTAATTGCATTTATTTCTTTGATAAAATTCTGGTTAAAATTAAGAGAAGCAATTACTTAATGATATTATTAAGAAAATCTATAAGCCTAATCTATTAAACAACAAAATCAATTCAGTTTTTATCAGCGTGAATAAACCATGAAAAAAAAAAACAAAAGGCTTTAATAGAAATGTCTTTTTGTCAATTAATCATTGCAATCATTGTACCATGATCAAATCGATGGATATTTAACCTCATATGAACGATTACCGATCCGAATATCGTGGGCAGCCCATCTGCCACTTTTTTTTTCAATCATGTCACATAATTTTCGCCTTGCATAAGGCTCGAGAGATAATATATGCTTTATTAACTGCAAATACAATAGCTAATAGCTCATAAAGATCGCTTTATAATGGCAAAATTAATTATAGGCACCTCTTTAAAATAGTATGGAAATATACTAAAGTTTCCTCATTCTCAACAAAAAAAAATTCGAAAATTTTTCAATGGAAAAAAAGAAAAGAAATGGTGTTTTCAGTGGAAAAATGAGAAGTTCGCATTCTATCCAATATTTAAAAATTTGTAGAACCTAAATCGATATAATAAGATTTAAAATAGTTAAAAACAAATACAACAAATTCAGCTTTTCATTTCATGAAAATACATCGAATAATTTTACATTTGATGAGTTACATTGTATAATTTTTTACAAATAAAAATTTGATGATAAGCTATCAGAAAAGTTTTCGCACTTTCAAATTTTACTTGAGCTTACGTCTCATGATAATATTATTATTTAGATCGATACAATGAATACAAAAATAAACAATGATAAATGCCTTTCAAGGCGATCTCATCAATTAATATTTATAAGATTCGAACGCTAGCCATCTCTGTAATATTAAAAGAAATGAACCGCATAGCAACCAAAATTTCATTAATTAAATTTCATGATAACGAAAAAACGAATCACTCATTCCTGTTTGATGAGGGAATATACATATGCGCTTGAGCATTTCGTATTCTTTCTTCTAAATCTTTTTCGTCTTCACCAACATACATTGTTTTCATATCATATTCATCATCATCCTCATAATAATAACCGATCGGTCTAAATTTATGCCAAATGAAAATCGTCGCAAATGAGAAGAAGCAAAGAATAAAAAAGGCAAACTTTGCCTGACTTCATTAATAAAATATGTAATAAAATTTATAATTAATCAGTAGTATGTGTATATAGAAAATTGTAACCTTGGTGGCTCAACATTATGACCATAAAAGAAATTTGTTTGACTCGTTTCCTCAACGGCTGTTTTTTCTAAATCTGATGACTCGCGAATAGTGTTAAATCGATATGATATCATCCAAATAATGATAACAATGACGATAAGAATGGCGACTACTATTCCAATTCCGGCAGTAATCATCGCCACTTTTTGCGTTTTCGGTTGGAACCGTATCTCAAAAAATAATGATGAATTTAGGCTCAAGATTGAAAATCATTTTTAACAAGCGAAACGAAGGGCAGCTGCGGCGCATTCATTTGTATCTCTATTCTCAGATGTCTCTCTGGAGAAAGATCCTCATCCCAGTAGTTCGCAAAACCAGAAATAATGAATATAAGAAAAAAATTAACAAGCATAATTTATTTATAGGCTTTCTAAATATACGCTAAATATTTCAGCAAAAATACGGAAACAATTACCTCGCACCGTTCACCGGAGAAATTATCTTTGCATGAACACTCAACATAACCAATTGGATTTTTCTTACAAATTCCGTCATTTAAACAGAAATTATTGCAAGCATCTAAAAGCTGATTCGCTGAATTTTTTCAAAACATTTTGCTTAGCTTCCTATGTTACTATTTAAAAAAAGTTTGAAACTTAGAAAATTCAATAAAATTGATAATTATTAATTATTAAAATCATTTATTTTTATTGACAATGCAATACCTTGGCAGTGAGTTCCATTCCCTTTGTAACCAGGTTTGCATTTGCATTCAAATGATGGCAAATCATTTTCGTCAGGTAAATCAATGCAAAGAGCATGCCAAGAGCAATTATCTTCGCCAGTTGCGCACTGATTCGTTGAATAGCATTGACTTTCTCGAGTTGCACCTAAAATTCACAATTAAATTATGATACTGAATTCACAGCATCAAAAAAACGAGAGAAAATTATTATTCATTTACTCAACAGAAAGGTTTTATCACATTTGATAATTTAAATGAACTAAAGGTAGTCATAACTGATTGGAGGAAGAACGAAAGAGAAAATGAACCTTGAGCGGCAGTTATATGATCTGTTGGGCAAAGTTTACATGTTGCTTGTAATTCTTCGTCTTGATAGGTACCACGTGGGCAAAATTGACATTGTTTCCTGAATATTTGAAAATTCATTTCCCATATTTATTTAGTTTTTTACGTACTTAACCGATTCGATTTGTTATCAACTAGAATTGTTACGGAAATTAATTCTCTAACGTTGTAGTGACAAGGAATTGTCCAGCAACACATTTCGGTATATTACATTGCATTCGTTTCACAGATGCAACGTTTTCTGTTGTAGTTCCAGCTGGACATTCAATACAATGCTTGTGGACTCCTTTAGTTCGATATGTACCAAGAGGACAAGGAAGACAAACGCCAGCTTGAACGAGATGTTCGCCATCTAAAAAATACGCATAATGGGTCATTTAATTCATATTCGATAGAAAATTTCATATCTGATTATGTGACTAACCAGAACATTCATCACGACATTCATCTTCACTGGTCGATGTCTCACTTAGGGTCGTTTTTCCCACTCCACACGGTACACAACTAAATGAACCAACAGAGAATTGAAAGAATCCCAAACCGCACGGTTCACAGGAATCACTCGACAAATTGAACATATAACCCGCATCGCATGCTTCTGAAATAATTGGCAGATTTTGCTTACTTTTGGGAAAAATTAAATTTAGCAATAATCCGTTCATCGAATAATAAATATTGCTCTAAAATAATTGAACGAAATGGAAATGAAAAAATTCTTAAATTCGTGAAAAACTTCAGTATTCTTAGAAGAAACTACAAATAATGAATCATAGTAAATATACTTTTACAATCTGCATGCGAAATCGATCCTGGTGTGGCGGTTATATAGCCATCGGGGCATGGTGTACAGAAATGTTGGCCGGAAAGTGGTTGATATTCACCAACACCACATAATTCACATTTTTGACTAATTACATTATATTTTGTGCCAGGTGAACAATCAACTAAAAAAATTTCATGAAGTTTCATAGCATATATTTATAAGAATAAAAACGGAACAAATAATTGAGATTTTAAACGATTTTTTAATTTTAAACTTTATAAAAAAGATAATTTTAAAGAGAATTTACCGCAAAGATTACGGACATTAACTTGGCCTTTATCACACAAATATCGTTCGACCAAGAGAAATGAATTCAAATCGGGACGACCATTGGGAAACAACTTCAAATGATTAATTTATTACGCATAAAATAATAAAAAAAAGAAAAGAATTCTCTTCAGAGATTCGGAAATTGCAAAATCAAAAAGTAAAGTTTTTCATTAAAAGCAAATTTTAATACGATATGACAAATTAAAATAAATTAAAGGGTAAATTATAATTTAATATAAATCAGAATATATTATTATATTATTATATATTATATATTATTATATTTATATTTTTATATTTTATCATATTTTTCTACAGCTAACCTAACCTGTTCTAAGTTAAGAATATCTTTGATAAGGATTTCATCTTCCAAAACATCGATCACTTTTGCTTTGCGATTAGTTCTCTGATCTTCGACTATATCACTAAAATTTAACGCTGTGGAGTGAAATTAAACTTAAAAAAAAACTGAAAAGTGAGAATATTCTAGGAGTAAAGGAGTTCAGTAGAAAATTTGCTTACGAAGTGAGAGGAATTGCTATATTGACTTGGAAGGATTCTGAAGCATCACGCCGTTTCCTTAGCATTTCATCTGCGGGACAAATTACGCTTATGTTAAATGGTGAAATATTACTTCCATTTCTAAAATTGTAGAAAAAATTTTTATCGATCAAGCCATTAATTATTTCTTTTTAACTTATCACCTATAAATAGTTCACATCAATTCTTTTATATAAAAATAGATGAATGGTACCTTGGTGCAAATATGCGCCACCTATTATTAAGCAGATCTATTCGCTGCGCAAGTTTCTCAGCCAAGATATTTTTTCCTGCTGAATTACAAATTGATAACATCGGATAATTGATACTAACTTCAGCCAATCGAACAGCTGGCTGCGACCTGAATGTTGTATTGTGAAAAACCAAATCCGCAAAATTAAATTGGTTTCATTTGAAAATTTGGTATTGGCTAATTGCTATAAAGGAAATAACGAGAAAAAACAAAATAATGAAATGAAATTTTGTAAAATCGTAAATCATGAATTTACTTTGAACATTGCGGATATCGAAAGATATGAGCATTTTGTGGACGAGGTCTCCACATACCATCAGCAGCACATGTATAAAATATTGGTGGTTCAACGCTAAATTCATATCCACTTTCGCATTGTATTGAGCAAGCTTTATAGCGAAGATGAGGACCCCAAGATTCACAAGCTTGCACACCATGTACAGGCTCGTCGAGATCAGGGCAAAATTCTGAGTGCACACGAATCTGGTGAAAAAAAAAGGTTTATATAGGGAAAGTTTTCAAGTTATCAAAAAAAATTCAATTTAAATTAAAATTTTCAATATAATAAAAATTGTAAATTATAAAATTTGTATAAAAATAATTTCCTAAAAGGTTTCGTTTAATATAAACTGAGAAATGAATATGATTCTTTTTTTTTAAAGAGTCCTCACCATTACTGGTTAAACTCGCTCCACTGGCTTGTTACATTGGGCAATATGCCAGGGAGACCCTTGGCGATGGAAATACAGGTGAGTCGCCAGCATTGCTCGGGTTTTTCTACAGGTTTACTCCTGCGGGGAATCGAACCTCAGCATCCCAATTGAGCAGCAACTCACTGAGCCATTCTATCCCCATAAACACGAAGATTTCATTTAATACAAACTGAGAAGTGAATATGATAAAAGTAAACAAACCATAAAAGTGCATTCTACAAAAGAAACATTATCTTTGGCCAAATAAATAACGAGATACTCTCCCCAAGTGAATACTTGGCCTGGCTTAAGATTCCTTTCAACGCTTTGAATACCATATTTGCTAGAGAACTTCGGTTCTTTCCATGTTACATTCATCTTAAAATATCAACAATAGATAAGACAATAGAGAAAAGAAAGAAAAAAATAACAGACTTCTTTCAGATGAGTCGTAATAAAGATATCATTTGGGCACGCTTCAACATTTATCGTCTTTGATCGTCCTTTATCACTAGCATATCTGCCACAAGAACTTTTCACCACTTTCTCGACTTTTCCTGACATACGATTGTAACCGGCGAATCTAAGAACAAGTCCACTATATATTTCCTGAAAATCCTTCACCTAAAAAATTTTATCATTTTATTCGAAGAACATTCGTTAAATATCGGAAAAATAAACAACCATTCTCTGTTGGCATTCACTGAAAATATTAGGGATTTCTTCCTCAAAATCGAGCATTCTATTCCACATATTAACACGCGTTATAGATCCAACGAATTTTGCCTCATTAGATATTTCATTTAACGGTTCGCCAAGCGAAATCCAAGCGCTAAAATTTTATGAATTAAATAACTTTTCAAAGTGATTATGGTTTACTTTTTTTTTGCACTTTACTTAACATTAATTATTTATCCACATTTTGTTTATTCATCTATTAGTTGGTTTAATTACTTTGTTTTTTATAAAATTTAAAAGAATTATCAATATTTTAATATTAAATGTTTATTAGTTTAAAACTTTATTGGATTTTTGCTACATTATTTAATGTTTTTATTATTTTTCACCCTCTTTTCTTTTATTCCTTCGTTCCTTTTTCCTTTTCCTCTTCATTCCTTTTTCTTATCTTCCTTTGCATTTATTTCTTTTAAATTTTCATAAACTATAATAAATATAGCAAATACAAACTTTATATTAACCGTTTTGCCTTTACCGTAACCAGTATCAGCATAAATTCGAACAGCATTCCAAATTAGAGAATACGCTCCATCCGATGATTTCCAAGTTATAATAAGATTATTCCAATTACCATCGTTAAGACGCTGACTTGATGGAAAGTGAAGTACAAGTGGAGTTTCATCGGGGAAGATATTCAAATGTACACTGTCAGCTGATATTTGAATAATCTCGCTAACTTTTGATGGGTAATTGAGTTCCCTTAATATAATCTATAGATTTTACCAGATTTTCAGAAAATCTAAAAAGCTAATAATTAAAAAAAGTTAAATAACTTTGTCAAATTAAAATTAAAATTTTAATTTAAATTAGACAATATGATCAATGAGATAATTTAATCAACTGCACCTGAATCCATGTGGCTGTGATTGCAAAAAATTAACGGAACGTGAAATAAAATTGTTATTCAAGAGGCAAACGAAACACTCAAAGAAGACAGCCTCGAGCTAAGCTCTTAAAAGATGAAAGCTTATATTCTTCGCAATCTTTATGAAAAATGTATTCTTTCGTATAGGACAAGAAATTTACGCCACATGACTAAAGCACGGGACATTCATGTCCCCGCAAAAAAATAATATGACAATAACTATCGGAGAATCAATTAATCCATTAGATGTCTTCAAATGGAGAAATTTTTCCTTCTGGATAAATTCCCTTGTTGGTCGGAATATGACGATGTGATCTAGATTTAGATTTAGGTAGATTTAAGTGTAATTGTCCGACCGAACCATCAAGAGGAGTACTAAAAGGATATTAAGATATTGTTCCAAGTATCAGTAACCCAGTTACATGGTTCATCGACTGAACTGTTGTTTTCGACTCGATCAATATGTTAGCGATTTAAAAAACCATGCAAAACGAGAAAAGAATCAAATTAATGAGGCAATCTGCTGCTCGCTGATAATGAAGTATTACCATGGATTTTAAAGGTGCTAATGGCGTCTTTTTTATCACCACTTACGAAAATCAAGTCTCGATAACTCGATAGTAGCAGTGAAAATTGGCGTACAAGTATCAGACTTTAACACCTGTTTTTAAATTCATCACAGTTTAGAGTAGAACCAATTCATCATAGATGCAATTTGATGTGCCACTTTACTATCGAATAACTAGACGATAGATGAAGGTTCTTCTATCTAACCAAAGCTTTATGAAATCATTGCAAAATCAGCCTCAAAACAAATATTATCACATATATCGGTGCTATCATCTATCATTGGTGTTTTTGTCGTCCACTATAGCAAGTGATCTCGCCATATGTCAAAATTATGACAGATGACACCGAAGACTCCCAATTAAGAATTGGATAAATAAATAAGATGGATAAGAGATTCTGAATATATAATTCAACGATGAGTTTAGGTTACGAAAAAAGAGATTTCAATTAATTGTAACCGCAACACTGGATCAGAAATAGAAGCGCCTTTGTTGGGCCTTAATTGCCCAGTGAAACTAAAAAATATTTGATTCATATTGTGGTCAAATAATTAGTTACATAAGTTCACATATTCTTGCAGCATATATTGGTGATGAAAAGAATATATATATGGGGATAGTATGGCTCAGTGGGTTGTTGCTCAATTGGGATACTGAGGTTCGATTCCTCGAAGGAGTGAACCTGCAAAAATCTGGGAGGTAATGTTGGCGACTCATCTGTATTTCTATCGTCAAGGGACTCCATGTCATATTGCCCAATGCGATAAGCCAGTGGAACGAATTTAACCAGTAATGGTGAGGACTCTTAAAAAATATATATATATTGATAAATGATATCACAATTGAAGAATTCAAGAATGCCTGGAAAACTTACTGGCTATTATATAAAGTAAAAATTGTCCCATGTGAAAGTGGCACGTCAAATTGCATCCACAATGATAGAGAGAATGAATTAGATGTGAATCTGAAGGGGACTGAAAGTGCTGCAGATGCAGGAAAAATAGCATCATAAAAATGGAGGTCATAATCCTCATCAACTGCTTTATCACACATCGTCCCGGTCATATTGAATGGACATTGACAAAAATAGCCACCAACCTACAAAATTAAAATCGAGTAAAATTTGTCAAATATAGATTGGAGTTTGACTAATGATGAAATAATGAAATTCGTTTCGCTTTCGAAGTAATAACAGTATTTCGGTGTCACTGAGCAAGTACCTGGTCCAAACAGGTGGCGGAAAGTGGGCACGGCGTCGGCGAGCAATCGTCAATATTTGTTTCGCAATCCTTGCCGGTGAAACCTTATAATATTAAAGATTAATACGCAATCTTTCTTAAAAAGGCGAGTTGCTTAGATATTGAAGTTATATTAAACTTTTTTTAATATGTAATATTGATCTTATATGCAGCAAAAAATTCATTTGATAGCTCATAAGTAATAAAATTAAACGAAACAAAAGCAGACAAATGTCAAAATCGCTGTGGTACTTAAAGCAAGAAAGATAATTTGCTAAAAAATAATTTGCTTCATAAAGATAATTTTAATTTAGACTCACCTGATTCGCAAATACATTTATAACCACCATCGCCGACAAGTTCACATTTAGCATTGTTTTGACAAACTGCTTCTTGGCAAGCATCGAGTTCATACTGGCAACCATCACCAATGTAATCTGAATACATTTCTTCTAATAGTTGTTGCAATTTCGCTAACTTCATTCTTATCTAATATATGGAATAAAAACCACGCTATTTGATTTTTATAAAATGAACAAAATATGGAGAAAATAACAGACCCTTGGGGCAAGTACATTCTAATCGTGAACCAAAATCACCACAGACTCCTCCATTATGACAGGGTTCACCGAGGCATCGATTTGGCGCAATTTCGCAATTTTTACCATTTACACCCTCAGGACAAACACAAAAATAATCGCCAACAAGATTAACACAATGTGCATCATTGTGACAAGGTTTAAGAGCGCATAAGCCATCCTCTTCCTCACACCTTATTCCTTTCCATCCACGCGGACAATCGCAACGAAACTGTGATCCTCCATCAATGCACGTTCCGTTGTTCAAGCATGGTTCCGAAGCACACTGCAAGAATTTATGTTAATAAGTTAATACAAAAGAGATGTACCAAAAACATTTGAGAGCTACAAAACAAAAAAATTATTAGACAAAATTATTTTAGTTTCCATTAAACTAACGAGAAAGGCTGCTAACATTAACACTGAATTAACATGAAACATTTCTAGTTCAACAACAATTTCTAGTTTAATCATACGAGATCAATGTGAGTTTCACATAATTCGCCAACATATCCATAACGGCAATTGCATTTGAATCCATTGATAAGGTCTTCACACAATTCAGTTCCTTCTTGAGAACATTTATGCAATAAATCGCATTCATTTTTGTTATGCTCACAATGTGTTCCTGAAAAAACCAAAGTCTTCCGAAATTCTTATCTGTCATCCACAGAGCACGCAGAAAATAAAGCATAAATTTATAGAAATTTACATACCTTCAAATCCTAGTGGACATTCGCAAAGATATTGCGCACCTCTATTAACACATGTGGCATTATTACGACATGGTGAGGTTGCGCAATGATCAGTCATATGTTGACATAATGAACCATGATAACCGGGCGCACATAGACAATGGAAGCCATCAATCTTAAATTAATAAAAAGATTTTTCTTCCAAGCAAATTTCTTTTAACTAAAAAACAAACCAATTAAAAAAAATTAAAAATTAAATGCAAATATTGTGGACGAACTCTGAAATTTTGATGATAATTCTTTTTGATATGATCATATGGAATTGATGAAATTAAAAAAAGATAAGGCAAAATGAAAAAAAAATGTAAGAATACCTGGTCCTTGCAAGTAGCACCATTAAGGCATGGATGATTTGAACAGTTATCTATATTAATATCACATAAATGACCAGTCCAGCCTGGCTCACAAACACATCGTTGCTGGTGCAAAGTATCGACACATAAACCATTCACACATGGATTTTCTGCACAAAGGTTAATTTTTTCATGGCATCTTTTGCCGCCAAAACCAGGAGGACAATCACATCGAAAGTCATTAACGAGGTCTGAGCAAGTCGCATTTAAAGCACAAGGCTTGTCAGCACAGTCATCTAAAAATCGTACAAGAAATATGTGTTTTGTGTTTTTAATCATGAATCCTGGATTTTGCAAGCTTTCATCGAAAAAACTGGGCTATACTAATGTATTTTTTAACTCGTACCAACATTTATTTGGCAAGTTGGCCCAGTCCAACCTGGCAAGCACTTGCATTTAAATCGACCAAGTTGGAGCGGAACACAGTCCGAACCATGCTTGCATGGATTATCGAGAGAGCATGGATCAACGATTTGTGAACAAGATGGACCAGTAAACCCAGTCCTGGAATTAACAAAATTGAAGGACAAATTGCAGCAGTTTTTGATCAGTTCAGCATATTAATTACAATGCAACGGTGGAAAAGGATCCATAAAGAAGAATGAAAGCAGGGATTTTTTAGGCTTAGAGTAATAATAAAAAGCTTAAAATAATACAAAACTCGATGAATTTTCCATTACAAATACTATTTGGGTTTAATATCTTAGTTATAACCTGCAAATACATTTCGTTGTCCCAAGTCCAGGAAGGTCTTGGCACACTCCACCATTAGGACAACTCATGCCAATGCATTCATCAGGTCCAAATTGACAACGACTTCCAGTGTAATCTAAAAAGCGGCGATTATTAACGGAATATAAAAATTTAAAGAATGTAAACCAAAAAACTTACTTTGTGCACAAATGCATCGAAAAGTTCCCGAAGCCGCTTCACATATTCCTTCATTGAAGCATGGTTGAGTATCACATAAAGGCATTTGCTCTTCACAGTATTTGCCAGTGTATCTGGAATTTTTATAAGTAATTCACCTCTAAATACTTGAAAAATTTCCCGATTCGTCTACAGAGTTCATCTACAGAGAATATTAATATTAGTAAAACATACTTGATAGATAAATAAAAGAAAAACTACCCTGGTCGACATAGACATACAGCTTTATGATTTTCGACAGCACAACTTGCTTTATTATCGCATTTGACAGATAAGCAATCCACTGGTAAGCAGTCAGTAACATCAGCTGTACCGACGCCACGAGTCACTGTATCATTGGAGCATTCAATACATCTTTAACGTGATAATTAGATAATTAGACTGATTACAATTTTAAAAAAAAGAACTTTAAAAACCAATTAAACAAGAACTTCTAAAGGAAGATTATGCAACACATTCAAATAAGACGGTACGATTTTCCGTTCAGTTTGAGAAACCTTGAAATAATGGAAAGAAACCTTTGTTGACCTACTGCGGGTTGATACCAGTTAATTGGGCAAGCAGAACAAGGTTCTAAACCAGTTAATGAGAAATGACCAGCTGGACAAGGTTGTTTACATTGAGATGGCCCAGTTGATCCCAGTTTAGCAGTATAAGATCCCTTAAAATTTTAAATTCGTAATCGTAAATTTTCTTTATGAAAAAATTAGAAATTAAGACAATATTAAAAATATGCGCAAAAGGATTTATCAGCTGAGAAGAGACCATAAGAGACGATTGTTGGAAATTTATCGCTAAATTTAAATTATTTTATTATTTTATTTAATTTCTATTTTTAAATAACCTGTGGACATGGATCGCATTGTTTATAACCACCAGAAACCGGAGGTCCAGAAAAACTATGACGTGGACAAAGTTGACAAGGAATAAGACCAGTTTCACTGAACATCCCATTACCACATACAGCTGTAAATAAAAATAGTTTCATTAAAAATGCAAAATCTCAGTGCAAAGAGGAATTCTTAGAACGAGAAGATGCTTTCACTTTCACTTTGGTTTTAATTTTAAAGAAATAGAAAAATAAATTTAACTACAAAGAATATTGGTAAATTAATGTTGATTTTTCAATACTATTTTAATATTTCCTTTTGTCACCACAATCAGTGATATATTATCAGCGTCAGCATAAAAAGGTATTTTTTCTTTGTCGCCTGCATATCAAATCGATGCTTGGGAACGCTTCATCTAATACAGCCGCCAACCAGGTTATAAGTAGTGTTAGAGGACTGTGCATATACCAAATATAGTGGAAAATTAAATTGCAAAGTTCAAAACTAAAAATTTACGAAGACAAGCGTTGACTGAATGTGATCCTGGAAATTGAGTATATGTCTGATCTGGACATGGTTTGCAAGATGTCTGGGCACGTTCATCTTGATAACTACCCAATGGACAAATTTCACAAGTATTGTTGACATTAACGGTTCCTTTTGGACAAGGCACTAAAAAACTCAATAAACTCACTGTTCACCATGAAGCAATAATGTTCTGTATTTAAGAGATAAACGAATTGATTACGGCATTCGGGAAGAGAATCGTCTTTTCCTCCTCTTAAAACTTCACCATCTGCGCAACCAAATCCTTGAGTTATAGAGGTTTTCGTAGCGTTCATTGATGGGCAACCAAGCGATTGGGTTGCTATTGTCTCACCACTTATTGAAAGCAGATTACGAATTGGCATTGTGGCTCCTTTGCAAAATATGCAAATTTAATTAATTAACTAGTAAGTGCAAAGAAAAATTATTTCAAAATTACGCAAATTTGTGTCAAATGAAATACAATGAAATTAAAATAAATTTTTAGAAGGCATATTTAAATATCAGTTTTTTTCAAACTTTTGATTTCATTCATTTCTTCCGATTTAGTTTGGACAAAAATTTTTTAAAATTTTAACAAAATCCAGGTAAAAAATTTCAGACCAAAATCATAAAAATATGCCAAAAAATTTCAATAAGCTATGGCGAAATCGTCTCTGCTAGATAGAGATTTACATGTGGATAGAAATGCATGTGCGTCCCCGTCCGATTTCACCTCTAATAATAAAATTGCTGATGGATAGGGACCACAACTATGTTTTTTAAAGTCTCGAAATGATTAGCCTTTAGTGTTCTTAGTTTCTTTTAAAAGACAAATAAATTCATGATTCTAGATTCTTAATACGCAGATTTTCAATTACATCGAAATGAGTTTTTCAATAAGTATTAAAATTTTAATTCGAAAAACTACTGCCATTTGAAAAGAACGAATGACTTAATAGTACACTTGATACACTTATTCTTTCTTATTTTTTTTCATACTATAAATTGATAATTATATTAAATGATGTGAAAGAAAGATAGGGAAAAAGTCTTCACGAATTTACGTAGTAATAAAAAATTTTACCTGGAATTCTTAAATCGAAAATCGTTCGCAAAGTTAGTCCACAGAGTTCATAAAAGACGTCTTGAAGTACAGTAGGCAAAATTTGAATAACATATTTCGCCATTAGTCCATCTGCTACACTATAAAAGCGTACGTTAAGAAATCGAACGAAAACCTCCACGGATGACGAACATCGCTGAGACAATGAAGCGTCCAAAGCATCGAAATATGTTGCAATGAATTCAGAGTATCCCTAAAGAAATCATAATATGACAAACTTTTACCGATAGTTTTAAATTTCAAATAATTTACTAGGCTAATAAAAAAAATTATAAATAAAAATAAAAAACTATAATCAAACAAACTTTAAGGCAATCTGAGCCAACTGGTGTCTGAATTGAATAATTAATTGAAACCACCAGTTCATATCTGGCTGGTTCCTGAGCAATGGGCACACAAGCTGGAGCAATACTAGATGGATTCCATGTTCCACCTGTGCAAATAAATCGTTGCGGAATATTTTCTCCGTCGCTAAATGTATACCCAGATTTGCAATGAACTGTACAAGTCATCGTTGGTCCTTGTTTAGCACATTTTTTTTCTACATTGTCCTCTGCGTAGAGCGACCAAGTAGAACACGGTTCAGCTGGAAGAAATGATAACAATGAGAATATAAACTTATATTATTATAATAAAGCGTCAATTCAATTATCTTTGCTAAATTACATAATGACATAATGCTTTGACGGAAGGCAAATAGCACGATTTCGATTTTCATGCTTTGACTGCTATCATTAAAAGTGAAATCCAGCTGGATGCTGGGAACTCGACTGCATCTCTATTCGCAAATAGTTCAATAATGGCAAATCTCATTAGCACTCAAGCTAACCAGCTAAATTCTAAATGGTGTTTGCTATTATTAGAGAATTAAGAAAAAATAGGCAATGCATATTGGGTGTTGAAAGTTTAAACAAGAAAAGTATACCTTGAAATGAAACTTGAAATTTGCATTTATTTCTATTCGAAACGCTATCAGTTGCAGTGACATCCACAGTAACATAAGAGCCGAGAGTTAACTGCGCTTCGCTAGGATCGAACGTCACTTCGGAAATATTGGAAATATCTTGAATGACCATTTGCACGGAATTTTCATCAAAATACACAGTTTTTTCAAATTCACCCTCAGCTGCCGGAATTATATATGATTCGGGACATTTCATTACAGGCGGTTGCGAATCTACAAAAAATCAGCTTTAAAAAAAGATCCAAGTAATTTAGATGATTTAACAATTATATAACTAAATTATATAACTAAAGTTTTTTTTTAGCATTATAGATTAATTTGGAATAAAACCTGGGATTCTAATTTGGACAATGCATTCAGCACTATTTCCAGCATCATCGAAAGCAGTATAAATGACATCAATATCATGCGATATGAACTGAGGTGGTTCAAAGCCTTCAGGAATTACACGAATATAAGCGACTGATCCTGAGTTGTCGGCAGCTCTTGGAACATCGAACATTACTGGTGTTAACTGGCCATTTTCATCTGTCAGGACATATACTGGATTTGATGGGCAATTATGGAAAGTTGGCGGTTCACTGTCAATGCATTGAGGAACCGACGCATTCCAGCCAACCTGAATTCCAGTAAAATGTGGTTATATATGCTTTTTATCTAATCCGCAGTATATACTTCTCCGTTTATTTAAATCCATTTACTCAATCAATTTCATCACTCTCAACATCACTAGTTACTTCCAGCATTCTGCATTTTATTCTGTGGTACCTTTTATTTATAGCCTTCTGGATTTATTTTGTTTCTCTATTCTCTTTTATGATTATTTATAATAGGAATAGGAATAACTGACAAATATAAGGCTTAAATTTTACTGAGTACCTCTAACATGAAATGACTAGAGAATTAACAGTTAGAATTAACAGTTAACAGCTTTATGATTAATAAGCTAGCCATAGCTGTCGAGTTATTGCTTAAGATAAGCAATAAGAAATGCAAGGAAAATCTCAGAATAAAGAAAAATGAAATGGAAAAATGCAAATCATATGGCATGAAACTCAATTTTTACCTGAAGATGAGAAGGAATTTCATGAGCAACAGAAAGTGGTGCTAAACATCCGTGCATATCAAACCGAATGCAAGGATTCTGTTCATATTCAGTAACACCAAGCAGAATATATCTGGCTCGTAGTGGTGGTATTAGTTCGAATTGATGCATTGCATTGTGGTTTCCTGATGGAGTCTCAAATTCCTAAAATATTTCGTAAAAATTCGTAAGATCTTTCAAAAATTTTTAGGGTGATATAATGAAAAAATATGGAAGAAATATATATAAACTTACAATCGGATATGTATCATAGTTTTGACTGTATTGGACTTTATAAAACAATTGCATCTTTGTTACGTGGCCACGAAGATGACCACTGCCGGCGACACCAGCCATACGTAAAGTTGTAAGAGTATATATTCGTTGAAGATCAACTGATAAGAATATAAAAGCATCTTTAGAACCACACCAACCTGTAGATGACATTCTCGCCTGAAACAAGTATTATAATAAATATTGAAAATTTATCATCCGATTAATTTGGAAAACATGTTACCTTATGGGGTTCATATCCCCAATTAGTAGAATCAGAATTATCAGCAAAAGCACCATCAGGAATGAATCCAGATGAGATCCCGACATCTTCAGCTAAAACACATGCTGTTCCTAGTGTACAATTGATAGTATCGAATGGAAATGGCCGATAACCAGCACGGTTGCATGAGAATTTAGCTTGTGCACCTTCTTCCACCGATTCCAAATGAACTTGGCCGTCGTCAGGAAATCCAGGATCTATGCAAACTGGGCCTAAAATTTTGCAAAATGTATGTACAGTGCATCAGAGATATTATAAAATTATAGCCATAAAATAATTCACCCTCGCAACGAAGATCGCCTAAATCCCAATTTCCATCGACATTGCATCGTATTGTTCTATCATCGTAACTCGATTTACCGACAAGGCTGTACGGTGGCCGACAGCTGAATGTGAAAGATGATCCAACCTAGAAAACGATATGCTTCATTAAACTTCATTAAACATAATAAATTTCATTCAGTTGTTTGCATGAGAACAAAAAAATTAAAAAATAAAAATAAATAAAAAAATAAAATAAAATAAATCAAGACTGATTACTGAACAATTCAGTAACCTATCAAAATTTTTTCTTTCTTTCTAACCGCATATAAATAGAGGAAATGAATAAAATTAAACCTTATAAAAATAATCATCTCCTTCATAGAAAGCTCCTGCTAATGATGGCGGAGGGCCACAATCAACGAGAGGACAATCAACATCAGGACCAGAAAGCCAGTAATCACGACCATCGTCTTGCGGATCATAGATACATTGGCGAAATGAGGAAAGCAAAGAGTTACCTGCTGAAAATAATTGCTTCAAAAAACAATATATTTAATTTAGCTAATCTGAATTCACTCCTTGATAATTGTTCACTTATCGTAAAAAATCTGACATGGACGATTTTGTTGACTGCATACAATGGTCACATTACGTCCATACGCAACAGTACTATTTTCTGGTGAAACGAAAAGACCAATCGCTGAATTATTATAAACACCTTGACATGTAGCAGCTGAAATTTAATAAATACTTGCTGAATTTTAACAATGATAAAAGAAAAGGGAATTCTATAAAAATGATAATTTTACCAATCTTACCAATCCTGCAGTCTTATTTTATATTAATTATTGCAATTAAAATTAAGTTTGAATAAAATAAAGCAAAGATTTCTCGAAGTGATTGGCTTTCTGACGAAAGGGTTACATTTTAATAGGCAGTAGGGTAAGCCAAGCGAAAAATGATAATGCAATAAAATTTATCAAACTTAGAATATATATAAATTATAACAGGAATAACAGCCATGCAAATTAAAATGAGTAAAAAATGATTGAGTAGAATGAGTCAAAAACTCAAAATTCTATAAAACAAGTTAAAGATAGAAGAATATTTGTTAAAATCTGCAAATAAAATTTACGCAAGCATAGTGGCGCCGATCCATTCCATGTTCCATCTTGCATGCATTTTAAATGGCTTGCACCCATCATCTGGAATTCGTATGCTTATATATGCCGGAAAATTCTGACTATTATTTATGGCGGCATATTTCTCTTGTTGTGCCATGTTTAGTGACATTTCATATATCACTCTTTTTCGCCACGACACTATTTACAATTCTTTTTTAAATAAATGAATGTATAAATAAAATTTTAAAATAAAAATTCTTTTTAAAAATGAAAAAAATGTCATTTACCTGATAAGCGAAATCGCATTGGAATTGAACTACCATTGGGAAATAGAATTTTTTTGCTGTAGAAAGCAGAAGTCCATTAAGGGGCGATGATAATGGGGAACACATTCGTGGTACACATGTTTGGTTGAATCGAATGACATCCATTGAGTTCAAGCCAGTTTCACCTTCCTATATATTGATATACTGTGATGATTAAAAAATATATGAAGCTTGAATTCTGCCTTCGCTATATCCAAAAATTCAATCTTTATGAAGGATATTAAATAAAATGAAGAAGGAGAACGAATACTTTAATGCGGAATCCGCCTTGACCGTCTACTGCCAGTAAGTCGTAACCTGTTTCGCATGCGCACCTATATGATCCCTGTGAATTTATACAAATTTGTTCACAATTACCATTGTTGATCTCACATTCGTTTATATCTGCAAAAATGTTTGTGAATTATGAATATTTGAAATCACATGCTCCATCGAGATTTTAATGAGATTTAACCATCTAAGTAAATGTTTTAAATGCGAAAATAATTTAAAGTTTATAAAGTTTATAGTACGAAGCTCATTCAATTCATCAAAAATTTCTAGCAATAAAGAATAAAGAATAAAAACTAGCAAACACATCAATTTTCTAAAATTTATGAATTTTAAGCATTACCTATGCAATTGGTCTTGTGGCATCCGAGAATTTCGAATTTCACACAGCTTTGAGATGAATATTCAACAATGATTATTTCTAAAACTCGAGCTTCGATTGGCCGCGGAAGTACAAGCAGTTCACCACCGATAATAGCAACATTCTTTGTAACAAGTTTCTATAAATTGCTTTTCAATTAATTGTATAACTATTCGAGCTAAAAAAAAGTTTACAGAATTATAATTTATATAATATAATTGAGACCATATTTAACAAGAAACAACCGTCACGTTTGATGCAGAATATGGAATCAAAGGTATTCCTGTTCTATTGGAATACTTGAGTTCGATAGCAATGGGATAGGCACCATTAGAAGTTTTCTCCACGCGCAATCTTTCCACAATTTTTGGGACAGCAAATGTAATAGTTATTGCTCTCGATTTATCATCAGTACTTGCACACCAGCCTGAATATCGAGGATTTTAATGGACAGCCGCTACAATACTTTTAAAGGGGTAAGGAGTAAGGCGGAAAATAATTATTACCCGTAGATGAGTAGTCGTTCGCATGAAAATCGGCAGTTTCAGACGTGGCTTCAATATTCATAGCATCAAGAACAGATGTAGACGTACATGCTAAATAAAATTACACACTTATTCCAACACAACAGCAGAGCTTATAAAATCTCTTTCGAGTTTGACAATTATTGTAAGCTAACAAGTCTTTCCATCAAAAATTATTACTGTTTGGTCATCAATAAGTATGATTTTAAAAATTTGAAAATATGACTTAAAAAATTTGATAAATTTAGCAAAATTTAGAAAAATGAACAAAAACTTTTAATAAAATCGAAAAATGCATCTGATCACGCGATGAAAAAAACCTACAAAGATGTGGTTGAAATCCTGATAAGCATTGACAATGATAACCGCCAGGCATATTAAAGCATTTCGTACTTTGAATATTACATACAGCTGAACCTTCAGCACATTCGTCTATATCTCTACATTCGGCCACATCACTTAGTGTTTGATTTGCTAAGCATTTGAGCGATTCAGCTCCTACTGACCTAAAACCTGGATGGCACTGAATGCGTGCTGAATCTTCAAATTCGAATCGTTCTCCCATTATTATCGCACCGTTTGTTATTCGCGGTATATTTGTACATGATAATCCTTGAAAAAAAAAGTTATTTCCCATAACAGTTTATACTGTTAATTAATTGCAAACATGATCAAACAGTCAATAATGCTATTTGGCCCAAATTAATAACATGTTAAAAGAGTACTTTTACAATGAGGCTGTGAGAATGACCATATGCCATTAGCTTGACAAAGAAGTGTTGCTGCTCCAATCCTTCTGAATCCAGGTGCGCATTCAAAGCGAAAAACAGTACCATATCCTGTTCCATCGCCAAATTCAAGTATTCGCTCACCATTTAAGAAAGGTGCTAGAGCTGGGCAAGTCTGGGCTAAAAGCCTTTTTTTTCAAAATTTCATCAGCAATTGAAATCAATAATTAAATAGTAATTTGCAAAAAAGCTTAGGTTGGAAGGACTATTTAGAAACACAAAGTCAATGATCAAATTAATGAGTTTTGTTTTAAAATATTTCTAGATTCATCTTCATAGTAGATTAAAATAAAATAATAAATATAATTCTAGGCAAAATTTATTGTTCAAATTTTCTTTATTTAGGATTTTATTATTTAAAAAAATTCAAAATTTTCAGAAATAATCAGTTTAATTTTAATTTCTTTATTTTAAACTTTAAATTTGCATTGTTTTTTTAAATAATTTTATTGGTAAGTTTGGGTACCCTTGCAAGCTGGAGTTGGTGTCCATCGTCCTTCATCCGTGCAATAAATTCCTTCTGATTCTTTTCCACTCGGAAAACTAAAGCCTTCATAACAATTATATCTAGCCGATCCACCAAAGGAAACATTAGTGGCTGATGAGGCGAATCCATTAGCGATTTGTGGTACTGCTGAACAATAAACTGCTGAAAACATTTTAGCCATTAGTAAAACATTTAAGAATGAACCTATGAGTCAAAATTAAATTATAAATTATAAATTATTACGTTGACAATCAGGAATGTGATCCTCTGTCCACTTGCCACCTAAAAGACAAGTCACATCAAACATTGGTCCACGTCCAGTACGAAATTCGAAACCACGTAAGCAAGACACCGTGACTTTTGTGCCAAAAGCCGAAGTTTTTGTGGATAGAGAAACCATTTTTGGAGGGACCAATGGAGGACAGTCTGAAATAAACGAAGAATAAAAATTTTACCACAAGATTCAGTTTCATTTTTAATAGTTTACTTACTTGTTGAAAAAGTGATATTCCAACCGCGTCCATTTCTTATCGAATTAGTCTCAAAAATTAATTTCACAATACTGCTTTGTGCAAATATACTTTTAGGTGGCCGAGAATTGGCACTAAAACCATTCACCGGATGAAGTGCTCGGCCATCCTCCGTTTGTTCATAAATCTGGAAGAAAAAAACATTGTTTTTTTAACAAACTGTGTACTTATAAATGTAAATATAGCCATTTTACAAGGATTTATATTGGATTTATAATCAACAGTTCATTTAAAGATTTTTTATTAAGAAAATAAAATGTTAATTAATCATTACCAAAAGTCGATCATCCTCTGCAACATCGAAACTATTTACGATGAAAGCAAGTGGTTGATCCGACTTACTGTCCGGTAATTCAATGGTATAGATGCATCTCTGCGAGTTTGGATAAGGTACAGCGTTGTAACCAGGTGAAATTATCATTCCCTCATTTTGGAGAATTTTATTCGAGCAGCCTAATCAAGAAGAACGATACAAATAAAATAGATTAAAAATACAATTCTTTTTTTTTCAACTTCAAAAAATTTTATAGAAAATAAGATGAAAGATTTTGAAATTCACTGAATTGGCTGAAATATTTGCTATAATAAATATAAATGAAACCTCTTTTATAAGTAAGACTGAATCCTCGGCCACTATGTATAAAATTTGAATGGAAATAAATATAAGCATGACTTTGGCTTGTTATAATAAGTTGTGGCTCGCTGAAATTCGCGGATAAACGAGCCAGAACGGAAGATGACGGAGTTTCTCCATCATATATTAAAAGAAAATCATTCGGATAATCTAAATCCACATCTTCAACCTAAATTGATTGTGTATTATAAATTTTAATTTTTTTCTTCAGTTTTTCAATTCAATTTTTTTTCCTATGAATAATGTTGGAGATATGAATTTCTTTTAAACTTTGCCTACAAAAATTTTGGTAAAAAAATTTACATAAAATGAAATAAGTTGTCCTGCAGCTGCATTGATTTTCCAAACACATTCTAAACCATTCGGATAATTTTTAGGATATTCGGGACTTATTAGTTTTTGACCGTATGGTTGCGCATTTAAAACACCTCCACACGAAACAGATACTGTAATTTCACAAATACAATGCATCTCTATTTATTATTATTTTTGTTTATTGATGGAATTTTTTATTTAATGGCATATTTCGTGAAAAAAAGAAATGAATGTAGAAACCGGCTCTCCAACTCGCTTGAAATCCACGAGCTTGTAGATGAGAATCGCTATTAAAATTAACAATCACGACGTTGGTACTTGAAATTAAAGTGCCAGGCTTTTCTGTGCCAGATAATATCGCGATAACCATCGATGAATTTTCCGCTGGACCACCATCTAATACCGTGACCAGATCTTGATATTCTTCCGTTTCGAATGAATCGAAAGTCAACTAAAATCATTTATTGCACGATAAGTGAATGAAGAATAAATTTAAAGTTGGAAAACGACTTTTTTGGAATATCAAAATATTTTTTTTTCTTTCGATGCATTTTTTCTATAAAGTTTTTTTCCATATACAGCAATAAACCAACATGAATTCGAGAGTTTATCGGTCCTTCTACAATCCATTTGCATTTAATATTTGCAGCATATGGCGATGGATAATTAAGTGATTGAATTTTCCCCGATTCTCCTTTCTCATATTTTAGACAATCGGAATCTCTTCGTGATGCTGGAATTACTAATTATCGCCACTAATTAAATCATTTCGAAATTTTTGCCAACAAAACGGCAAGTTTTTATGAGTAAATTTCTGGAATTTGGTAACATTTGATAAATATATAAATTCGCATGTATCAAATTCTAATGCACATTATCTTATTATTTGACTATGGCCAATCAAGAACATCTTCAAATATACCTACGTTTTACCTGCCCACCGAATGGGTAGAACCACATATGATTACATACACCTTTTTGCTAAAATGCCATCTGCACTAATGATATCGTCATAAGTGACTACGCTAATCAGGATTATGTTTTTCGTCATACATCGCAAGAATTCATGTATATTTCGATAATTCCTATCCTAAAGCCCGCGATGGTTGATTGCAAAGTGAGGAAGATGCATCTAAATTTGGACGGATAGAATCAAGAGAGATTTTGAGCGTGAGGGTGAACTAGTGATACATAGATTTAGACTGTAGAAAAAATAGCTTTAATAACTTTCATTTCCAGAATAACATTTTGATATTTATCGCTTCATTTCTTGCCTCAAAAATGAACTAAATAAGAAAAAATATACTTGGACAGTTAAATTCATCACTATAATCACCACAATCATTGATACCATTGCAATGAGCAGACTGAGGAACGCATTTTCCATTGTGACAAAAGAATGATCCTAAAATTGATCTTGGCCATAGACTTCCCAGGAGGATTGTTGTAAAGAATTCATTATTTCTGTTTTTCAAAATGATAGTGAATATTGAACGTTAGTGGAAGAAGCACCATTTTGAATTTATTGTAGTTGAAATTATTAATAACTTCATTAAATTTGCGAGTGATTTGGCTAAATTCAAGTCAGATTTAATGCTATACTGATTAATTTTTCGGAGATTTCTCATATCCGATGTGCAATTCGAATTGTTTGCCGTGAAAAATCCTTATATAAATCGATAATATTAGACCAGATTGATAATGAGAAATGGTCAAAGATATAACTGTAGAACACTTGATGTAATTGTTTATATTTAACGAAGTTCAAGGTCTTCAATGGCGGTCATTAGCCTTAATTTACCTTGTATGCACGCTGGTAGCTCACATATAAATGGCAATAATAGGCTGCATGTCTCCAAATTCCAACTAAGTACTTTTGATGGTTCTAACGAAACCTGAAATTCGATTAAGGATAAGGAATTTACAAATGAACATTTTTGATAAAAAAAAAAACGAAGCAAAAAATGAATAATTTGCTGCTACAATTAATTGACTGCAAGAATTACATCGAAGTGTAAAAAATAATAACGAATTAAATGGAAAAAATGAAAACTACCTTTGCGCAAGTTCCAGTTCTATAATCAGGTTGGCCTTCGCCCCAGAAGCCAACATATCGTGACGCAACGCTGCCATCTGACCATAAAAACAGTGCATCTTCTCCTTCTGTTTTTTGTGCCACGATACCTAAAATATTGCTTGAAATATTCAAATTTTTAACTTATTTCAGCAAATTTTTGTTCCATTTAAAAAATTGTCGATTTTCGTTAAATAGTTGGCAAAAAATTTCAATGCTGTCGAATATACGAAAAAAATAAAAAATCGAAAAATGAAATTGTCTAATGCGGAAGGACTGAATAAAATCAAAAGATAAAGCTGTTAAATCATATCAAATTTGATATTTATCAAAACAAATTTCAAAAATTTTTTGCTTCATATGAAATAAAAAAATAGATTTACCTATCCAAAAATCGTTTGGAACGGATAACAAACCACTTCGTTGTGGCCGATTAATTAATCGACTTAAAAACTGATTTTGCTTGTATGAATCAATTCGCACCAAATTACTACCATATCTAAGAAGGATCACACTTATAAGAACAACTGTGCAAGGAATAGATCAATATTTCCTTAAATTTATCGTATATGAAAAAACATAAATTTATGCAAAACCAAAATATTGGTGACAATATTACAATAAATGTATTCGTGATAATTTCGAAAATTCCACAGAAATATTCGGCGATTTTAAAGTGTCTAAGGTAATTTTGGGTGTAAAACTGGTTATTTAATAATATATTTATTTAAACAAGGGCCTAGCAAGTCATATAGGCATGCGCTTGAATTCTTACAATAACAAGAACGGAGCGATGGGAAAACGGCAACTATAGGTCATATAAAGCACCAAGAAAAGGCATCTATTTTTACGCCAAAATTTTTGCAAATTTCTCCGAAAACTTTTGTTTCGATTTATTATATAACGCTTACAATACAGTAGTTTTATGGTTATGGTTATGACAAAATCTTAAGCTTTCTTTTAAAATTATGCAATGTTGGTGCATAAATCATATTTTGAGGCGATTTAATTTTGGAATTAGTGAAACGAAAAATTATAGTTTATCAACTTCGTTCAGAAGATAAGCTTTAATTTCAAGCCATTAGACCCAGTTGTATCCGCATTGTCATTCTATAACCGAAATAATTGGATTTGTGAATTTCACTATTATTTTGATCGGATAGAATAATGAAAGAAAAAGGGATGAAAGGTCAAAAAGTCAAAATATCAGAATGCCTTTCTAAATCCGTCATTTCACAGAAAAAAATCTGCATTCCAATATTTTTCATATTAGTAGAAGTATTTACAATTCTCAAAATACGAAATAATAATGGAGTTTCATCAATTAAGAACTTTTAAAAAATCCATAAGCAAATTGGAAAAATTTAAAGATTTTTATTTTTAATTCAAAATTCTTTATATAAGAATTCCATAAAAGAATTTCTAATATTTGTAAATCGTAAAAATATTTTATATTTATTTAATTCCATTTATCATTAATCGAATTAAAGATTTTTTTCCCCTTTTAAAATCAACTGGGACATCTTAAAACAATTTCGTTAAAACAATGTGACAGTGAATGAGATTAAGGACGATCTTTCCTTATCAAACATACTATTTTTCGAATTTTTTTTGATTTAATTTTCGCGAATCCTTGACAAATTGATAATCTGTTTAATAGTTAGTATAAATAGTTAGTATAAATAGTTTAATAGTTAACTTTTTTTTAAATTAAGCAATAAAAAGAAGCAAAACAGTTAAAGATTAATTGAAATTATTTGTTGATTTTTCTATTAAATAATTTTCATCCAGTAAATTTATCACCAAATCAAATATTTTGTAATATTTTGTTATATTATTTATTTATTCAGAGTTGATTTACTATCGTAATATCAGTTTTCATTACGAAACAATGCGGAAAATAAAAGGTAAAGTAAAAGTTATTCTTTAAAAATCCGACAAATTTATAAAAAAATTATTAAAGTGAAAAACAAATTTCCATTTGATCAGAAAATTGATTTCACTTAAAAAACTTTAAAAGTAATGAGAATAGAGAAAAAATTTTATATTTGTTTATTAATCTATTCGATTGCCATAGCATTAATAAAAAAATTAATAAAAATTAATAAATTAATAATAAAAATTAATTGAAATTCACGCGAAAAAAAATTTCAGCTTGCGCAAGTACTCGTAAAAATATGCTGCGAGATGATAAATGATTGCACATACCTTGCACATAACGCAAGAGCCTGTGGCCATGATCGCTCGACTGTATAAATCCGAAAACATTTACGACCATATCGTTCCCAACCGTCAGCGCATCGATAATCAACTTCCGATATTAAATAACTCACATCGGAATCATTTTTAGAAGATAAAATCTAGTGTAAAAATATCGTTAGTACCAAACGCTGCCAATCATTTTTTTTTTCTATTTGATATAATTCCAATGGATTGATTTAAATTAAAAATATAATCGAGGATGGTGATAATGGATAAGGAAAAGTGATAAATTTTGAGAATAAACTCGGCATAAATCCGCAGACGGGAGCAGTTTAAAATTATTGCAAAAAAAGAGCTTCAAAATTTGAATAACGCATCGTAAAATCGAAGTATAAAAATCCATCGAAACCAAAAAATCCACGCGACTTAGGAAACTTTTCGAATTTTGCCAATCTATGAAATATATAAGGGGAAATTTTTAGATTGAAACCTTATTAACAAGCCAAGAATATTATCGTCGATATGTTTGAATATTTATGAATATTTTAAATAAAAAGAACGAAACAAACCTGTTCACTGAGTCGATTTAGTAAAGTAGATGCAATTAATAAGGGCAATAAAAGAAATAAAAAATATTTATTTGTGGCTGTGTAGAGCATATCGCCACAGTAACAATTAATGGTGAGCCTCTTTTGCTGAAAAATTCGTAATGAAGGCGAAACCAAAGAGAAGAGAAATTATCTCAGTGACCTCATTAAGATAACCTTTCGATCTGCTTTTACATATTAACCTTCAAAATGAGCGAATTCTATTGCAATGATATTTTCATAATATTTGTTCTTTTCTAATTGCCAATTTTTTTTTTTTTTTTTTAAATTCATTTCAGCAATTCTTAATTCACTATTGCAGTGATGCTACAGCACAAAAAATCGTTAATGCTTCCGTACTTCTTTTTTTAAATTCTAAAGAGCGCACTGATTACTCGAATTATCAAGGTTATTATCATATTGGAATCTCTTAGAATCGATTCGATTGTTATCTTTTATATTAATAATATAATATTGCTACTATATATTGCTACGACTTGCGCCCCTCATTAGTTTATCTCTAATTTATTTTATCGATTATTGTGGTGATAATACCGATTTTAGACACAAATCCGATTATCGGTTAATTATTATAACATGAGTGTGGAACAAACTTCATCGCATAGTGCCACAATAAATTATTTCGCTGAATGTAAAGAATGAAAAAAATTTCCGCGTTTATTTTTTTAATATTGTTTTATTTAATATTTATTTAATATTTAACGAAAGATTTAAAAAAATCTAAGATTTTTTAAATCTTCCAAATAAATTTGTTTTTATTTTTCTAAATTCGTTTGTTTTTTTCCGAATTTCCATAATTTTTTTCATAACTTTTTCAAATTTTTCCATTTAACGAAACAAGGAAAAAATTCGCAATCATTTGCCAATTATAAAATCGTTTGCGGTTGCCTTTTTTAATAATTTTTTTGATGGAAAATGAAAATTTTTAAATGAAAGCAAAATAAGATGCAAGCAAATATGCATATGCTTATCATTTAATCATATTTTAGATAAAAAATATATATTTTCGAATTAAAGCGAAAAATTATAAGGGGTTTCGTGGTCGTTAGAAGTTTTAAATATTTCAGTGGCCGATTATTGTCTGCGAATAAAATGAACTCGGAAGATCTCGTCAAATTCCAGTTCATTTCTAGTTCCTCTTAGGATTTAATTAATCAATTTAAATATTATTTAGTTTTTTTTATTTTAAAATTAATAAAACGAATAATAATTTTCAATAGAAAAATTAAAGTTGTATTAAAATTAAAGTTAAATTTAATAATTCAAAAAAATTTAAAATTTAAAAAAGTTTATTTATTCGAAAATTTATTCGAAAAACGTTGATAAACGCTTTTTTTCTTATAAAATAAGGAATGAATCCTAAAATTATAAACAAAATTTTAGTTTTTTCTCATTCTTAACTTAGAATTAATTGTTGCAGAACCAGGCGAAAACAAGATGAAAACTAACAAACGCGAATCTTTTAAATATTTCGAATTATTCATATTCTAGCTACAGCAATGATTTAAAAACGATTTCTTTTCTTAATAAATTTCCTTGCTGTTCACTAATTATTGTCGAGAATCTGGTTTGAATGAGCGAACGGGTAAAAGATCCGTTCAATATTCTATGAAAGTTGATAATTTTCAACAATTTTCCGACTCAATAAACAATTAGATATTTCCGAGTGTTAAAATTATTGTGTGAATGAACAGATCGTTGCAATTTTTAACGCATTGAACGTGCTATTACTTGAAGATTTTAATTAAGCAAAATCGCGTTAACTAAAAAATTGCATCAAAAAATCGAAGAATTTTTCGATTTTGAATCGAACTATCGTTTAGTTATACAAATAATACAATAATAATAGGCAACAATTCGCAGGGTTTTATGCATGCTTAAGGTAAAAAAGATTGTCAAATAAGGATATGCAATGAATGAGATGGTCAGAAAAAATTTTACTACAAGAAGACTGTGAAGAGATTGAGGCTGTCGATAAAGTCGATCGGCAGAAATTCTTGTTCGAAATTTATACAAAGATAGATCTTAATATAATATAAACAATGGTTTAACTGCACACTAGGCCTTCGATTTGTTTGTCTATCGCACCTGACCACGGTCATTTTCTCGTCCCAACCATATTTTAGTTTTTCTGTTTAAGATACTTTATTATTCTTTATTATTATTATTCTTTTGCGTCACTTGTTGTCGTTAAAACATATCGAAATTTGTTTAAAAAATAAAAAATTCAATCGCAATAATTTAAGAATAGATTTCTTAGATAAAAATTCTAAATTAATGAAGGAATGAGAAATTTTTATTTTTTAGAAATTTCCTTGATTGAAATTGATGTTAATTTAAAATCCAATGAAAATTTTATAATCTGGAATGATTATCAATCAGAGCAAAGAATTTGATAAGCTGAAATTGATATAAATATTTATATTAAAAAATTTATTTTTCGAAAATCTTCTTACTGCATTTTACAATATAATAATAATAAAAATTCTTTAGAAATTATAGGAATTTAATCGTAATTCAGAAGTTAGAATCGAAGTCAGAATGTATCCGAATACAACAAGAAAAGAAAAGCTTAAAGCGAGGCAAGCACAAAAGAAGTTGAGTGCTTTGCAGAAATATTCTAACGATCCATTTATAATTGCGAAATATAGAAAGCAGTAACTTAAAAAAGTTAAAGGAATAAAGAAATAAGAGTAAATTGAATAGTGAAAAGAGAAAATACTTCAAAAAAATGAAAAAATAGCAAAAATAGCAAAAATAACAAATAAATAAAAGGCAAACCAGGAAAAACTGAATTAAAATTATCCGTTCGGGAAGATAAATCTTTTGTAATAAATGAGTTGAGCGGTTCGCCAATGGTTGCTTATCGAATACCTCCTAAGGTGATTTGTCCTTTTTTTCTGTTTTCTGATCAAATTTCCATTGTAAATGCTCAAATAAGATTTTTTTTCGACTATCACATATTCGGCATACGAAAGATATGTGTCTTTGCAGAAGAAATCCTAGAATAATCAACTTTTTCTGGTTATCTCGCTCCTTTGGCTATTACAATGGGAAACGAATCAGATCGTATCACTCGGGGACGAAAAAAGAAGGTATCACCAATGTGATTCAGACTTTTAATAGAAGTTCTAATACAAGGTTTACTGTTGTCAAAAGCAGGTTCCAATGTTTAATGCTGGAGGGGATGATTTGATCAGTCAACCACGACGATAAACTTTACCACAAATTAGCACATTCAGCACGTGCAGCACATCCATGAAATTTAGAAATCAACTCGGGTATCTTTCAAAAATTATCAAACATAATGATGAGGCGCTTTTAATGCGTTAAAAAACAACTGTGATATTAATTAGATAAGTTAATTTGAATGCTTTATAGCATAATTTTAATATATAATTTTTTATGATCGCATGATAATTTTTTATGCACAAAAAAAATTTAACAAACGGATGATAAGTCAAAAATATTATACGTTATTTATAATAAAACGTTATACAAATAATATTAAAAATTTTTTATTTCTTTGGCTAAGAAAAAGCAAAGTGGATTTGATTTTTGTCCACTGATCGGGATGAATATTTCATTTGAACTGGAAAAGCAGATTGGAAAAACATACAAAATATTAAAATTATTTCATATAATGGCATAATGTTTTTATCAAAAAAAATCTCATTGCGAATAGTTGCCGAAATCTTTTCATGCAATCCCACGCTTTAGGATCCATTGTAATAATCTCAATGCATATCAAGATTTTGATAAATTTATTTCATTTAATAATGAATTTACAAATTCATTCATAAATTTTCTTTTTATATTTTCATGTTTTATAATTACGATTATTTACAATTATCATTTTATTTATTAATAAAATTTTTAAACGATATTTGTTCACCAGATATGCGGCAAGCAAATTCTTTGTAACAGAAACACGTATGAGACTGGATAGAAGGTATTTTTATTGATAAACAAGAAAGGTTTTATCTCTTTCATGCATTCGACATCATCGGTAACATCATCGGTAACCATCGCAAAAGTTGGGTGATATTAGGGAGATTATCGGCGAATTCTATAGGCCGGCCTACACTTTGTAGTCCTTGGAACTATGCTCGTGTTTAATTAATTATTCACTCGCCGTTTTGCTATAAACATTTAGTGACAACTTTTTTCAGGAAATGTTTCATTAAATGATTAGCAATTTTTTTCTCAACTTTCGTTGTTTTTTCACCATAGAAGTTCTGAAATTTTGCGAAAAAAAATTCCATTAATTTTGATATAAATTCATTTTGATTTTGAAACGCAAGTAGTGCTTACTTTTTGTCTCAATTTTTCAAAAATCCCCACCTTTTTCCTCATTTATTTCCACATCTAAAATTTATGGATGCATTTATTAAAACAAAAGTTACTAATGAACGACGATTTGGAGAAATCGAATTTTAGTGGCCAATGTTATTGCCTTACGAAGATCGCTGTGAATGGCTAGCAAGTTTGAATAAATATTGAAAGCCGAAGACTGGATTGACGAAGGAAATGAGGAGAAAATTATGCTTGAGGGATTTGAGCGAACTTTAATTGCAAATAGAACGCTTTAATTTTCTCATAATAAAAATTTATGGCTAAAATTTATTTTCGAAATGATTAAATTCGATATTGTATGGGAAATTTAGCGCAAATAATAAAGAGAACATTATCATCATTTCACAAAGATAGTGATTATATAGTAGTTACGTAAAGAAAATTACTTCGAAAGTATTTCAATGCCAATATACATAATTGGAATGCTTGGTGCATGAAATTGGTTCAAAAATAGATCATTTCAGACACCTTTTGTGAGATTTCCCTTCCTTCTAAAAGCAAATTCAGCGTTCGCTAATCCACTCCCATTTGATTTATTAAAAATATTTTAAATTGTTTTTTGAGACGTTTATGGAAATTTGGAAATTTTTAAATTATCGCAGTGATCTGTCGAGAATACTGAGTTAAATCGCTGAGGAAAATATTATTTTGCTTTAATTAGGCCATTTGTTAATCATCTTTCAAGTAAAATCATAATTTTCACAAAATAGCTAAAGTCCTCAACATTTCCACTTTTATAGGTTCTGGCTTAGCCTTACTAAAAGACAGAATATTGCGAAGCACACGCATATTTAGTATAAACGAAAAATGGAATGTTCTGATCTGAAACTTCAGAAGGTATCACAGTTCTAACATTAATGATCAGATTGAATAAGTTAATGAATCGATTGCGATAGCCTTAATCTATCCTTGAAACCTATATTCTAGCAAAGCCTATTTATCGAACGACTATTTAACTATATCGGTTCTGAGAATCTTCTAAAGATGATCAGCAATTTCCACTATCAATCATCTTATAGATAAATATCCAACAAGGAAAAAGAATGGATAAAATGAATCTATTTTTGTCTATCTTGGACTTGTTTATCGATTTTGTTGCATGAAACATGGATTGCTTCAGTGTTCAGTGAATAGAGTTCGAACTGAGCTTTTTATTATTTTGCTGATTTGAAATTAAAGATAGTTTCCCTTATTTTTTTCTTAATTATTAAGACTTTCTGCTGATTCCCCTATAAATTTTATTTTTCAAATTATTTTCTCAACATTGGGCAATTGTATGACTTTCATGATGCCTTACTACTACGTTTTTTTAATATTCTTTTTGGCTAATTTCATGAATTTTGTGAATGTCGTTGGATTGAATTGCATAAAATGTTCAAGCAATTCGTATAATTCAACGTGTTATAAAGAACCTGCAGCATTCGAATCCGTTCAATGCCCAACAGATTTTGCTAAATGTCAGGTATTTTCAAGTTTAAAAAAGATTCCGATTCTTCAATTCCACTAGCGTGCAGTGCTGCGAATTTGCCTTCTTGCACCCCAGCATCGTCCTCTAACGAGAGATACAGTTCAACGAAGAATGTCTTGAGCTATGGAAAGAACGAAGAAGTTCCATTCGATAAATTCTAATGCCCTTTTTTCTTTCAACATTTATTTATTTGGAGTTTTAAAAATTTTTTTGATTATATCGTTCTTATTCTAAGGTGTGGAAGTTGTACTCAGAAATTAATGATGAGATTTATATGTTCGAAAGGGGTTGCAGCTGGACGTGTACGCGAGGATGCATCACACTCTCAGATATGGAAAATAGATTCGTCAGGTACGAAGACCGCTAAATTTGTCAACGAGTTCAGCTTTTTAGCATTTTTATAGAACCATCCTATCGCAAGGCTTTCTTCTCCAAAATTAATCATATGGCGAAATCTTAATCTTGTTTGATTGTCATTAATTAATTATTATGAAAATGAAATTTGCGAAAATAATTCGCGGATCTTTAATATGAGCCATATTGCAGTTGTGCGTCTTGCTGTGACCTGGATAACTGCAATACAGACAATCCATCTTCAAAACCGAATCATTCTTTTCTTACAATAATTCCATCTTTGTTATTAGTTGATGGAAAATATTTTATGAAATAGCCATTTTATTAAACTCGAAACAATTTTATTGAGACAACTGCTATTTCTAACATTACAAAATTATAATGACTGAACCTGAATATTAATAAAATCTCCACCTCCAATAATTGAGGCATTTTATCCGACTTCTTTTACCAAAATTATTAATTGATTTTAGTGTAAGACCAGGCAATATTAAAAGTTCTTTTTATTTTTTATCAAAATAATTTATTCTTGGCAGAATAAATGTTTTATCAAAACACAGTTATGAAACAAACAAAAAATAATAAATATGTGAATAGCGGAAACATCGAAAATATCGAAAATAAGAATTGAAAAAAACCATTATAACGGTCCAATAAAAAAAAATCTGATTGAAAATTTGAAATCAACCTTATAATAATTAAAATAGGGAAAATAAACTGTTAATATGAGATCGCCTTCATAGTGTGAATCAGTTTAAAATATTGCAATCAAATTATTATCAAGTTTTTCTTTTGCTGAGGATGAAAGATGAAAGATGTTAGTTTAAAACCACAGATTCAGAAGCGACTTCTCCTAAAGACGAGATTTCTGAAATCAAACAAATTTTTTTACCCATATCCGACACATTTTATTTATGAGTTCCATAACGATTAAAATCTTTTAATGATGTAAAAAAAAAAGTGGTAAATGAATAACAACACATACCATTAACACTAGGATTATGATTCAATATAAAGTCATTGATACCAATATCAGAATCGACTGGATTGCTCGAATTACTAGAAGAAGATGAAAACTGCACGGCATAAGAAGAAATATACTGCAAAAATATTACCGAAATGGAGAAGTAGCATAATAATTTTTGCTTAAATTACGAAAAAATCTCGCCAATCATATTTAAAAAATCAATTAGTCAGAATTTAAAAAATTATAAACCACCAAAATTTCGAAATAAACAATTGCAAAAGAAAAAATTATCTTGTAGCGAGTTTTTTACTACTCAAGAACAAATTCTGTTTTGTTTTTCACATGAAAGTAATGAAATAAACTAGTTGCATAATTTGTAAATATCTTAATAGATAATGACAAATGAAAAAATTACCAATGCTGAAGGCGATGGTGCTAATGGTAAATCTTTTATTGATATTACTCCATTCAATATTTCGGTCATCTTCGATAATTTATCCTCAGCATTCAATTTTTCTTTGCAAAATCTTAGCACAACTTTATGCAAAAATTGATATTGGTCCTTCAAAACGAAAAAAAAAGAATAATAGATGAAATAAAGAAGAAAAAAGATCAAGTGGCTTGGAAACTTGAAAAGGACTGAATTTTCTTTATAAAAAGAAAAATCTAACGGGAGTTTGAATCATCGAAACTCGCTGTTTTCGCAGTTCTAAAGTAATCTCCAAAATATTTAACTCCTCAGCGAGAATCTGCAAAAATATAAATATAAAAATATTAAAAATAAGAAGTCTAAAAATTTTAAATCAAAAATACTTTCGATTAAATCAAAAAAAAAATATTTAATAGTATGAAAATGAATCCAGCAACTTTTTGTAATTCATCTCATATTAAAAGGAAAAATAAAAATGTAATTTCACGTTTTAAATAAAAATAAATCTGAGCAAATATAGATCAAAGCGATCTCCTATGTGAACTAAATGGAAAGTACGTGATCCAACGCGCATTCCAAACCGTACCCTAAAAATCACAATTTAACTCTAGAGATAATAAGAAAGTTTCAATCGAATCATCAATTTACAAGCATTGATATTTGTGGAAAGGTTGAGAGCATCAGTTTAAGAAATGCCTCTACAAGTTAGCTGAATCCATATGAGAATATGATAGTTAGCTCCTGAAATAAATGAACCAACTCGAAAATGCTATGAAAGACGGTATTTCAGATGATATGGAAGACTTCGACGACAAAAGCGCAATCTAGATAATGACCATTCTAAAATGCTGTGGTTCTGAATGAGGAGATGATTCGCTGAGATCAGAAGTTAAATGCTCCTAGATAATGATGGGGCATCTAGTTATGACTATTAAAGATGGCTTTTGAATTCTATAACATCCACCATAACATCATTTTCCGAGCCATTTAAATGCAATTACTAACAAGGCATAAAAAAATCTTCGGAAATCTAAAGCCGATCAAACTCCTGAATAAGATCATAGCCGTGAACCCAGCACCTTTCTTCCTCAGTGCCTTTATAGAAATCATTTGCTAATATAAGAAAAAGGAGCTTATATTATGAAGGTGATAGCTAGAACTTGTTTCCACTCAAAAAGTAACCCAAAACAATAAGATGGAATTTGGTATGAAAAAATAATTTCACCAAAAAAGCACTAATTTTTAAAATATATTGGATCCATTGCACCGAATGACTAAATAAATAGATAAAATTCCAGATAACATATGTTTTGCCTGAAGAAACTATTAACGAAAACGACAGTTAATATCAAAAAATCAAAGCGATATCAAAACGACAGTCCGAATATCACGACTGCAGTGCGCAAAAATTGTAAGACATCAAAGCATGGCCAAAAGAGTGGAAAAGTCAAAAAGAAACAAAATATATCTAACCATTCTTAAAGTACGTCCTACGCACTCATTCAGGTAATAAAACTTGGAGTAGGTATTTTTGCTCGAATATCATATGTATTATTAATATCCAAGCCTTTTTCTTCATAGTTATGGACGCCATTTGAAATTTTCAAATTCAAATTTTCAAAAATCAAAAATCAAATTTTTTTTAAGAGTCATCACCATTACTGGTTAGGCTCGCTTCACCGGCTTGTAAGCATTGGATAATAAGTCAGGCAATCCCTTGGCGATAGAAATACAGGTGAGTCGCCAGCATCACCAGGGTCATTTGAGATATATATATATATATATGGCTTTTTCATTTTGAAGATAGAGACATGTGGATCCCTAGTAATCATCAGAGTTTTATCTTTAATTAATTGAAATTTTATTGCAGCCAAAAGAAAGGAAAAATATAAATAATGCATTATGGAAAAAAATTATACAAAAAACGACCGCTCAAAATCAGAAAATGAATAAATCGAATGAAAAAATTAAAAAAGAAAATTAAAAAATAGTATATTTATTTATAAGTTACAAGATATCTAAAGCTGCTCCTAACAATGAAAATTCTTTGAAAATGAAAAATCTCCCTGAAAATTAAAAAAACTTAGCAATAATCTTAAAAATCTTAATTCAATTCCCATACTTTTTTAGCATAATTTTGATTTAATTTTATATAAAAAATATTTACTTCTTTATTTATGCGTTCGCGAATTGAATTTGCCGCAATAATTGTTCCCGTGCGACCACAACCAGCACTAAATTTATTATTTAATATTAAATTATATACGATCTCTGAATAAAAGCTGATAGAAAAGATTGAATTTTTATGGTATTTTAAATCCGTAAATATATATAAATAAAATGAATATATAATTTTCACAAAATATTCGCTGTTTTTAAAAAGCTGATTGATTAAAGAAAGTTGTTTCCAATAAATGAAAATAAAAAGCAGCCAAAAAATTTAAAATAAGTGCCAAAAGAAATCCATATGCAAAATGTACTTGGAAAATAACGTTACCTGCAATGCACCAGAACAGGTTTGTCTGGATCATTTATAAGCAGTTTATCCAAAGAATAAATCATATCAAGAAATTGTAATTCACTTTGTGGGCTTCCATGATCTGGCCATTCTGTATAATGCAACTGCGTAATGTATTTTATTTCACCGTCTTTCCAACGAAGTTTAAGGTCTCTTTTACTATATTCTTCGAAAATTTCTTCTTTAATGACTGTCACAAATATTCCGGCAAAATTTTCTTCTTCATTAAGTTCTTGAGGCCAGTACATTTCACATTTAACCTTAACAATGGATCAGTAATTAGTAATCAGTAATAGTTATTTTAAAAAATCAAAAATTTGTTAGACACAACTACAAATAAGACAAATTTTAAACCAAAAGTGAAAATAACCAAAATAATTTAAAAATAAAATTAAAGAATGGAATACCCATTATAAGAGATTTATTGATATTGTAAATTTATTAAAATTTAAAATTTTAAATGATCATAAAATGAAAAGAAATTCCTAACTTTCTAACTGATATTTTTACTTTAAATTATCAAGCATAATATAATCAAACCTTGCCCATTTCTATGATATTGCATAACATTACGATTATTCTAACTTCATATTCCCGTATCATTTCAAACCAATCTCGGAGAGTTGAAGGCAAAGGCGCTTGTGCAGCTATATATCTGTAATGTATTCAGTTAGAAAGTTATTTAGCAAAACCAAAAAAAATTATGAAAACAATAAGGAATTCTTCAGGCATTCGTCCATAAAGCACTCCATAAATTTTATTTGTAAAAAATTTTTTTCCACAAAAAGAACGTTTAACCTCGCACCAAATTAAATAGATACCTTGTCGTGGTCCCAGGTAGTCCAATATGTGAGGCATTAATGTAATCACTGACATTTTCCGCTAGTTTTTGTTCTTCATCCAAAGTACTCCATTTTAAACAAACTCGATTTTTGTCATCTATAATTAATACAATATATCACTCTGCGCAATCCTTATTATTATTCGAAAAAACTTTCTTATACTCCAACCACGGTAACATCATAATAATTCATTATTCTAAAGCTGATCTGTTCACATATTCATTACCTTTCTTTTTATTTTCTCGTGGATTGTTTTGCTATTATTATTCAACTTGTTTAAAGAGATATTAGATCATCTACAATTATGCTAAGGAATTTAAAAATATAAATAAGTAAAAAGGAAAAAAGAAAATGAAACAGGTAGGGCCCATGAATAAATCAGAAAAAAATTATGAATGAACCTAAAATAGCTAGAAATCTACTAAAATATATTAAGGTATACCATGCCGAACTTACAAGGAATAATATCGCGATAACGATTTTTAAAGAAAAACTTCGGATCAGAACCAGTCTTACACGAATATTCACTCAACATTCGCATATCATCTTGTTCCAATTGTATTTTCTAAATTAAATTAAGATTTCATTTTTCTTCATCTTGTCCTAGCAGTACGCATATTTCTGGTATGGTAGGCTTCACTGTTTATTAAGATGAGACAAAGTTCCAAGTTCCAAAGGTTCAGGCAAAGTTCCAAAGAAACTTGGAGCAATTCCTAGCATAATTTTAACATCACTATTAATTTGAAGAAACAGAAGTAAAACCTATGATGCGTGACGCCAGTAGAAAAACCGCACCATTCTGCTTCCCCGATCCCACAAAAAACTGTCAAGAAAAGATCAGCACTTAGTTACAAGTACAGCTGTTATTAATTATTTTTTTTAAGTCCTCATCATTACTGGTTAAATTCACTCCACTGGATTGTCGTTGGGCAATATGCCAGGGAGTCCTTTGACGATAGAAATACAGGTGAGTCGCCAGCATCACCAAGATTTTAATTGAGCAACAACCCACTAAGCCATTCTATTCCCAGCTGTTATTAATATAACAGATTAAAAAATTCAGCCATTTTAAATTATAAATAACTGATTCATTTTAGTAAGAATAAGCAAGCTTAAGAGGAAAAAGAAAATTATTTAAGACAAAGATAGAGCTTTTAAAAGACTTGAAATATTGCGAAATTATTAAAAAACTAACACGAAATTGTGTGTTGTAGTCATAATCGGAAAGTTTTCCCTCCATTAAAATAAACTTTAATAAATTATCCATAATTGTTCTGTTTAGACTGACATTGTTGAAGAATTAGTAACTAAAAGGATAATTATTATTTTTGTTATTACTATTATCAGTGATATCACCATTATCATTAAGAAACATGGAAATGAAAAGTTCAACGATATAAATCGGAATTTTAAGTCAGATTTTAAATTTAATAGAAATGTTTTTTCATTTTTTTCTAAGAGCATTTATCATTTCTGATTAGAATTGTTTCCTGGCTTATCGGAACAGATAAATTTTCAGGCAGTTAATTGACGATGGAAATACAAGTGAATTGCTAGTGTCACCGAGAATTTTTAAGAAAGGTTTACTCCCGTCGGGAATAGAAACCCAGCGTTGGCTCTCCGAAATGAGAGCAATAAGCCCAATGAGCCATTTTGATGCGAAGACGCGCAATTCATCGAATTCTCAACCATTCCAAAAATAAATAAATAAAAAGTTTTTTGGAAAAATCTGCAAACAAAAAATGTGGAAAGTAAAGTTAAAAAGCATTAAAATTAAAATAAAAACTAAAAAGAAAATAAAAAAATGCAATAAAAAAAATAAATAAAATTTATTTTTAATAAAATATAAATATGAAATAAATATAAAATAAAAGGAATGAAGGAAAAATTAACGGTTTAAATAAAATTAACAATTTCTAAGAACCAATGGGTTGCGACCACGGAGATCCAATCACCACAATACCGAATTTAGACCACGGCCGTTGAAAACAATGAAAATTCACAAAACTAGCAAAGACATTAATTTCAATGAGTACGAGCTGACGAATTAGAAAAATCGGCTTAATTTTCAATGATCGATGCTGCCAAAATTTATTTTGTTCCTCTAAATGGCTCGTTAACTTTTCTAAAAAGTGGTGGATTTCGGTAAAGCATAATTGTTTATCATTTTTCATTTCGAGTCTAAGCCTTTTACTAATCTTATCATATCTTTTTGTCTTATCTCTTTTAAAAGATGTCTTCTTGAGGATTACTGTAGGTGATAATGCACTCAGCACATTATAAATTCCAATGCATAGTTAATAAATCACATAATATTATAAAATTTTAAAATTTTCGTTGAAAGGCTATCATAATCATTCTGAATTTCCTCTCTCCTTATTTAAGCTTGTCTTTTGAAAGCTTATCATGCTTATCACCAGAGAGTCACTTGGAATTCATTTGGCTCTACTAACTTTTAGTAGGAATTTTTTCGTTAGAAAGAGGTTAAGTGGATAGAAGTGAAAATGAGTCACGGAATGGGATTTAATTTTTGATCGCAATTGATAGTTTGCTCGAATCAACGGATAAACAAGACTGGAACCTATGATTTTAATCGACGCAACATGCGATATATCATTTTTCTCCTTATCATTGTTATCAGTGTAACGATTTTCGAAAGAATTTAAAATTTGTATTCATTTATATCAAGTTTCACATTTAAAATTTAAATACACATCAAAAAATTTAGCAAAAATATACAAAGAAATTGAACGAAAAATAGAGAATATCTTGGCACAATTATAATTTTGATAATCGCCGAGTCAAGCGATTGGTTAAGCTTTAACCTTTCACCCTCCAATCACTGACTTTTGCTAAACTTTATTTCTAATTGTTAGTCTTAATTCACCGCACTTTATTGTAAGTATTTTAGTGAATTTGTCGATCGTCAGTCACCATTCAGATTCATTCAACCAAACAGAAGGTCATATTTTAATCCGATAATAAATTTAAATTATTACAAATGATAAATTTTAATGAAAATATAATTATATATATATATAATTATATATATATTAAATATACATAAAAAAATATAATTAATGTAATATAATTATTTATTATTAATTATGCAAAATTAATTATAAAAATGAAAACAAAATTTGTAAGTATAAGAAAAAAATATAATTGGATGTTGTGCCAAAAGCTTTCTTTATTATAAATTTTAATTTGAAACGAAATTTGTTGCTAAAATAAAGTTAATTATTAAAATGTGGAATACTGTGAACCTTGTCTGGCTTATGCCTGCGGCAACAATTAACTTCCTCTATGAACTTTGTGAACTGTTTTATTTATTTTAATATTTACAATTGGAAGAGATATGGTATCGTTTTCTTTATTTATCGCCTATTTATAAATATTTCTATTTCTAAGGGGTTCATTGGTAAAATTTTCGACAAGCCGACGGACCGAGTTAAGTCAGAAATGGTGAACGCTCTCTTACAAATTTATGCTTCGGTGACAATTTATCTAAATTTATTAATACAAATTTAAGAAATAATGAGATTTATAATTTATATGGGATTTATAATTTATTTAATTTATAATTTTCATATTCCAATAAAAAAGTTTTTTTCTTCCCAACGAACAAAGATGATGCGACATTTAAATCATTTCAACAGTAAACGAAAAATTTAATGGAAATTCATAGCATAGATGGTGAATGAACTTTTCCATTAAGAATTCTTGATAAATTTAAAAATTTATCGTTTTTATCACTTCAAAAATTTTTTAGAAAATCAAATGGCTGAGATAGATTTTAAGAATAGTTGCGATCTTATGCAAAAATATTTTGTCATTTTCAAAAATATTGAAAAAGAAAGTGAAATTTGTTCATATATTATCAGTGACAAACTGCCAATCCGTGAATTGTGATGACTTGAAATTTCTTGAAATTTTACAAATTCCTCAGTTTCAGTTTCAATTTCAAGTTTATTCAATCATTTATTCTAATAATATATAATTTAGAAGTATCGTAAAAAAGTAGATAAAGCAGAATTTTCATGACGAATATTTTAAAAATTATTTAAAAGCAATATTCGAGAAGAAAAATATAATATTTATTATTTAAATCATTTTTTGAACGAAAATTTAATTTATAAAATAGCAATTTAAATATAAAACAGCAATAAAATATTCACGAAAAAAATCTTTCAAAATGCAAAATCTTTGTAAAAATTTTTGAATTTTATTGCTATTTTTCTTTAAATAATAATTTCACACAATAGAGCAAAAATCTTTAAGGATTTTTAAAAATCGCAATTTGGTGCTTCCTTGATATCGCCAATAAAACTTTTCCGCCCCGTTAGTGGATTTGCTTCCCTCGTATAAATATTTCGATGATTTTCATTATTTTCTATCGTTTCATTTACATATTTCGTAAATTCGTTGGGTAAAACGTCTTCATTTTGTCTTTTACCTGTAACATATTTTAGATGAGTGTTTATTAAGGAGCGAAATATTATAAGGGATCGTTTCGCTTGAGGGGGCATATATTCGATTGGAGTGCACTTGTCATTACAACTGAATGTCAGCTATAAATCCTCAACGCTTTTAATCGCTCAACGTTTTTTATTGCAAATAAAAAAATGCAAATTTACCGGTTAATAATGATTTCAACTTTATTTTAAATATCCACGTTGAATATCTTATTTCAACCAATCGACTAGCATATATAAAAGCATCAATTATCAATTTCATAACGTGAATAAACTGACACATAATTAATAAAAACATTAACGGATATCCACGTAGACGAATTGCGCATTCACTGCAGAACACGATATGGCTTAATAAAGTTGGAAGCCAGCCTGAATTATTATTATTATTAATATTGAAGTTATGGAATTAATAATAAAATTATGGTTGATTTATTAATTCCATCGGAATTTTCAATATTTGTTAATTAAATTAGTAAAAATACTTCCATTTTCACAGAGACGGAAATTCTTGAAATATTCTTGAAGTATCCTTTTTGAATTTCGTTTCACTCCATCATTTCAAAATCGGTGCATTATGATGATTATTATATTTCAAGCGATTTGAAAAAGGATACTAGGATATTATTTTATATAATATGCAAAAGATAAAAAATTATATGACCTGAGACACATGAACCAGCGAATAAAGCGATTGTAACATGGAAGCGACGGTTAGGTAAGCGATAATTGCAACCAGGTGTCATTGATGCGGCTAGCTTCGAAGTCTAAAACAAAATTTGCATTTTCAAAAACAGAATTTTCATGAGAAATGATTTTACATATTGAATTATAATCTTTATAGTGGCATTTTTTAGAAAACTTTTTTAAAAGAAAATGGAAAAAACATTTCCCATCGAAATAACCTTTTTCATGTGAATGACGATGTGAATATATAGAGAAACAATAATTGCAACAAAAAGTATAAAAGGTATGACGGTTATCAAGCGAACAAAGAATTTCGCTAAAATATTTTAGCTATATTGACGGCAATGCTGATATTGATAAGAAATGTTGATAAAAAAACATCCTAATTTATCAAAAATCCACAACAATGTTTAATAAAATCTAATGATTCGATTTAATAGTTTGGTTAAAATATCCAAAAAAATTTTCGCATCATAGCGCAAATTGGTTTAGAGCATAGGAAGCATCATAAAACAATTTTATTGACCCTTGAGATGAAATATCATGAAAAAGAATGAATAAAATAATTACACATAATATTAGCCCCAACGCATCCCTTGAGAGTTAAAAATCCAAACGCTTCTTTGTTGCGAAAACCACCAGGCATTATTGAATATAAACTTATAAAAAATAAAATTGGTACTATATATGCCAAAAATAGTAAAATTCTAAAGTTCACTTGTGAGAGTCCATTGCTAAAAATAAATTAATTTAGCAACTTTTTCATGTGTTGCTAAATAATTGTTAATCATTTAAGGATGTAATCACTTATGTAATCTTTTCAGCTAATTTTCAAAAAAAATAATTTTATTAAAAAATAATTTAAATAATTTTATTTGCATAAATTAAATATTCATTAGACTTATTATAAATGAGTTAATGGATATAAACGAATGAATGTAAGACAGTAGGGTTTTCTTTCTTTTATTTTTGTAATCACCCTTTACCATCATTTGCTATCACTTTTTCTTATCATTTTCATTATTTTATCATTTGTTTATTTTTTTATTTGTTATCATTGCTTGCATCCTGTTTTCCATTATTATTTGACCATTTCTAACTCAAGCATATCTCAAGTTACTGTCACTGTTGCTTGGTTATTGAAACGTTTAAATAATAAGTAATTTCATGAATAATTTAAAATTTTTCTAAAGTACAAGCGTAATTCTCATTAGTAGATTTCGCATTTTGTGAGCATAAAGGCCAAAGCATAAGTTAATTATAAAAGATAATTGCCTTTTTTTCTATTCATTTTTTTTCAAAAATAACGACATATTTTAGGAGGATATTATTACTATTGAAAGAAAATAGATTTCAACAGTTCGCAGAAGTTCAACAGTTCCCCTTATAAGTTAACTAAATATTTGTAAGGATATTTATGTTATTATTGTACCGTGCATAAAATCTTATTTCCACTAAATAGGAATGTGCACTAGGCATATTTTGTTCGGTACTTAGTATGCTTTTGCTCTTATCTTTTTAACCACTAAATTTTCGTAATCTTATGTAAATTCTTATTTGGAAACTAGTCAATTTCCGATTACGCATTATAATTGGAAAAAATAAGAGGAAAAAAAATAAATTATATAAAATGTGAGAAAAGAAGGATGGAAGTTTATTCGAATAAGGAAACCAATAGTGATTTCGTTAATTAATTTTTCTAGCAAATATCTACTTATATACATTTTCATCGATCCTAATTAGAAAAACGATCATAATACACCATAAAGCATAATTATTTTAAAAAAACTTTAAATATCAAAGAAATCCCAGGAAAAACTCGCCTATAAAATGGATATATAATTCCAACATAGTGATTAATTGCCAATGCCAATAATATAAACAATGAAGCAAAAAACATTGAAATTTTCAAGCACTGAAATCATTTTATATAAATACTTTAAGAATTAAACTTTTTTTCTAAGAACACCATTCCTGGATTAGACTTACTCCATTGGCTTGTCCAGCCAAGCAAATTTTGCCAGAGAGTCATTTGGCGATAGAAATGCAGGTAAGTCGAAAGCATTATCTAAAATTTTGAAGAAAATTTAAAGAAGTTCACTATTACGAGTAGAATTCCAGCCATGAAAGCAGCAATCCAGTTCCAGCTCGATGATCCAGTTTTCCTAGCTCAAGAACTATCCCTTAACATCTTCTTCTAATAGCTCTCATCATTATGGTTATGTTGGCTATAATAATATATAAGAGTAAGACGTTTCTAAGCTGTCCGAATGATCTTATCATTAACAGTAATAGAAGCACTGAAAAAGATTTTTTTGCCATTTAAATCTATATATCACTAGACCAGCTATGCGTTCAAAATTTTTCTATATCAATCCAAGCTTAGTCCTCTTGGCTTTTGAAGCCATCCATTAGCAAGTAATGAAATATGGGCTAAATCCTGTGGCGACGAAGAATCTGCCCAAACCAGCAGAAATTATATTCTATGATGGTACTGTTAATGCAGGTGGTTTGAGCAAAGGTGCTTGATTCTTTAATATTCCTTATGGTTGTACCAAAATTTAAGATAAATTCTCAAATTAAATTTGGATTAATGGCCAAAGAGAAAATAAAATTAGATAAAAAATAATAGTAATATATATAATCTAAAATTTCCCTCAAAATATAGAAAATAATCAATGATTTGATAAGCTAGCAAATATTTCAGGAAATTTTTAAATATTTCCGACACGGATTTCCTTTTTGAAAATTTTATAAAAAATTCGCATATTCATATCATTCACATATTATAAGAAATTCCCGTAATCCACGAAATTGTCATCCATGTAATTTTTTAAAATAACAAGCAAATTATTAAATATATAATTAAAAAAATAGTAAAAATAGAAAACCTCGACTAACAATGAAATACAATGCGATACAATTTGATTATTGCCATTAATCGTCGGTATGATAACATTTATTAGATTGCTTATCATGTAGAAAAATGCACATGCAGCGTTTGCAGCTGTTAAATTTATACAAAGCCGCAAATTCATTTTTATTGGTTTACGCAAATAATGTGAACACTATAATTATCCATAAATAAATATCAGTTATCGAAAAAATTTTTTAATAAAAAAATTTCAATAAAAAAAATTTAATAAATTAATAAGAAAATTTTTAGTTAATTAGGTAAGTTTTGAATAAAACATTAAGTCAGCGCTATAAAATTTAGCTAAAAAGCTTTTTAAAAAAGTTTTATTAAAAATCCAACTAGGATTTTATTAGCATTTAAGTAAGTATTAAATTATAACAAATTAAGAAATAAATTTCGAAAAATTTTGAAATTTTTCTTTCTCACTGAATTTCGCACGCGTTTCATTAAATTTTTATTTAAATTAGATAAATTTCCAGAAAATTCAAGAATTTTTGAAAATTAGACGAAAAATTCATTTTTTAAGGCAATTTTTATGCAAAAAAAAATACTAAAAACATCTAAAATAAAAAAATTTCCACTTTCAAATTTCCTTTTCACGATGAATAAATTTTTTTTTTCAATTAATCAAATTTAATTTTTCTAGCAAATTTGATTTTTATTTATGAATTAAAATTATTGAAATAATTAAAAATCTAACACTTAATAAATAAAGATTTATAAAAAGTGCAAACGCAGATTCAAGTGTAATTGTTGTCGATGCGTAAAATGTAAGTTTTGCAACATCGATGAAATTTTGCTCATCTTTTAATAACAATTGTGTTATATTACTCATTCGTTTTATTCAATCTGAAATTGGATATTTTTATTTTTATTATATTTAAAATAATATAAAAATATATGAATTAAAAATAAAAACAGCAAAGACAAGTTTTCGCAAAAATCGCTAAGATTATTCAAATTTAGTGAAGGATTTAATTTAATATTCTCTATGTTAAATATTTGACGGAATATATTAAATTAGACAGCTTTATAGTGCTTTTTTTGAAAACAATTTTCGACAAATTAATTTCTTAAAAAACAAAATTCTAATGAAATGATCGAAAGTTATGCGAGAATGTTTTCAACAATAGAATAGAAAGATTATGAATCTGTAAAAGGATTTTTCTCAATAAATTAATGGGAAGGGAGGATTCAGCGAATATAATCCACAAATACTCTAAAAGAATAAGGGCAATATTTTATTCCAAGAAAAATAATCGAATTATATCACAAAAGAAATAAAGTTAGAGCGAATTTTTTGCACAATCTTCACTGAGTAGGATAAGGTTTAATGAATCGCATGAAAATAAACCGAAAGTGAGCCGGAGGATGGCATTTTTTTAATATACATAAATTAGTTTCCCTTCATTTTTTTCTATTGGCATAGGCCATTACTAGTTAGCTATAAGATTGAGGCGTTTCCATGTCGCTCGAACCGATGCCATTTTTCACTTCTAAATTTTCAATATCGTGATTTTCCACTTTTCTAATATTCTTATTGTGCGCAATCACGTACATACAAAAAATTGAAATGCTTTAAAGAATTTTTTTGGAAATTTTTATAAAATGATTTTTTTTTTCAAAGATTTGTTCTTTTAGAAATCTTAGAAAATCGAATAAAAATTGCATAGAAATATTAGTTATGCTGAATAATCAACATTAATTGTTCTCGGTTGAGTAATAATGTTGCTCATCCAACATTTTCATGAAAAATTCATATAAATATTTTCTGGAAAGTTTAAAATAAAAATATATTAAGTATCAAAGTTTATGCCGCTAATGCAACAAGTAATGGAAATCCATAAGTATACTTCGAGTTAAATTGTTGAAAATTTTCTCAAAATACTTCAAATATACAAATCGAAAAAATTCCTCTATTTGCGTCATTATCGGTTATAATTTGTGATTTTCATTAGAAGATTCCCAATACAATAACTTTACATATATATTACAAACTATCGCAATAGTCAAATCAAAAAATAACTAAAGTATTTTTTACCAAGAAAAAATCATCAAAATTTATAAATTTTAGGAAAATCTCATGGAATAATTGAATAATAAAGCAAAACAAAATTACACAAAATTTCTATTCTTGTTGTGGCACAGTATTGGCTTAGGCCACTTGCTCAAAGGAAAATTTCGAAATCGTATAGCATTCAGACTAAATTTTAGGAAAATTATCATTTATAATTCATAAAATTTTTGAAAATTTTCTCACTCAACATACTTCTAACATTCACATCGAAAGGATTCGTCTATTTATGGCATACTTAGCTGTAAATAAACAATTTTTTAAATTTATTTTCGAGGACCCTCATTTATATTTGCATTGCTAGTAATTAATATAATAATTAGTAATTAGTAACTATGCATTAATTAATTTACATTATTAATCAGTAATTGAAGAAATTTCCACTAATGATAAGCAACCTTATCGTTAACTGCTAGCAAATTCTATTTTTATTTATATTTTTATGAGCTAATTAAGAAATTTTTCCTTTTCATACCAGTTATGCAACAAAATCGAAGAGTCAGAGAAAGGAAGTGAAGAGGAAATAAAGTTTCCTAAGCGAACAATCTAATTTTGGCCTGTAAATAGTAGTAGTTAACGACAAATTGATGGGAGTCCTAAGGCAATAAATAAATACTCTACTTAGATATTTAGTATAGGAATAGCAAGATTCTATAAATAATTATTACAAATCCACTCAACTGAAATTATAGCTATAATTATAGGGAATCAACTGTCCCAGTAGGCCTATTATAAATGGGATTCAGAAGAATGTTGGCGAATCATTTGCATAATTAACTGCAAGTGGATCCCTGGCGCAAGGATAAGCGCCTTAAACTGATGACATACAATAGAACTGGCCAAGCCAGATGTCTCAAAGGCTAGTACTTTATCAGATTAAGAGTGGAGAAAGGTTCAATTCATGTATATATAATATTAACTGATTGGCCTGTTTGTCAAAGTGAATATAAAAAGTGTAGATGGAAAAAATTTGGACAAGCTTATCACTAAAAGAACTGAAATAATTTCGAATGAATGAACGATTGTTGACGATAATCGTTCTATAAATTTTGCTGTCGACTTAAGTGAATTTTTCTCAAAAAATTTGAAAAAATGTATTTTTATTTCACAGCAAAATTATTAACTAACTGCGGCGTTTTTATCAATACGCGAAAGGAATTCAACAAATTGAGTGGCAAACTTCGAAATCTCCCTCCACTCGATTCATGTGGGTGAACTCGAAATAGAAAAGCATACACGATTTCGCCCATTTAAAGCCAACCCAGATTCAATATTTTAATTAATTAAGAGATAATTCTCTTATGGATAAAAAAGTTCTCTTATTAGTGATTAGTGATTAGTGATAAAACAAAAGTGGAAATATAAATAAATATATAAAGTAGCAAATATTATTTTTTAGCACCCATTTTTATTTTATTTTTTATTTTAATAATTAAAAATATATTAGAATGATTGATTTTAAAAATTTAAAAAATTTCAAAAAAATTTTGAAAAATTTAAAGAAATAATCTCAGTTGATTAAAAATAAATCGTACTGAACCTTTAAATAATTTATTTTACTTGGAGTAAAATTAAACATTTAAATATACTTTCGAACTTTAAATGAGAATATTGAAAGGTAAGGCTAATTATTGTTTAATTTTGATTTATTTATTTATTAATTAAAATGCTGGCAAATCGCATCCATTCCATTGTTTCAGAAGTTGCAAAACTGGAAATATTGACTGTTGGCTAAGTGATCAAGTGATCTGAATATAGGTGTGAAGACTACTAGTGCTCATATTATTAGAACTCGAATTCGTTCCACAATTGGCCGAGCAGGAATTTCCCTTGAATGGGAAACAACATGGATCTAGTTCTGGTCGATTGACCGGAATGAACTCGTCATTAAAAGTGAATTCCTATTGTAAGGGACTCATCAATAATTTATATCAAAACTAAAAAAGTTTCTAACAATTAGTTTTTTTTTTAAAAAATTTTCATCATTACTGGTTGAACTCGCTCCGTTAGCTTGTCGCATAGGACAAATATGCTAGAGAATCCCTTGGCGATAGAAATACAGGTGCTTCGCCAGCATCAACCGGATTTTTGGACCGGTTTACTCCTGCGGGGAATATAACCTTAGTATCGGCGCGCCGAATTGAGCAACAACCCACTAAGCCATCCTATCCCTTAAGAATTAATAGAGGAAATTTAATTAGTGCTATTAGAAGAAGAATTCATTTCCTCATTATGAATAGGAAAATTGCTCATTTTTCATTTTTAAGGTAACAAAAGCGCTGTCAAATGTCCTTCAGTACAAGTGACGTAATGGCATAAATTTCTTATCAAACATAGTATTGCTTCTTAAAAACATAGTTATTTATCAATCTTATTATCAAATTCTGACATATTTCTTTGCGAAGTGAAGTGTTGTCTACATAAAATTATAAATATATTTACTTATATTTACATTTTTACTTTTCAAAATTAGCTAGAAAATTGTCAGACAAGGCAATTACGTTATTGTCATTCTGCTTCCTGTCATTTCACTGAAGTCATTCTTTCTTCACTTTCTCAATTCTCATCCACTCGAGGTAATTTGAAAATCGGTTAACTTTCCTCGCAGTTAAATCAAATCACTAATCGTTGTTTTGTTATTCCTAAGTTATTGCTATTGTTTAATACAAATCGAAGAGGAATTTAACTTGCTACATAACCATTCCGAAAATTTCTATAACTCTGGCACTTTTTTTGAATAAAAAATTTTATTCTCTACGTGGCAAATATTCGATAATTTTTAAGATCATCACAATTTGATTATGGAAATTTCGAAAGGGTCAGAAAATCACCTTAATAAGTCAAAATTATTCACAACACTATGCATCTATTCTCAGCGATTTCAATGGCTAATAGCCAATGGACTTATGCAATATGCATTGAGGATAAGCATGGAACAACGCATGGAGGAAACTTTTAATAAGTCAACGAATAAGAATTATCATGCAATCGAAAAACTGCAAATAACAATAGTGCTAACTTTCGTGGTTAATTAACTTATTAATTTAAAAATTCAGTGAAAGCGGGCAAAAAATTGACCCATTTATTAGTATATTATTTATATTATTTATTATTTTTTAGTATTCATCGATGTAATTTTTTACTTGGAATTAAATAAATTTTAAATAAATTTTAAATTTATTTTAATAAATAAATAAATTTTTAACTTCAATGTAATGATGTAATGGAAATAATCTTTTTGAAAATAGGAAAAACCATCTTGTAAAGCAGCAATTCTCATTGGGTCAGTGGAACATGACAGATCAATTAACGTGACAGGAGGCCATGTAGATATTTTTTAAAATTTTATATAAGTATAATTTTAAATAATAATCATAATAATAATAATAATAATAATAATAATAATAATAATAATAATAATAATAATAATAATAATAATGCAGAGGGCCACCCGTCTTGTAAATATAAACATATATACAAATAAGGCAAAAAAATTAAACTGCTAATAAATCAATTCGAAAAAATGAGGCTGTAGACTAGAATTAAATGCAATCTCGATTTATCATTTGGAGGATAATTAGTATGGGCGCGACTCCTTTAAATTTGCTATTTAAAATGAAGATATTCTGGACATATTTTTGTCCTGAAATAACTCTCTGATCAAGTAATCGAGTTCTAACGGCTCTTAGCAGCCATCAAATTAGAAATGGCGAGTGCTATTGAAAGAAAGAGGTTAAAGTTTGATGGTCTAAAAGCAATTAGCCTTATTCGATATAAACCGCCAAAATGGTGAATGATAATGAATGATAATGAAAGAAAAATTATAAGACAATCGCATTGATTATAATTAATTGTGGTTGGCTGAAATGGTACTCGTCGTGCTAAGCATTTTTTGCTATAACACCTACTTATTGGCATCGAAAACAAAAAAACCTACTAACTCGTACCAAATGCAAGAAAAATTGAATCAGTTAAATTGCTGAACGGAAGTGAAAGCGATTCTTTGACACAAAAATGCAAGAAGAACAAGCATAAATAGTCGCAAACTTTGTATGTAAAAAGCAAATATAAATATTTTATAAGAGAAATCCACTATCGCTTTCCTCATGTTGATATAATCGACTGTACCAACTGGAAAAAATGGAATTTTTTGTTGATATAAGGGCTAATAAAGATCAATATTGGTAGAGGAAGATTTGTTGATCTCTTGCCGACTAAATCACTCACTTTATCACTATCCTAAAAAACAGCAAAAATGACCTGTTTTTGACAATCCTAGAAGGAATCCTTCAGCACTTATTGTCTATTATAATAATAATTTTTCAACTAAACTTTTAAACTTAACGAACTTTTAGCATTTGTTCTGTGGTGAATTCCTTTCGAGATATAGCATAAAATTTCGCCATTACCATTTACTAAACGCAGACAAAATCTTCATTAGACGATTTGTAACCTACAAAGAACATAGGTGCTGGCAGACTAATTGCGGCCTAGTAAATATCGTGCTTTGTTCGCACCAAATTGTACGTCGGAGTCGCTTCGTAGAGATAGATGGAATGGCTCTCCAATGGCTTCTCGAATTTTTTATTTCTATCAATGAATGCACGCCACTTCAGCGACATATCTTTCAACTAAGCCTCTCGAAAGTACCCTCAAAAATCAAGAAAATAGTAACTGCACAACATCAGTCATCATTATTATTAATAAGAGAGGCGAGAAAAATAGCAAAAGCCAACCTATTTAAGCACTTTATGAATATAAATGCGATGAAAAGTGACTGACTCTGACTATTCACAGTGACTTTCTTGTTGAAGAATGCACTACGATGATTGTAATAATATTTATAATTTTGCTATTATCGATGATCATTTGAGCCTTTTGTTGATAGAAAAATTATCAGATATCTATCGATAATGATGACAGGTAGTTTGCTTGCTTGCTAAACGATAATTTTTCGTAAACTTCGTGAAAGCTTTTTTGTGCCACTCGTAACTCTCACATTACGCGACTATTATTATTACTGCTACTGTTGATTTTCATTTTCGCCAAGAAGAAATATTTTTTAGCGAATTCATTCAAATTTATTGCAACGTCAAAGGCATCGAAACGAATGAAAAAATCTTTTCATAAATTAGCTAATAGCTAACATTTCAAAAAAAATAAACAAACTCTCTCAACGACTTTCTAAAATCAATTTTATCTACTAAATTTATGAATTAAAACGGATTTGTTTAAATATTTCAATGAAATAAGAAATATTTGCGATTTTGTTTAAATTCGAAATTAACGACGGAAATTTCGATTACTTTTAGAGAAAATCTATTAAAATATAAAATTAATTTATACGAATATCTAAACATTTTTCATAATTTATTGCTTTCTTCCTGAAAATCTCTCCTATAATTTACTATTCCTTCCTGAAATTCGATTCAAATGTTCAACCGGATCGTTCTCATCAAAAAATCGCCTGGCGGTGGAAAATATAGGTCAGCTGGCGATTCACCCTTCAAGCGATTGCCTGGCTAGAATTTGCCTCGACCGGCAAGAGGAAAGAGCGAGCCTAGCCAGCAGGCTGAGTGCTCTTAGAAGAAAACTAAAAGATCACCGACCGAACACCACCGATTGCTTTCATTTGCTAAGTGAAAATGAATGAATTGCTGCTTAGAAGATCGAACGAATTTATGGAAATTTTTGAGAATCGCGAAAATTAGGCGATTCGGTTGTTCTCGCTGAGAATCGCGAAAATTAGGCGATTCGATTGTTCTCGTTGAGAGTCGCGAAACGCTTCCTTTCTCCATTTCCATTACTCTTTTGTCCATTGCGCAATTTTGTGTTTTATTAATAAATAATAAAACAAAGTTTTCGCTAAAAAAAATGCGACGAATTAGAAAAAGCGGAAAATAGTGACCATTGCTGCAAAATTCACCTAAATTTACTTTTATCCCACCGTTCGCTCGAATAATTTTCGTCGATCTCGAAGCTATTTTTTATATTTTTTATTCCCGATACACGGATTAATATTCAATTCAAACTCGTGCGACAAGTCGCTTGAAATCCGATAACTTCCGACTGCTTTTTAGAAAATCGTCCGATTTTTAGTCGTGAAAAACTCTTAATTTTTTATTTAAATAGCTATTTTTGATAATAATATAGCTCTAATTTTTTTTTTTTTTTGCATGATTGGTTAATAATTTGCAAATTAATAATTTATAATTAAATATAATATTATAATTATTTCCCAACAAATAATATTTTTAATATAATTAATAATTATTGAATATTAAAGGAAAATTATCTTTAATAAATTCAATTTAATATTCGATATTTCATAATTTTTCTTCGCCGCAAAGTTATTTTTCATCGCTCTTACGAAATTAATCGCTCCTATGCGATTATTAATTTAATTTTAATAATTTTTTTATTATTTCGACAATTATAATATTGCAACATTGAAGAAACAATTTTAATAATTATAATGATTAATAATAATAATAATAATAATAATTATAATTATAATTATAATTATAATAATTGTAATATTGCAATGCATGAATCTGATTCTTTTTTGTAAAATTTCTTAATAATTCTTTATACTTTTTCATTTATAATTGAAAATTTTTAAATTTTTCATATAAAAATTTTTTTTTCAAAATTAATTGGAATTTTGTTCAAATATTTTATTTGATTCTCTTTTATATAAACGAAAAATTTTTGAAATTTTTTTATAAATCACAAAACTTTTCGTGCGAACGATGAAAATAATTTGATTTTTGTTTATTTGTTTATTTTTGTTAAATATTTTTAATATTTTTTCGATAAATAAATATTAAAAGAAAATCCATTACAGCGGTTACTTCTAGCGATTTTCAATAGTTCATAGATTCATTTATTATATTTATTATTAGATTTAAAAACCCTCTTCTGGTGATCTTTTGTATCATTTTTGGTTCTATTCGCTTCGCTGGTCACTAAATTGTAGACATTTCTAAGCATCTCGATTAGACAATATTGTCGGGAATTGACTGAATTAACCGAACCACTTTTCTTTCCTAAGCCAATATCGCCGGACCACGTTCAAAATCGCTTTTAATCGAGTCAGTGGTAATTTGTTTTTAGAAGAAAATTGGAAAATGTACAGGAATATATGGAAAATAATCGTTTTTTTAATAACATATATGATTGTATCGTACAAAAGTGAAATTGCTGAAATCTTATCCAATAATACTTTGAAATATGCGATTTGCCTCGTAAAATGTGCTGAAAAGGTTGATTGTTTATTATTTTTTTCATCTATTTTTACTTGTCATTTTATCAGGAAGAAAAACGTATCTGCGAAGCATTATATCTGGCAAAAATTTGTCAAATTTTCAAAAATCAGCTATGAATCAGTTGTAAATTATCATTTCCGATTCAACAAAGATTTGGCTAAAACTGGTTCTTAGAAGTGCTTTTCACTCTTTTTTTGAGGAAAGCATCTTTTTGTTCCAAAATTCTTTAAAATATCTTTGGGGAAGTGTATTTATCATTTAGCCGTAAACGAAAATCCTTGAAAAATTGCTTAGTTTGTAAAGTAGCAGAGTTTTAAATTTTAAATTATAAACCTTACTATATTCTTATTAAAAATTATCGGTAGTGATCAGTAATGGGGATTGGGGAAATATGTCGATTTTCTTAGAAATAATTTTGCTTTAATTAAGTTAATTAAATTCAATTTTTTTTGCAGTATGTCGACAAGAATAATTTTTTGAATTTTCTTAGTGAGCCTGAAAATAGTCGTAAAAACTGGGGATTCTATCTTGTAAGTCTTTCAATTAATGAAAATATTGTACGTTGTTCTTAATCAACGTTTCGCCAATGTTCACAAATTCTTCATTAAAAAAGATAAAATTTTTGCTAATTTTCAATATTAAAATTTTTAAAATTTAGTGTAAACTTGCTTGCACATTGCCCGATTTCAATGGAATTTGGCTAAAACAATTTATTGATGGTCAATATTGGTTTCATCATAGCGAATTTCGTTCAAGTATCTTCTTATTTATGGTGCCATAAATATTCCTAGGCCCAAACTTAATATTTTCGAATGTTTGAAAAAGAGTACAATCTTATATTATAGTCTTGATTAAATTTATATATAAGTTTAATGTATACTTAATAAATTAAATGCAAATAAATTAATATATATATACTCAATAAAATTATATTTTGTTGAATGATTGAATTTTCGTAATTTTTCCGGTATCGATATTGAACCTCCACATTCTATTGAAGTAATTTGTACCGATTCAATTAATGATTTAAATGTCAATATTCAACTAAAATTGAATGTATCGCTGGTATATGCACCTAATATTTTTGTGATCGAAGTAATTCAGCGAGAAGAATCACAATTTGACGTGTCAGCAGAGAAAGTCATTGATGTTACATTCGTAAATTTTTTGCCTTTCATTTTTCATGAAGCAATTTTATTTCCAAGAAAATATTTGTTTCCTCGGAAATTTTTTGATTTTTTGCCTAATTTTTTTTCTTCTTTATTCGCATGTTTTTTTGTTTTGAATTTTTGATAAATTTTTTTACATCCATCATCAATGCTGGAAAATTTTCAGAGTTTCGCACCAGTAATAAAATTTATTGTTTTAAATGGAATGTCAAAAAAATTATTTAAATTCCGTGTTTCAACAGTTACGACACATGGTGTTTCTTTTTTCCAAACTTACAGCAGCTGGTACTCTTTCCACAATCTCCAAGGATCTCAAGTTGAATTAACTCCAGTGTTAATGAATGAGGTAATTTTATTTCCTTAAAATTAAATATCGCTGATGTCTCAATTTAGAGCTTTTAGACAATAGTGAATGATTCTGTTTGTGCGGTTTTCGGTTGGAAGAATAACGCTGAAGTAATTTCATCATGCTTGATAACTGCAGAAATTGTTTCTTATGATGATATGCAACAACAGCATTTTTTATTGGTTCGATATTTCTCTTTTCAAATTTCATTTTTCAGAGTATAGTAAATTTCTAATATTATTTACATACAAGCATAATACGAAACTAGGTTTTTTAAAATACATTTTCAAAGTCTTTTTTTTGCATGTGTATATATTTTTCGTAGATTTCGGCAACAATTAATTGATATCTTTAGAGTCACGACCGATCTTTATTCTTGTGTAAATTACAATTCGAGAAAGAATACACCATTCAATTATATCCAACAGAAAATAATTTTAAGAGGAAATTGCTTCGAATTAATCAATTACGGTTTACAACCTCTCCTTGTCATCTACTGGCCAAAACTATAAATGACTGTGGTAAAAATCTTTTTACCAAAAAAATTTTTGAATTGTTTTCAATCCTATCTTTGCTTGATTGTGTGCTTGATTATTTAAAACCATTCCATTGTAAAATTTTGTAAAATTTTTAAAAATTTTGATTTTATTATTAGTCCAAAAAATTTTATTATTAGTCCTTAACATTCCCAATAGCTTTAACGAATATTATTGTGTTGATTTTGATTGATTTCAATACATTGATTCATTCTATGGGAAATTTCGGAACTTTGTAGTGGTTCTTGGATATTCATTTACCGATATTTCAGCACCTTCACCGCCGTCCAGTTTGCAGTGGAATTGGATTGCACCAGAATTTATCAACATAACTTGGGAATATTCTGGTACGAAACGAGAAACTGTGTTCTATTTTGTTATTATATTAAAGTCATTGTTAACAATCATGAAAGAAAGTTGTAATCAATTTGATCAAATCCGTCTAATAGTTCCCGGGGTATCCAAACCTTCCTTTGTATTCTTTTTACTTCTTCCATTTTCGTTATCTTTTACATTTTCTTTTTTTTTAAGATAAAAACTCAGTCACTATGACCTCTTTTGGCGTTGAATGCAATTTTGAGATTGAAATTCGTGCTTTTGATTTTCATAATCGCTTCTCAGAAGCTTTCATCGTGAAATATTATGCTTCGGGCATTTTTCAACCAAGGGTTTTGATTTTTTGATTTGGTTATTGGTTCAGTTCTGGGTTGTATTTCTGTAAACTTTTTGCATGGTTTTTTCTAGCATTTTCTAGCTCTCTTCTGATTTTTCTATTGGTGCAAAATTTATTCCATATTTTGCATTTTTTTCTCGCATGAAAAAATTAGAAACTTTTTTTAAATGAAGAAAATATTTACACAGTTGAATACATTCTTTTCAGAGATATTCATTTATAATTTGCTGCACTTGTTTCATTCTTTTTTTATGTGCTGTTTGCGTAGTTTTTGTTTATTTTCGAGAGAAGCTATATGCATTTAACTGTAAGTTCCAAAACATTTTGGGTTTTCATTTTTAACTGTTATTTTTAATCCACCTAATCAGTTCTGTGCCGGTTAGTCTTTTAATTGTTCGTGAATAAAATTACCAAGAATGGCTGATTCAATATATTCTTTGCTCCTTCTGAAATTTTGTTAAATGTTAAAATAGTTTTCGAGTGATAATATGGTGCTAAATAATAATTTATATGTTTTTATTTTTATTATTTAATACATTTTTATTATTTATTATTTTTTTATTATTTACAACTTTTCTTTTTTCATAATAAGCTGAAATAAAAATATTTTTTAGATAAAAAGAATGAAACGAAGGACCTTGGTATTATTAATGTGAATGAGCGCAGTATTCATGCCGTAAGAATTCAATTAAGTATTCATAGCAACTTTAATATGTTAAAAATTAAACTATAAAGCAACAATAACATATTCATGAAGTGTTTTTTAGTTGCATAAAGTGGTGAAATCATATTATGCAATCATTTTCCATAAAAAGCTATGTGATTGCCCAGTTTTAAACTAGTTTTAAAATCAGCTTAAAGCTGATTTTTAGTTTCGGAACTTAATTTCAGGATATTCAGTCAATTGGCAATGTCGAATCAACTAACCAAGCACTACCAAGTACTGTTCATTCTACTACTATCAGTACCGAAGGTATTTTTTGAATGCAAAAATTTAATAAATTTTTATCCTCAATGAAAATTAAGTTAAAGATAAAAATTAGTATATTTTTTCGAATTTTGTTGAGAACTAAGACTGTTATGCATAAAAAAGAAAGAAGGCGTCATCATCTTTCAGTCATCATTTTATTATTTTATTCAATATTTTGTAAATCTTTCAAAATATTTATCAGGTCAAAATGTTGGATGTGAACAGAGATATTACTTTAATATTGGATGTGAGCAAAAAGGTTACGTTAATGTTGATCGCATTTGTTATAAATGCGTCTCCCGCATTTCTGCAAATGTAACTTTTTTCTCAAATTCTCAAATTTTTAAACTTTTTTAAATTTGCTGTTAAATTACTAATTTTTTATCATTTTTCCCAAATAATTTATTCGAAAAAAATATGGATTCTTTTACAGCTTAGTAAAAATAAATGGATTCGCACTTTTTAGGATTGTTACATGGAGGACAATACTATTAATATCTCTAACGATTCAAAATTTCGGTCGCTTCCTTCCATAGTTAACGGTTACTTCAAATTTTTCTCGTCGCAATGTGTTTGGAAAAACTGTTGAATTCTGTTTAGAATATTTTTTTATCTTAATTTTTTTCTTGCTTCACTACTAATGGGGTTTATGAAAAGCTAATATGTTTTCTATTTTTTAGGTTTTCAAGATATGAACTGGTCATGTTTTTCATCTGAACTTGCTCTTCATAGGCTATTGCGCAAGGAAGAATCATTTCCTTCCAGTAACAGCGTTTTAGTAACTGTTCCATTATTTTTATCTACATTCAAGTTATTTATGAAGCTGATTGCATCTGCTGGTGAGGCGTTTCCAAGTATCTCGTTGGCATATGTAAAAATTAGAAATTTCTTTTTTTTCTACCATTTGAGCATACCGCTGTGCACCTACACGTTCAGAGTCTATCAGGACTAATTGATGTGCTGATTATTGATACCTCTAATACCTCTCTGCTTTTGCCGCCATCCATCATAAGGCTTGGCATTCATACAATCGGTTTCAGTGAGCAATGCAAAATGTAAAAAGAATAGACGATGCTTTTTGATATAACTGTTGCAAGCGTATATTTTCTATCGAAGGTGAAGTAAAGGTGAAGCCACATGAATAACTCATTTCATCGTCATTTCATACTAGTTGACTGGATGAAGATAACACTTCTGGTAGCAGTTGGAATCTTTTACATTAGCAGTAAGAGAAGAACCAACAAGCAAAAGCAAAATTCTCAGAGATTTCTAGTAGACTAATTCCTCTAATTATTACAATTCGTCTCATCACCTTTCTTGAACAACAAGAATTGCTCTGCTTCGTTCTTTTTTCTTTAATGTGCAATATATGCTCAGACAGTGGGTAAAATTTGATGACAAATTTTTACTTAGCATCAGAATTTATTTTTATATTTCCCTTGGAATTTAATTAGCCTTTGAAATACGAAAATTATTTCATTCGCTATTGACGATTCGCCTTTGGTATTATGTGGTGTTTCGTGAGGTACTGTGCTCGAAATAATGCATTATCGTGGTTAACTCTCAAACAAATATCCATCATGAGAAGCGACTTTTGAGAGTCCTAATAAATATCTCATCCTTCTAGTGGTTATTTCGTAAATGATTATCTAATAATCTAATATTTAGTGCCTTTCATTAGCAAATTGCTACATAATATCTTAATTTTTTGTTATATTCACATATTACAGGATCGGAAACGAATAAACAATTTTCGTTCATTGTCATGTGTTTCCCTCAATAACTCAGTTTCTGAAAATAATTATTTAAAAAACTCGAAATATCAGAAAGGTGATCGATACAATAATATATCAACATATTTTGGAACAAGGTACGTCCATTCCTAATTTTTTATCATATTTTTGAAAATTCATTGTCAGTGAAACATTATGAAATAGATCTTTTACAAATTAGATAAATGAAACTAATGTTTTAGATGATATTAAATTAAAAAAAGGTGCTAATTTCACATTTTCCTTACCATTTTCATAGATGCCGATTGATTCAAATTTCAGATCTTTTTTTCCGAAGTGGGTCAGTATGGACGAGATTGAATTGATCAAAAAACTTGGTTTTGGGAATTTCGCGGCTGTAAATATGGTTCGATGTAAAACAACAAATATGGTTGCAGCGTTGAAACTATGTAATTTTTCTAGTTATTGTTTTCTTTAATCGATTAGATTCAATAAATTTTTAATTTTTTTCAGTGCACGCTACAAGAGGATCAAATCGTAATAGAGAAGCGTTCATTAATGAAGCAATAGCATCCAAAAATCTTTGTAGATCAGGTCATTCAAATATTATACAATTTATCGCTTTTTGTCATAGTAATAATTCTATTAATGAGGTTTGACTCGAGTTTAATTTTAATGTTTTCCAGCTTATATTTGATATGGTCATTTATTTTTATTATAAGCTTTATAAAAACCGAAGATTCAATATGTTACTTAAATTTTTAATTTAACTTATTTAACTTGGAATTTTAGCAAAAATATTATAAATATTTATTTTAAACTATAGTTTTTTTCTAATTTGCTTGGGTGGTTGGTCAGATTTTTTCGTCCAAATTTATCAAATTCAGCTTTGTGGTCTATTATATGAATATTGTGAAGGTGGTGATCTTAAAACTTTATTAAAAAGAATGCGAAAAAGAGCAGTCGAATTATTTCTATTTGACGACAATTTATTTAGTAGTTTGGTAAATGGTTCTATCAATTATTATAAATTCTTTCGAAATTTTTATGGGTTTAATAATTATTTGATTATTTTTTCTTATGGAAATATTTTTTCTGCGAAATATTATTTTCTAAATCAGTAGCTTATGAATACTTCCTTTATTTTTGCTTCCTTCTTCTCTTGACAATTTCCTCAAATCATAGCTGGTTAGAAGGACTTCCACTTCTTTCACCATAATAAACAATCCACCCCTTTTTCTACAATCCACAACTGGCTTATATCATTTCTATGATTTGATGCTCTCCTCCACAGGACCTAATGAATGGCGATTTCTGTAAGGGTCAGTGAGGAAGACATGGCTCTAACTAACGTATACGATGTGATATTTGTTATTTTTATTATGCAGCTTAGTGTTCACATACGATCATGAGATTCTGATGTATAAGAATAGTCAAAGATCCTGATATTTTCTATTTTCACTGGCTACGTTTTGTAGCCATATAGTAGAATCGTCCATATCGCAAGGAATTGGATTTTGTTTCACTAGTGCAATTAGAGAAAGAGCAATTATGACTGCGGCTATCCAGTTTGGAATTTTATTTATCGTTTGATATGAGTGGATTCTTAAATAGCCTGAAAGCCTGTAATTTTCTCAATCGAAGATGAATTAATAAAATCGTTTTACATAAAATCCGTAAATCATTGATTTTTATATTGATTCTTGGCATCTGTATAACGACTGAATTATTCGCCTATTCAAGGTCTGAACTGATTTGTAAATTTTTTTCGAATGTCTGCAAGTGATGTTTAGTCCATCAAATATGCGAATATTATTGGGGAAGCGAACGCAACAAGTGGTGTTCCTGTTTCAAAAGGATTCATTAATTCTTTATATAATATCGTACGTCGGCTTTTATGGTTAAGGTGATCTTTCCCAGGAACACCACTGCATTCCGTCATCATCCAAGTGCAGATCGAAGGAATTAGTATTAGATCACTTCACTTCATAGCTCGAGCCGAAATTCGCTGATGAAGCACAGAAAACAACGTCGCCTTTCGACTATCTTAAGTATGTGGTTAATCCACCAATTTATTTAGAATGCATCCTTCTATCTTTTCAGACTTTGCGGGCAGTCGGATCGTTTCATTCCAACATAAAATTAGCACATTTTTTAAATGCATGGATGTGCCTAGCTTTCTGCTTGATTTTCTGTGCGTTATCAGCTCGAAATATAACATGGTCTGATTCGTGAAGGCTGCCAGTTTCAGCTCTACGATAGAAACAGCTATATAGTGCGGAATTTATGAAACGACCAGTGGTGATTAAAAATAAATATATAATTTCATAAAATATATAGTTTCATTGGAGCTATCGAGAAATTTTCATAAAGTCAAATACTCTGCGATGTTGAAATCATCTAGTTTCATGGAACCGTTGGTAGCAATATTTTCCTGTTTGTTGGTCAAACAAAAGAGGCACTTTCTGTTAGCACAACTCCGAACTCCGAAGCTATAATTGCCAGCTACCCAATATTCATGGTAGCTCCATTCATTCTCTTTCTCTACTGTGATGCTCATATTTTCAAAAAATTTTCATGCTAAATTTTCATCTTATTTTCTAAAATACTTTGAAGGCTATTGGCAATAATGAAAAAATTTGCAAATTGGTATCCAACATTGCATCTGAACTAACCAAATTTGCTTTTCACATCGCGAATGCTATGGTTGGTTAATTTTCACTTTATTTAGCCTCGATTTATGTTTATGAATTTTTATAATGACTTTTTCAAAAACATTTGACTTTAAGATCCTTATTTTTTTTAAGGTTGTTTTTTCCTAGGATTATATCAGTTCGAGGCGATATGTGCATCGCGATATCGCTGCCCGCAATGTCTTACTTGCTCATCCATCGCTATCTGATCCTTTCCAATGCATGCCATTACAAACTGCTAAGATCGCTGATTTCGGTTGGGATTATGCTCATAATTATAAAAAAGCCATTTTTATCTAATTCTAGTCAAGTTAAATTTTTAGACGTTTAGTTAGAAAACGAATTTTTTTTATATATTATCAGAAATTTTGAAGGATTATGTAAAGCGTTAGGTGAATCAAGCGACATCATCGAAAATCGTCCATGTTTTTTGCCGATTATGTGGTTACCTTATGAATTTTGGTTAGATAACAAATATGGACTTCCTGGTGATGTGTAAGTTTATCTAGTCGATTGTCGAAGATTTATTTTTGAATTATGATAGCTTTGTCAAGGAGAAATGGTATTTAGTGGCTGCACATTTACCTGAGAAGGCTAAAGAAGAACGAGTTTGAAGTGATATCTCTAATAGATTAATAAATAATAATACAGAAGCATGAGGACATTTAACAGAATTCGCGAAGGATTTTGCAAAATCGGATGGCGCTTTCAAAGTAACAAGTCGAGATAGGCAATATGATGGATTTTAAGGTATATTAGGGTTTCAGTAAAAATGTAATGAATAATTTCAAGATGCGATAATGCGGTAATTTAATTTAATAAAAATAACCTAGTATAAGGAATTTTAAGATGGCGTTAATTGGAATAAAAACTAGGAGATTCAATAAAATATTATAGATCAAGGACATTGCGAGAATTTTAGAGGATTATAGGCAGATTCTCAAGAATTAAAAAAGGGCTATTATTATATTCTCCAAGAAATCAAGATAATATATGTTTTAAGGTTCAGAGATATGGCGAAATAATGCAGTGAATTTGATGGTGCATTGAAGGGAATTAGCAGACTTCAGAGGATTTTAAGATCACGATATGTTCTATGGAAGCTATTAGTCATTATTGGAGTTTGAACTTTGAATGTACAGGGTGTAAAAATTATGTTAAAATAATGGATTGGAACAAAAAAAGATGACGAAATAATAATGCATTAAGAGTTGATGATACTTTCAAGAGAAATGGCATTTAGCGAAGTTTGATAAAATTTGGCAGATTTTTTGGGAAATATAGACGAATTTTTTTAACGCACTTACTTGAAACGATCAATGAATCCATGTAATGTATAAGTCGTAATTACGACTTTTAGTTAAGGTATATTTCTAACAATAAGCATTTTCCGAGTAAAAAATTCCTTAATATTTTCAAAAAATGAAACTCTAAAAATTAGATCTAAAATGAACATATCTGAATAAATTGTCTCTGAAAAAAAAATAAAATTTTTTAAATTCAAGCAAAAATTTAAGCTTATAAATAGTTTGTATTTGTTTGAAGATTATGTTTAGAGAAAAATTTGCAAAGTTTAGATGGGAATATGGTTGTATGCTAATTGAAATAGTAACTCTTGGTAGCAATCCTCGTATAGTGGTTAAGCGAAATGACTTTTTTGCTCCTCGTGAAGATATATCAGAATATATAAGCAGCCTTTCATCGGGATTCGTTATTTTGTAAATTTATTTCTTATGTTTTTCATTTTCTTCTTTTGTATTACTGTTTCTAACATAAAATATTTTGTTTTTGCTGAAAATTTATTTGAATTGACAGGGATAAATTGTTTCAATCTTCTTTATTTCCAATAATTTCACGATGTTTGGTGATTGACAAATCGAAACGCATAACTTTTCGTGAAATCGTGCACGATTTTCGCTCATTAATGCAGTAATTTCATAGTATTTCTGTGTTTTAAATATAATTTTTGCTCATTTTATACCGTTCAATTTTTCAGTATTCAGTCGCTTCAATATGAAAGTAATGTTATATTAATTAAAAAATTTTGAAATTGTTACAAAAATTGAGATTTGTGAATGAAATGGAAATCATTTAAAATTTATCCGCAAGCTTCTATTAATACTTTTTATTTTTCCAAAGCTTTTTATTTTTTAATAATATTAATTTTATATTATTTTATAATTATTATTTTATGATATTAATTTTTTAATGATATTTATTTTTTAATAATGTTTGAAAATATTGGATTCATGATTTCTTAAATTGCTTTTTAAAAAAATTCAGATTGTTGGTTTCCTAAATTTTTAAAAACTTTTCTTTCACTTTTTTCCCATCATTTTTTTAATGCGAATTTATTTTAATGCAAAAAACTTATTTCAGATGTAAATAAATTTTTTTATAAATTACAGTATTATTTTTAATGATAATTTGTTAAATTTTTTTGGCTTTAATTTCAGATTAAACTTATCTTTTCTTTTATATTTTTCTTTTAAACGATATTCATATTTATTTTTAAAAGGAAACCAACGATCGCCAAATTGTTACTTTTAATTCCTTCTTAAGGTATTTAGTAGATTTTTGTGAGGAATCACTCGTTTCTTTGCCCTTTCAGGCATTTCAGAATTTATATTGTCCATAGAACGATTTTCTTTCATTCTTTTAATTATAATTCAGCTGTTTTGCTATATTTTCTTTATATTTTTGCAGATTTGGAATTATTTTTTAGTTGATTCGTAGACATTGGTGTTAATTTTATTAAATTCATGTTATTTTTATTATTTTTGGAAAATATGAATGAAAGCTATAAAAATTGAAATAGTTTAATGAAAGGAAAAAACGTGAAATAAAAAATGTAAATTTTAATATAAATTTTTAATTTAATTAGTCGATTTAAGTTTATGACAATGAAAATTGATGATAATCAATTTGATCGGAATGATCGACCGTTTTTGCAAGATTAAATTAAACGACTGATCAGGTGGAGATGAATTAATGGGGCGGTAACGTACCACAACAAAGGAGAAGCGGCAAGACGATATCGGAACAAGTGATAAGAAGATAAGCAACTATCACAAACAACGATAAATGAACTATGGAGTGCTAAACGAGAATAGGCTCAAAAGATTATGAGGTGTACACCAAGTTCACTTTTTTTTTAGAAGTTTTCATCATTATTGGTTAAACTCACTTCACTGGCTTGTTGCATTGGACAAATATGCCAGAGAATATGCCATAGAAATACAGGTGAGTCGCCAGCATCAACTGGATTTTTGAATAGGTTTACTCCTGCCGGAATAGAACCTTAGTATCAACGCTCCGAACTAAGCGACAACCTACTGAGCCATTCTATCCCCATACCAAGTTCACTAGATGAAATGGAACGAAATATTGCCTTCGTCATGCGGCTCAGCTCTCTATTAAGCCGCATTATCATTATTATCAGTGGTCGACATAACTTTTAATAGTGAATGCCAGATTTTCGGTAAATAAATACAAACAAAAGTTCTGATTTTTATTTAACCGAAAAAAACGGTGCCCAAATCGAATTTTTCAGAACGAACGTTTAAGGGTTTCCATTCACCGCTATGCAGACCACGATAGGCGCATAGCTTAACCTTTCCTAACTGGTCCCCTGCAGCGAGCAGTTATTAAAAAGTGCTGTTGTAGAACGAACACTTTGAATATTGGGTTCTTAAAACGATTGTTTGCTTCCAAATTCAAATTTAAATTTTTTCAGTTGAATTTTATTTTAGCGATTTGCAACATCGAACATTGGCTCGAAATTATTTGCTTTTCTTTTTTTTAGGTGAATTTCGATTTTTTTTGGCGAAATTGGCGATCAATTTTATATATTTTTGGCAAATTTAATTCGATTTTCCCAAAATTAAAAAGGATTTTTAATATTTTAAAAATCCTTTTTAATTTTTTTAATGCGAAGGATATTTTCATAATTTTAATAAATAATAATTTTAAAAAAAATACTTTCCAAAATTTGCAAAAAATTTTTAAAAAAATTTTAAAATAATATTAAAATAATATTTTTTATTTTATTTAAATTTTCGATGCTCTAAATCGATTATTTCTATTTTTTATTAAATTATTATTAAATTATTATTAGAATTTCGCAAGAATATTAAATAATAAAATAATTAATTAAGTGAAATTTTATTAAAATATCGAAATTTTATTTATTTAAAGCAACTAAGCAGAGGCACCATGTAACAACAAAATTTCATTAATAATAAAATAAGGATTCGGCAGATCGGACCCTTTCGAGTTTACATGTAATACGCACATTGTTGAATAGAAGGAATAATTTGCCTGTCATGTAACCAGTCGGGAATTCTATTCCTTTTGTAGCGGAGACAGATTCACCATGGGAATAATAAATTTTGCAATCATCAGCGCAGGGATGAAAGAATTTAATATAGCTTTGGTAATATCATTAATATATAATAAGAAAAGTAATGCTGCGATACGAGGGGTTTGATTTGACTGGTGCCAAGCCTGATAGAGAGTTGTTAACGTATAGCCTAGTATTTACCTTTTAAGTAATCTAATGTCCAGTTATCCAAGTTGCCTGTAATGCCATAACGATTAATGGTGACCAACAACTTGCTGTGGGAAACGATATCATTTGGCTAGATCGACGTAGACGACTGATATCAGTGGAATTTTAATATCAAAATGAACGGAATTTTTTAAGTTTTAATACAATTTTTAAAAAAAAGCATTTATTATTTAAAATATTTAAAAATATCTAAAAATATCTAAAAGGTTGTTTGAGAAAGAAAATTTATTTAAAATTTGCAAAATTGATATTTTAAATATTTTTAAAGTTTTTGATAAATATTTTGGATTATTAGTGATTTGATTAAATTTTTTGCTGAATTTTATTTATTTTTTCGATGATTTATAAATTTTTGAATTCATTATTTCATTATTGTGCGAGAAAAACTGTGACATTTGTATATTTAAAATGTTAATTTCGACATTATTTGATTACCTGATGAACATTTGTAAAAAATTGCAGTGAATAAAAAATTGTTGGAATTCAATGCCATTGAAAGGCGATTTTAAAGGTTTATTTATTTTTCGTTTTAAATTTATATTTTTTCAAACACGATAGAAGTATTATTTAAGGTTCTTTATCAAATAAACCTGGCATAATTTTTTATTCCTTTATTTGGTTGTTTTCGTTTGGAAAAAACACAAAATTTTTTACATTTCGTTAAGTGGAACTTAAAACTGTTAAAGCAGTTTTGAAATCAAAAAGCAAATTATTATTGATAAAAAAAAGGAACGTTGCTTCATCTTCCGACATGCAATTGTTTGAGTTTTGTTATTTCGCAACAAATTGAAATAAGTTACAAATTTAGAATTTCATTTTCGAATTATTTTTTTATTCTTTCATTGTTTTTTTTCAGATTACAAAATTTTATTAACTTAAGAAAAACTGTTTGTGTTTATTCTTCGATTATTTTGAATATTTTTTTGTTGAATTTTTGAAATATTTGTTAAATTATTATTTTTTGCTGAATATATGTCATTAAAAAAATAACAAAATAATAATGGAAGAGATTTATAGAAGATGGAAACGACTGTTTTGCTGAAAAAAACATTGCGTATTGGCAGTATCGCATTTTTGGTAAATTTTTTTGCATAAAATTGTTTAATTTTTCAAATTTATCTCTAAATTTTATTCAACTATTGAGTTATAATTTTTCTAATTACAGATGAAAATAATGGAGTTTGTTTTATATGTGGTCAGAAAGAAATTATTCCTAATATTTCTGATCAGAAGTTTGCGGTTCAATACAATGAATCGAGCAATTCTTTGAAGGCTTTGTCACATACGACCAAGCGCAATAATTTTTTAGACACCTTGGTTTCAGACGATTTGCGATTTTCGTTTGAACTTCTTAAATGTAATCTTTGTCCAGTGCGATTTCATGGTCATTGTTATCTCGGTTTCAAAGAAGGTATTTTATTTTTTAAACAATATATTTGTTTGTATTCTTTTTTTTCCATCGGGTAATTTCATTACTCTTTAAATATTAAGAATATTTATTATTTAGGTGATTTTGAGCCACGTATGCATATCCTTGATCATGCTGGTGATCCATGTATTGACCTTTCATACGCTAAAAAGTGGTTTTGTCCACAACACGAATGTAATTTTTGTCATCAAGAATTGCTTCGCACACGATCTCAGCTAGGTGATCTATTTTTCACTTTACTTTATATCTTTTTAAATTAATTTAGGATTGAGAAGCAACTTTTAAGGCATAGCTTTCTTATTCATTACTTCCTTTAGGTGTTGTTATTCGATGTGTACAATGTATATTTGCCTGGCATCGTTCCTGTGTTACCATTGGTGCTCATCATATCAACAGGGTGCGAGATAAATTTGTATTATGTCCTAGGCACAATGATGTGAAAAAGTCGTATAAGCATCATACACCATATTGCGTGAAATGTTTCTGTGATTCTGGTTTGTTTATAAAATCATTTAGAATCTCCCTTGTTCGAATGATTTTTAGAGTTTATTAGGTTCTTCTTATATTTTCTATAGATCTTGTGATGTTTGTTACAAATTTTCATGAACGAATTGAAATTTTACTCTACTACTTAACATTTTTTTGTTTCACCTTTCCTTTAAGCTTAACTGCATAACTGGTTTTAGAAGATGATTTGACATTTAAATGCATTTCATGCATTCGAGCATTTTGCCGATGTTTTCTGAGAGAAAAAGCTGATGAATTATTGCATAAGGAAATCGCAAACTTTACATGTGATTTTTGTAAATGTGTTGATTATCCTCGAATAGGTGATTATGTATTGGCACCAGCTGGGAAGCGGTTATTGCTTTATTCACATTCTCTGTGTCTTTTGCTTTTTGCGATAACATTATTATTTATTAATTTTCATTTTATTTTATATTTTTAATGAAGTTTTAGTCTGTGGCCAGCGAAAACCGTTCATGCAGATCTTTTACCTCTGGTAATTCCGAAACGTGAGCAGTTCATTTCGAAATTGAGTGAGGTTGCTTCTTTTGATTTAATTTTTTAAAGAAAATTTCGGATCGAAATGATTATTCATTTATTTTTTTTTTGATTATATAATGATTATATTTGATTATATTGATAAAATGATTATACATTTATTTAATGAGTAATTTTAGCCGGGCTATGTTTTGATTCAGTGGATCGAAGGTTTGGAACTTCCTAATTATGCCGTTTTTTCTTTTAGAGACCTTGTCCCTTTTCCAAAAAATATTCAATGCTCTATCTTCATAAATTTGAAAAAGCGTCATCGAAGAATATACGAAGGTACTTCTTTTATTTTTTTCTCTTCTTATTAGCAAAATTTGATAATTTATTTCACCGAAGAAAAAGAGAGTATTATTTAACCTTATTTCAGCTGTGAAACTCCTGTATATGAATTCTGAAATACATCTTGGGATTAACCGTCCATTGCCGAAAGAAGTATCAATGGATAGAAATCCGAGATATGTCAGAATTAAGGTATGCTTTATCAAGCATTCCCTACTTTTATTATTTTTCGTCATATAAAAATATGAAAAAATTAAACAATATGGAATTGAATATCGTTATAAAAATACTATACCATGCCCAAAAATATCATAAATTTACTTTTTTTTAGTATGACATATGGTATCTTTTTTTAAATTTTTTATACATGCTTTTTTCAACTTTAGAACAATATAAATGGGAAATTAGCTCGAGTTTGTATGGATGAATTAGATTATTGTGTATGTGATGTGATTAATGGAAAAAGATGTACATTGGAACATGGTTGTTTAAATAGATCAGTTATGGTCGAATGCCCCGAAGTTTTTGTTTTCTCTTTTTATACCATATCAGTTGATGTTTTATTTGCTTAATAATTACTAAGATTTTTCTAAATTGATCTCTTTTAACTGTGTAAATTCAGGACTGCGATAAAATATACAGAGAAATTCGTGCTAGAAAGTTGTCTAGTTCTAGAAAAAAAGTAAGATCCAGAACGTGCGAGAAGAAAGATTCATATGCTATGTGCACAAATACTTTTTTGAGAAATCATCAAAATATTGATGATCGAGAATTATTTCAAGAGAAATTGACTGAGAAGAAAGGATTGGGTGTTTTTGCGATAAAAGATATACCCGTGGTTTTTCTTTATTTTTTTCATGAGTTTTTTTGTTTTATTGATTTGACAATTTTTCAATTTTCATTATTTTAAATATGAAAATTTTTTATTTTGAACTGATTCATTCTTGATTTGATGTTTTTTTTTACGTTCTTTTTATTCCTTGTTTTAGAATACTGATCTCACAGAATATATTGGTCGAGTGGTAGCAAAAGAGGAGTATTTTAAAAAATTAGAATATAGAGCTTCATTTAATAATCTTGAAATGAGTTATTTTGGAATGCAACTAACTTCTGAATACTACGTGGATGCTCGAAATTTTGGCAATATGTCGCGCTCATTTAACCATTCTTGTGATCCTAATTGTAAAGTAGATTGTATTACTGTAAGTCGTTTTTTTTATATTTCCTTGCTACCTTATGGTAATTTCACGCAAAATTGGGAGTTTTTGTTAGGTTGTTTAAATGATTGATTTTCTTTTTTGCCTTCTATTTCAGGTTGATGGAATTCGTCGGTTAAAAGTGGTTTCAATCAGAAATATTAAATGCGGTTAGACATTTTTTTTCAGATTAAAATTTTTCTGTTCCCTTATTTATTTTTTATCCATTGAATTTTAATTTTAGGCGATGAGTTGTGTTACGATTATGATACAGTGCTTCCAGATGCGCTTGATGGCATGACATGTTATTGCGGATCGGAATGTTGCCGCGGAATAATCGGGGTTTTTATTATTTTTCTTTCGTAAGACTCTAACTATTATATAAGAATTCCCATTTTTCGCATTTTTCTATATGAGGTCTTTGAACAATTGTGGCATTTAAATGTAAAACAAATAAAAATTTTTTTCCAATGCCAATTTATTCACTTGTTTTTCTTTAGTTTTTCTAACAATTCTTGTTTCTTATTTTGCGAAATTCCACGGGTAAATCTTCCTTGATATTTTGGATTTTTCCCGCATTCATTGATAGGCTATTTTTTCAGAAATTAGCATCATTTTTCTATCTCATAGTTATAGTCTGCGATATTATTAATTCATTGCTTTATTTAAGTTTTATTTTAGTTTTTAAAATTTATGATGCCCATTTGGGTAATAGAATTTTAAGGAATTATGCTTAAAAGCCAATTTTTTTTAGAAAAGTCGTTTTTTAGAGAAAAACAAGTGGCTATTCGCGAAAAATTTTGGATAATGAAGTATGATTTTGTGATCTATCGAATTTAATTAAAAAATTTCCCACTTCCTAGATTAATTTTCGGAATTCGGCTTTTGCTGTTTTGTTATTTTTTTGTTACTTTTTACTACTCTTATTATGGTATTTACACATTATTTTATTATTAAAGATCATCTTTCGTTATATAAGTCGAACTTTATTGTTTAAATCTTTCAGAAAAAAAAATCTTTTTTTAATTTCTTCTTTCAGAATAAAATGATAAGAATTAAAATTCAACGAAACAATGATAATTTAACGGAACACGGAAAAAAAAGAAAGAAAATGTTAACTAATATTGGATATACTGGTGTGTTTAAAAAACCAAGAGATAGTCCTCCTTTCATGGTGCGTAATGTGCAACCAGTTGTTACTCCAGAGGTCGAAAAGTACAGAGAAGGTTGTTCTAAAAAATTAATTTCACATGTAAATTTCGCAACAAAAGTGTTTCGGTATCTTTGTAATACTTTTAATGTTAAACCTTTTTAATCGAAAACTTTATATGGTCAGCTAGCATTTTCGATTTTATTTTCTGTTAAGTATAGTGTAAAGAAATATATTTACTTGTTACTGATGTAATTTATGAAACACACAAAAATATTTACTTAAAACACTTATAAGTTTATGAAAATTTTTTCAGTAAATAAATATAACGAGAAGGAAAATGCTCCTCATTCAACAGATTGCTTATAAATCTCAGTCCGAGGAGTTAATATTATAATTTTTTTATTTGGATTTCTCATTTTATATATACTTTCATCTTTCGCTGCATAGATTTGCTATTCGATTATTATTCGATTTATATTCTTAAAACTCGATTTATGTTCTTAAATTCATTTGCTACTCATTGCTGATTGCATTTTAGTATTTCCTTATTAAGAAATAATTTTGTGGCTTTGTTGCAAGTTTCATTTTGATTTTTTAATGTTTATGAAAATTTTTTCATTATATCATATCAGTTTTAAATTTGGAAGGGAATATAGGCTCTGTGGTAGTTGCAAACTATATTTTATTTACAGCTAGAAAATAACAATTTTTCACTTCAAATGATTGGTTTTTAACAATTAAGTAAAATTTTCTTATTAAGTGAAATATTTTGCCATTAATTTTAATGAAAAATTTTTCATCATTTTATTTTTAAACGTAGTCTTTCATTCATAAATTTATGTCCTTTGCTATATATTACCCATTTTGATTGTTTTGTCCGCATAGATTAAAAATTACGTATTGTATTTTTATTCTGATTTGTATTTTTGTTAAATTATCTTAAAAATTAACACTTGACTAATCAGGCTTTTTATGTATCAATGCAATTAAATTGAATATGTCTAGATTTTCAAAATGAATGGATTTTAGAGTTTTATACCAGTGTGCTTCAAACTTTTTTTTGCTCATCCTCTAGATGATGGCTGTAGAAATCCATGGATTTCCAGTGTAACATTTTTAATGTTTGATGTATTCAATTAACTGGGTAAAATAATCATTAAATCGTTAAAAATGATTTGTTACCAATATATAAATATATTCGAAATATTTTTTGATAATTTCGAAATTTTGATTGGACTTTCACGCATTTCAGGAAGTTCCAAAGAGGAATTAAAGGTTATTTATTTGTAAAAAAGTTATAAAGTTATAAGTTATTTTTTAAATCATTTCTGAATATCATTAATTTTTCTGTGAATTATTTTTATCAAAATATTCAATATTAATATTCACTATTTAATTCAAAAATCAATTTGGAATCCTTATTTTAATAGAAATATTGACTGTGATTGAACTGTTTTGAAATGATTTTCATATATGTTTGGTGAATTTTGATTCGCCCACAGTTTTTATCTAATTTTTTATTAATTTTTTGCGAATTAATTTTTGTTAAAGAATAATTTCTTGCGAACTTTTTGTAAAAAAAATTAAAAATTAGATGCATTGGTATTGTTGGCCTTTTGGATTTGAACGATTTGTATCGTATTGTTGTTCATTTTGCTTCAATTTCATTTTACTAAATTTCTAAAAATTGGATTTTTCTTTGGAAATCTGAAATTCTTTTCATTAATCCATTCGTTTTGTACCATGTAAAAGAATTTTTAAGTTTATATTTTATTTCATATTTATGTTTAAAATTTTCAGTTTTTCGTTCAGATCGTTCAGAAATTTCTTTTCAATGAATTCTGTCGTTTTTCTGTTTTTTTTTAAATTATGCTTTCATGAATTTTATTTTCTAGTATGATCCATTTCATTGTAATGTTTTTGAAAAATATTAAAAAAGTTTGCTGTCAAAATTTGCTGTTGACATCAACAATTCTATCGGTATTCATCGGCGTTATTCTTGGTTTTATCTTAAGAGAATTTCAACTTTCGAATGAAATTTGCTTATTAATTAATTTCCCCGGCGAAATATTCATGCAAGTGCTAAAAATGATGATTCTTCCCCTAATATTTTCGTCGCTTACTGCAGGTTTGTAAGTCGCTTACTGCAGGTAAGAGTGAATTATCATAGTTGAGGGATTTTGTTAAAGGTTCCATATATTTCTTTGTATTTTTTCCGAAATATTACTACTATAATTACTGCTAACGAGGGAAAAAATATTTTATATGAAAGAAGTGGGATATTTATGGAGGGATATTTTGGTAGTGCAAGTACCAATAGCTTTTGAATTTACTATATTTCTTTTCAGTTTCAATGCATAAAAAATATGAGTAAGTGATAAAAGATATTCACAAATTTCTTCGTACTAACTGCTTATTTATAAAATTTATTCAGCGATAGCGCAAATGGACATAAAACATTCCGGTCAAATGGGTTTCGCCACGGTCCTTTATTATTCCACCACTGCGCTTTTGTCAACAGTTGTGAGATTTTATCTAAACAACATAGACTATTGTAAATTATTAAAATTTTCCCGATTATTACGATGTAATATTCATGCTTAGACTTCAAGCAACAATTCACTGCACTGCATGCTCCGAATCATTCATTTTTTTGCAGATTGGCGTAACACTTGTGCTTTTAATACGACCTGGAGAGGGCCTAACGTTGAAGAATAATGCGACGAACGTGACTGCCGATAATGCAGATGTCCATCCTTTAGATGCTTTATTAGATTTAATCAGGTCTATTCCATTTGAGCTTTCGCTTTTTGTTTAAAAAGCGAATTTTTATCATTTCCATAATTTTTACTTTAGCAATAAACTGTCGAAGATGCAATAAGATTCTGTGAGAATTAGTTTTTTTCTCTGTTAAAATCAGTTTTCAGGAATATGTTTCCAGAAAATATCCTCCAAGCGAGTTTTCAACGTGTTCAAACGGTTTACGCTAGTGTTAAACCAACTTTTAAAAAAATAAGTAAAAATGCGACTATTGAATCACCACCGAAAGTTATAAAAAGTATTGAATTAATTAGAGGAACGAATATACTTGGTACATAAACTTTACGGCTCTAATATTCTTCGACTTCTTTCAGATACTATAAGCACCATTTCTGATTTAGTTGTCCCTATTCATCACCAAGATTCATTCACTTCATGGTAGAAAGTACAAGTCGATCTTCTGTGGTCATTCGCATAACTATACTGTAGAAGAGCGAGAAGAAGCTTTCTTTGATCATAATAATTTAATATATATTTATTTTTAAAATCATTCTTTCCCTTATCTTTCCAGGATTAATAGTGTTTTGCACGGGATTCGGCATTGTTATTTCAAAGTTTGGTGAACGAGCCCGAGTCATCATAAATTTTTTCACTATCTTAGATGCTGTTATAACTCGATGGGTTGAAGCTCTAATGTGGTTCGTTCTCCATAGTTCGTGCAATTATTTATGATTTAGCCAAGCAAAATATTAGTATTGAAACCAATTCTTATGGTGTTATGTCGAACAGTTTGGAACATTTGATCGATTTATTCTAAATTTTCTCCATTCAAAGGGTTTATTTGTTCGTTTGAAAAATTATCAAGCGCATCCGAAGCCATGAGATTGTTATTCAAACAAATAAAACTATTTTAACTTAAATTCTCTGGAATTTAAGATAATTCAGGATATTTATTTACTGCATAGTCTTTGCTTGCTTATAAAATTATTTATTTTTATTTCTCTTCAGGTTCGCTCCAGTAGGAATTATTTGCTTAATTACTGGCAATCTTCTTGAACTGGAAGATTTAAGCGACATGGCTCAAGTTTTATTGTTGTATATCATAACTGTAATTGGCGGACTGACAATACATACTTTTGTGGTCATGCCAGGACTTTATTTTTTCATTGTTCGCAAAAACCCGCTCAAACTTATGCAAAACATGCTACAAGCAGTTGTTACAGCATTCGGTACTGGTTCCAGGTGATATTCATCATTTCCTTTATAAAAAGCGTTGATAACTTATAATGTGGCACTAAGATGAATTAGTACGTTAAATTTTTGAGAAATTCTTTTATTTTATTTTTGATTATTAACTAAGAATTATGTCTAGCGATAATTATACACGATTAGAAATTTAATGCGAGAGTCTTGGTGACAGGTGAATTGCCAGCACCACCTGGATTTTCTCGTTGATAGTTTGTTCCTACTGGATGCAGACCGCGATAATTACTCAACTACCGACTTACTTTAAGCACGATAATTCGAACCACTAACCACTCGACCATATTGTCTTTTTCATGACATTTTAACGATTTATAAATTCAAAAAGTCAGTCAACTTTAAACAGCTAATCAACCTCAATTTTTTTGCGAGCATATCAAAAAGAAAATAATTGTGCACATATATATCTAGTGGAGCAGCACTGCCATCATCAATGCACTGTCTTGAAGATGGACTTGGTCTCGATCGACGAGTAACTCGTTTTGTTTTGCCTTTAGGTACCACCATCAATATGGTATGCCATTATATCATAATATCAATGTCAATATTGATTTCTAATTGCTAAAGTGCGAATAATGTTGAATTATGAAAATGAAACTATGAATTTTAGATGTAATATTTTAACGATTACATGATATCCATAAAGTAAATGAGATTCAGAATTCCTTTCGAAACTTTTGCAATTGATGATATCATATGAAATTTTATAAATTTATGAAATCCTATAAAAAAACTTTCAGTTTAAAAATTAGAATATTAAATCTTTTAAATATTAAAAGTTCAGGATGGGAACGCTTTATATGAAGCTATAGCTGTAATTTTTATTGCTCAATTGAATGGCGTATCGCTCACGTTGACTGAAATCTTCACAGCCAGGTGTATTTGGAATATTTCGTTAATACGATTTGAAATCAACAAATTCAAGCACTTATTCCAGTTAATCGTATTTCCCATTTTTAGTTTTATCGCCACTATATCATCTCTTGGAATGGGTTCGGTACCAGCTGGCCTTGTTGCTATACTTCTTATCCTAAATACTATTGGTCTGCCTACGAAAGACGTCCCTTTGCTTATTACTGTTGACTGGTTATTGTTAGTCCAATCTCATTTATTCAATTACATAAAATTTAAAAAACTAAAATCGAAAATTTTTCTTGTAAAAATTTTGCGATATAAATTTTGCGACTGGATGATAATAGTTCTTCAATTCAATTCAAAATCTGAGCCGTTTGTAATTAAAATTGATGGAAGAAATAACAGCGAATGAATGCTTAGTGTTATTTTCATGAAAATATTTTAATATTTAATTTCAAATATTCGCAGGGATCGAATTCGAACGATGGTTAATGTTCTTGGTGATGGATTTGTCGCTGGATCCGTCGCTCATCTTTTACATGAGAAGCTTGAAAAATCTGATCGACTAAACGAATATCGAACTGAAATCAAGGAAGAAATTGGTTAATCTCATGAATAATTTAATGAATACTTTTTTATGGTTGTTTATAATTACTGACTGATATGTTATGATCTTATTTGCCTAAAATTATTAGGTTATTAATAAAGCGCAATATTTTTATTATACGACAATTACTCGCTTGGAAAAGGTTCACTGCCTGTTACTTATCATTTGATTTTCTAATCGAGGTGATTTCTTGCAAAAATTGTCTGTCCATTTATTATATTTTACAGTTTTCAGAACTGTTAAAATCATCATCATCAAGTCGGCGACAATCATCTGACTGGCCTTGTTTGGCAACAACAAGCACATCACAAATGCCTAGTCAGTCAAGAAAAAGTTCCGCAGGTATACCACTGCACAGCAGATCAAGAACGAATTCGTTGGCAGCATTTTATAGCCAAAAATTATCGTGGCAAAGTTCGAAGTAGCCAAATTTCTCAATGAAATTCTTAATTTTATTGTTCTTTATTATTATTTAATATTTTTTATTCTTTTAACAACTGATAACGTGTAATTTTATTTGGAATATTATTTTAACAAGTGAGGTCAATTTAAAAATTTCGCAAATAGTACCATAAAGCTTGTTAGAGACTAACTTAGGCACCCGTAAGAGTTTTGTTTTACATATTTGAGTACATTTTTTTTCTAACATCCATCCATCTAACTCATTAGAAGTGGAGAATTGCATCACGTGCATTTTGCGCCACGTTATTCCCTTGGAAATATCACTGAACTCATAGCGCTTGGCTTTTTTTAAAAGAGCCCTCATCATTGCTGGTTAGACTGGCTGACTTGTCGCACTAGACAAATATGTGAGAAAACCCCTTGGCATAGAAGTACCGATGAATCGCCACCATCACCTGGATTTTTCGACAAATTTCCTCGTGCGGGGAATATAAATTCAGTATCGGCGCTCCGAATTGAGCAACAACTCACTAAGCCATTCTATTCCGTTTTAATCGAAACAGTTTTGCACTCGCCCCTATATGAATACAGTAGATGAATATCATATCACTTTCCACCTTTTTCCTATTTTTGATAATACTAACAATTTGAATTTGGTCTTTTATGGAGTTTTCTATTCGCTGCTGATTTAAATCTTTCAATTCAAGTCGCCTTATTATTCTTAATTTGTGTTTATGGCTAATAATTATTTATTTTCCGTTTAATAATAGTTTTTTTAATTTGCAACCATTTTGTAAGCGAAGTTTGTTGCGTTTTGAAAATTAAAAATGCTTTTAATTTATAATTTAAAAATCAGAAAATAGCTTTTGTTTTTCGATTAAACCGCATCAGTTGTTTTGTTTATAAATTTGTTTTATTAAAAAAATAGACGTCGAAAAAAGAGATAAATTTTATTCGATTCATTGAAATTTTTAATAATGTGTTTAGCAGAATTAGTTTAATATAAAAGTGCGTTTTATTGAAAACAATGAAAAACAATTTATTATAAAAACAGAAATTGTTGTTGCGAACGAAATTTGTTTTCTGAAAGCGAGAATTTATGCAATGAATGATTAATGTATTTGAATGTTGGAAAGGAAAATTTTTATATTTTGTTTTTTGCTTTCGCCAAATGAATGTTCGAATTTGGAGATCAAAGCATTCTTTAAACGCAGAACGCAGGGTTGTTTTGTTCATGACCGGGAGCGGGGAGGGGAGGGGGAGGGGAGGGGGAGGGGAGGGGAGGGGACATGGGATTATTTAGGTAAAATAACACTAAATTTCTTTGTTAGTTACTTTTAATGCTGAAAAATTTAAGAATCTGAATATCCTGAACAGCAGAACGATTTTAAATAATCGTAAGAGCAACGATTTAGGCAGCATGCAGTTGCTAATGTTCGTTTCGATAAATGATGAACGACTGGAAATTCGCCATCGTCATCATCGCCATCAATCAGTACCATATTTGCTCCTTTAAATAATGCAATAGAAAAGAATTAAGAAAGAAAGTTTATAATTTTAAGGATAAAAGCGAAGCGATATCTTCACTGACACTGAATATAAAATATCCCTCAATAAAATACGAGACAAGGAGGGAAATTCGGAAATTCTGGAGGGAAGTTGACTGAAGTCTTATTAATTTATTCGCATATATTTCTTCTCCCTCTAAACGGCACCCATCACTCTTTGTTCCAGTGATTATTAAGTCAAATAGCTTTCGATCGGCGATTCATCTGGTTAGATCGCCACTCGATGCAATGACAAATAAATTAAAGGGTAGGCATAGTCATTTCAAAGTCAAATTTATCATTTTTGCCCTAAAAATCCTCCAATGTCGTCTTTTTTAAAATTCGATATTAAATTTAAAAATGAAACGAGCTTATTTTTCTTAATATTGTTTCGTGATAAAATTAATATGGAAAGAGTTAAAGAGTGTATGAAGATAATGGACCTTTCTTATGTTCTGTTGGAACAAAACTGCCACAGTTCTCCTTGCTACATATAGCAACCAATTTCCGAGCCAGTTTAAAACCGCAGAGGCGTATTTGATCTATTGCACTTGAATAATCTGCTTGTTGTAATAAAATGCAAACAAAAAGTGTTAATCCGACCAATGTCCTATTATTTATTTATTTAATTTTAATAAAAATTCTTTGCCTTGAATAATCCTTTAAAAAATCCTTCAAGATAACTTTTTTTTATTATTTTTTCCCATTCTTTTAAGCATGTAAAATTTTTTGAATTATAAAAATGGCAAAAAAATCATTCCGACAATATCAAAAATATCAAATTTTATCTATAAAATTCTCCTAAAAAAACTTTTTTTTTTGCAATTTGCGAATTTTAAAAAGAATAAAATAAATAAAATAAACTAATAGTACTAATAAATGATTTTTGTGAAATGCACTTATAAATAGTTTTAAACTAACTTTTTCGCTTGTTTCATTTTTCTCCAGTTGAACTGAAATTCGTTTACCTGAAATTAATTTTTGTATTGTAAATAAATTTAAGGAAAAAAGAGAACTGCAGGCGGAGAAACAATTGCTAGGAACGTATAAGAAAATTTCGAGTTATTAAAATAAGGAACATTTTATGCCATCGATTTTCAGGCAAATCTTGTTGTATTATTTTTTTCAAAAAATTTGAAGAATTTCTTCATTCTTCACTTTCAAAACAGAAATAAACTAAAAATATAATTTTTTGCTGGTAAAGAAAAGCAATTTTAAAAAAAAATTTGTAATTATGAACTAAAAATGTTGTCCTTATCATCGCAAATGGCTCATTCGAATTCGCTATAGCGAAAATCAATTGAGAAATTTTGAAGAAATCCAGTGGGAAGCAAATTTTTCTTCAGGAGAACTTGGCTTGGCACATCTAATCATTTTGTCAAAAGGTAAACTTTCCAAAAACAGAATTTTTTTTGAGCAGAACTGAAATATTTTGCAACCATTTTTGAAAAAAGTAATTTATTTATTAGAAGTGGTAATGATAATTTGAAAAATTTTATTTCTATGAATTCAACTCGGAAAAATTGCATAATAACGACAGTAAATAAATATATATAAGTATGAAGCAATAATTTTAATGAACAGCGCTCATCATTTCTGGTTAGAATCATCTGCTGTCAGATCAAGTAGATCAAGCAAATTGCCAAGAAGTCATTATTGACCTAGCATTACATGGATATTTTGAAAGACGGTTCATGCAAAGAGTAGATCCAAGCATCAGCGCTCCAAAAATGGAAGCAACAATCCACTGAGCACTTTCCCCTAACGACGATGATTAGATATTCAAAGGCCATAAATATAGAGATCAAGGATTCTAAACTGTTCGTAGACCCCTTCGACGATTTCGAAAAGCGTGCGGAGTCATTTTTCAATTGATTTTATCTTTTTAACAGCTTGGGGAAGCGTATGGGATATTTCTGCCAATTTGGATACAAAAATCGGAATATATAGGAACTGAAAAATGAAAAATAAGAAAATTGAAAGCAAAAAGACAAAACGCAAATTCTAGCGCTATAAATTCTAAATTCTGTTGGTTTGCTTGACTAAATTTCTAATTGAAAAGAACATTATATTAGCGAAATAAAACGTGGGGTTTCCGTGCTCATGGATTCCCATGAAACTCGTCGATCTATTTGTGTGAACTTTTCATATTTTTTCTAAACGAATAACGAAACACTAATAAAAAAAAATAAACAATAATTTATGTAAAATTAATAAAGCTTTTCAATTTTATCATTTATAACGACAGCAACGATAGCAAATTTGAATTTGAAATAGTATCGCAAAATAACAAAAATATCGCAATTGGCAATGACGCATTTCATATGCTTTTGACAATTCGGTCGCTCTATTTTCGTTTTAATGGACAATGAAGATAAAGAGGCGGTAAAATAATGTGGAAAAATTTTCTATAAAATAGATTTGTTATTCGAGTAAAGTTTTTCTTTTCCATAGTAACTAACTTTCAAAAAAATATCGAAATAACTTCGACTGTTCTTTAAAAAAAAAACTGAAAGAACTATTGTTAGAGAAAAATAAGAAACGATTTATAAAGTTCGCCATAAAGCCAATTGTTTTTTAATATTTAAAAATTATTAGAAGAAAAGATGAAAACATTAATAAATTAGTAATTAAAATAAAATTAAAAATGAATAGAATCCGCCTTTTGAATTATTTTATTTAAAAAATTCTATCCTTTTATTTTATCCGCTTTAATTAAATCCTTGGGCAATCTAAACGATTTGTGCATTTACTTATTCAAAAAATTAAGGAGGACATGGAAGTTGAGGGAATTTGTTAAAGAGAAATGAATGCCTAAGAACACAAAAATAAATAGCAATAATATTGGCGAGCATACATATATAGTGCCATATATTGCCAAAAATTCTAAAATAATTCTTTTGAGGCTATTGTTCTCAAAAAATACTGTACGAAATATTTTGCTTATCCGATTGATTAATGTTTGTAAAATTTACTGGTAGACTTTACTCTTTTATTAAAAAATACGAAAGAATTCAAATTTTGGTTGTTTAATAAATAAAATAAAAAAATATTCGTGATTTGAGGAAAGGCTTTTAGACAGCTTTAGTCATTTTCTTGAAAATTTGCTTGTGGTGTCGTCGATCGTCGATCTCAACTATTTTGGTTTATTTTTAAATTTTATAAATCATCATTTATGCATAATATTGCTTTTAATTTGGCACTGATTTTCTGATATTTTCATATTTTCGGCTAAAAATAAACGAACAAGTCGCAAACTACAATTGCTATTAAATAAAATTTGAAGGTTCTCATTCATTCATAGCGATTTTTACTTCTTAACTACGATTTAACTACGAGGAGTATTATTTGTGATATCCAGAAATTTTTAGATGGACTAATTATTCCCATTCATTTACGTAGTATTTTGTTTAATGATGCATTTGAAGAAGCATACACTTGACAAGTGCGTAATAAGTTACAGCCGAGATTTTATTTAAAGAATCTCCGATTTATTTGCCAAGTAGAAAAGATGCGATTCAGGCATTAATCGACTATTGAGGAAAGAGCTGTGCGATAGAATAGAGCGATTGTTGAATGGACCTATTAGCATTGGTTGTGCCCCTCATACAACTTTTGGGGCATTAAGTCTGCCGAATTGAATCACCGAATTAATATTGTATAAATGCTCGCTAATTTGTCCATTTATTGCACCTAGTTTATAAATTTAAACCAAAAATGATTGATGCAGTTAATAATTAATAGTTCGAAAAATTATTAGTTATTAACATCGTTTTTCTACAAATCTACTTCATTTTCTCATAATTCTCCATTTTCCACTATATTCCCTCATAGATTCACTTAACGTTTGCGGTAGAATTTGCAGCTGCGATTGCTGCAAAACTACAGATGGTAAGAAGACATAATAAGGCTGCGTGGTGCCAAGGGACTATATCAATGGTGATTAAAATGAACATAGGTGATCTTTGCAATAGACTATGGTAAAAGTGTGTAGCAGAGATTTGCTGGGGATTTAGAAAAAATAGCGGGATTAGACGGTAAGCAAGTCAAGATGCAAAATGGAATATGAGACTTTTTTTAAACATAAGCTATCGAAATTTCTCAGTATTTTGTTACAATCTGAAACCTGAGGCTAATGCTACGGTCTTTACAAACTTAGACCTATTAACAATTAAATTGATATAGCCAAAACTTTTCCTGGTTCCAAATTTCTATCAGTTTTCCATTTTTCCTAAACTAAAATTGCCTTATCGTAAAAATTATGATCTCTTCACTTTCTTATTTGAAATGCACAAGGTGAATTAACCGCCCAGATTCCCGTTTTTATACAGATATGCTATGCCAATATGCCATTTTTATGAAGGGAACATGCATTGTGACTTCAGCAGTTTGCTTCAGTACCAAAGTAATTATACTATAATTCATAAGTGTTTATTTAGCCCCCTTCATTCCAAATTTAAAATTTGGTCAAATTCTATCAAAAGTGATATGCATCAGTGCTTTAATAGTAACGAAAAGTGAGGCTGACAACTCATGAGATTTGAAATATTAAAGATATTTCACCGGTAAAATCTATGCATAAGAATTGGTACTTACTTATGTAATATAATTAGAAATATGCACTGTAAAGACAATTCGAAGTTGAAAATTCGAGAGAATAAATTCTGATCATCATAATAATTGGTACTTACTTACTAATTTATTTCGATTAATGAATTAGTGAATTTTAATAGATAACTAAGCGAACCGATCTTACAAATTAAACGTGTCGACAATTCAGTTATAACTATAAACCATTATGAAATTTTACATTCAAATACTTTTGGTCAAATCCAGTATAAGATGAATTTACAAATATAAATTAATTTAATTTAATCACTTCTCGCTAATTTTAATTTTTTGCCTTATTTTATTTATTTATTTTCATTTATATTTTCATTTATATTTTTATTAAAATCGATTTTATTATGCAAATTATATTATTTTTCTATTCATTTCGAATAAAATTATATAGTTTTTGCATAAATTTTGAGACCATTAATTTTTTAAGAATAATTTAAATAATTATTGATTTTAATTATTTCAACGAATTTAACGAGTAGATAAAAGAAATTTTTACTTTTGCACTTATTTTTCTTCAGTTTCAACTTTACTGTATGAAAAAATTTTGTGATACCATGCAGAACAAACAACATTACGCTGGTTCCTTAGCATCCACTCGTGTATTACTTTTAATGATAAATCAGCTTCTGAAGCCAAGAAGACAAAACGAATCAGATAGTTTAGAAGAAACGTGAAATTCACGCGAACATTTTATAAAATTCAAATAAAAAATTGGAAAAGCTGAGCGAATTAAAATGAATAATGTTTAACAATTGTACAATAAAAAATTAAAGAAATCCTGCAAAACTTTTCTTAATGCAAAGAAAAAATTTAAACTTCATTTTTCATTTTAAGTTTTTTTTGTTAATTTTTTTCTCAATTTTCGCAGTTTGTACTTTTGTTAATTGAGACAATAGAACGAATATTTTCATTTTATAATTATTGTAAAAGCGATTTTAAGGGACTAAAAAATAAAATATGGAAATATATTTGGAATAACTCATAATGGATCATTTGAAAGCATTCTTCCGACTTTTCTTTCGCCATTGTATTGTAAAACATTTTTATATTGTGAAATATAAAATATAATTAGTGTGTTAACTAAAGATTGGCAATTTTTACACTTTGAAAAAATATGGCAATTTGGCAATATTTTATAAATCACAGAGAAAAAAAATACTTCTATCGTGATCGCTTATTAATTTGTAAAAGGCGATGATTTTTTTCTAAGAGACGGTATTATAAATGGTTGAATCTCATTTTTTCTATCTCATGTGTTTCTAATTAATCCTCGTTCGTGTCGTTTTTAAGCAAAATAGTCGCATATCTCGATTCCCGATCCCGATTCCATTACAGATTTTCAAAAGCTTAAAGAGAGCTTAAAATGGACATTTGGAATTCTCTTTTCATAAACTGCCAGCTATTTCATATCGGTCTTACTCGCCTATCATGCAAATAAAAATAAAGCGCGATTCAATGGTCTGTTGTGCTTATTTCGGAGCTCTATTGATGCCTGGACTCTATTCCTTCCAGAAAAAAACCAGCATTTCCAGAAAACCGAATGATGCTGCCAATTCACTTGTATTTCTGTCATCAAATGAAGATTTGCCAGTTTGACAAGCGAGTGGAGCGACAAGCCAAATCAGGCATATTGAACGCTGTTAGGAAAAAAAGAACATCTCGGAATATCTCGGAAAGGCGATCTAACCATTCTTATTTACGATTTTATACTATATGAAACGAACAGAACAAGTTAATAATAAAAGCTAAAATGAATCAAACAATTCGAAAAAGTTAAAAATGTTTATTAAAGGTTTATTTGGCCATTTATATGCAACTCGATCTGATTTTTTTCAAAGGTAAATATTAATGAATGATCAAATTTCGCGCTAAAATAAGCGATTAATCGTTTCGTCGAAATTTGTGTGACAGCCATTTCCTTAATTGTACCTCTGAGAGAATCGCTAAATCGCTAAATAACGAAGCGAACTTAGCGAATTTCCTCGTCCACTTATAATTAGCAAATAAGAGAATTTTCAGTTCAACAATACGCGAATTTCAACCATATTTGAGATGAAAAAAGTAGTTTCGACTTGTAATTAAATAGAATTATCGCTAATGAAAGTTTAATAACTGCTTATTTGATCAATTAGCTTATTGTAGAATTTCTTTTAGAAATTTTATTAAAAAATTTCTAAAAGAAATTTCATCATGAAATTGGGAATTTTGACAAAGGGCGATGTTGCATCCGATAATAAAAATGGATCTAACAGATTTAATTTGGCCGCAAAAAAAGTCGAAGGGTTTTTCATGTCAACTGACATATGACCTTGTAAAAATTCGATGATTGCTGCGTCGATTTTTCCTTTATTTGCTAAATTGCTGGCTTTTTTTTTCCTTTTTTCTTTATAATTCTTCACTCAATCATTACGTAAATCCTAAAAGTTTTCAAACCTATAGATTAAATAAAATGAAGGAAATCGTCGATTTATAATTATTAATCAGATGTTGATAGGAAATTTAATTTAATGCAAACTTTACTAAAATCTATCAAAATATTTCTCAAAAGCATAAGCATAATCAAAGCAACTTTATATCGACCAAGGTTTCAAGGAACCAAATTTAATATTATATTTGGTGTCTATTCTAAAAGAACTTATCAACTCTGGCTAGGCTCATTAGACCAGCAAATTTTGGGATTTTTAAAATATTTACGCAATTTTGCCAGTTTCCTGATGGTAGAAGTACAGGTAGATTGCCAGCACCACCTGGTTTTTTGAAGTATTATTCCTGCGAGGAAGATCTCAAAGTACCAAAAATGAGAGCAACACTATGCCATTCTTCTCCCATTGCCTAATCTCAATTTATTAAGCGATTTTTATCCTAAAAATGTCAATTGATGTCAATGCCACTTATAATGCCAATATTATCCTTATAAGCAAAGGATGCCATGTTATTTAAATCAGAGGCATAAAGAGACTTGCATTATGGCTCATGACGTGACAATGCCAATTAATGGAAATAATTTTACTTTCTAAATAATTAATTAAAATGCTTAATCTCACTTATCAAATAGAGGAAATTAGAATTTGGATAACGATAGATAGAAATATTTTTCCAGTTGACGAAACTTTTATGGAGTTATCGAGAAATCACCATAAAAAAGAAAACCTTGTCTATACTGGATTCGCTCGATCTTTTTATATGGCTATGACTTATATGGCCATGAAAGTGATGAACGATATTGAAAAGATCTGCTTTTGACTATTCATGTCCAAGATATATCTTACAAGTCCGCCGAACCGATAAAAACGTACATTATTATGCTTTCGTTCAAATACCTATATTAAAAATATCACAGAGATTACTTATTAAACCTTGTGATGACGGTGTCAAAATCGAGACAGTCCAATCAAAAATTGAATTGATAGAATCAGGAAAGATTTTGAACGTATAGGGGAACCAGCGTTATATGGACTTAGACGATGAAAAAACGAATGATTTTTATAACTATCAGCGATCGCATCGGATCGAACAGCTTCGAGATGTCTTATCCTTCAAGATGTAGCTAGGTGAGACAGCTTAACCAGTAATGGACCAGTGAAAACTATTAGAAGAAGAAAAAAATCTTACTTTGGATAATTTTACCAAAATGAGAGAAAAGTAATTATAATAATAATAATATTAGTAATAATAATAATAATAATTTTGATAATTTTAATGAGCCTAGCGTTCATCTTAAATTCTATTGCATTTTATTTCTAGATTTCGAAAATATATAAAAATTTCGAAAATATATAAAATCTATTAATCAATTAAGTTTGTACATTTCCTTCCAGTTAATCGTTCAATTTTAAACGATGCCCGCTCGAATAAATTTTCTATCAAAACGATTAATTATTATCATTTATTTATTAACGATTGGTATTATAATTACAATAATTAATTCATTTGAAATTTTTAAAATTATTGATTTTCGATTTAGGTAAATTTTAAAAAAAATTTTTTTAAATATTTTGTCATTTTCTAAATACAATTTGAATAATGAAAATTTATTTTTATTTAAATAAAATTCATTTGAAAATAAATTATTCAATAGGAATAATTTTTTCGGTTGTTTTTTTCCATTTTATATTTTTTATTTTTTATTATATATCATAATAATAAATTTTAAATGTGAGTCTTTCAATTTATGCTTTCGATATTTATGCTTCAGTGATTATCAGTGTGGTAGTAAATCCGTTAATAATTTGAATATTCAACAACCTCTTGCATGGATTATCGGGCAAAAAGTGAGTAAATTCGTTGCAAACACTCGTTCTTATTTCCTTTACGGTTTATCGAAAATTTTTTCATAATTATATCTGATTTTGGCAAGAAACTTATTAGTTAAAAAATTAATTTAAAAAAAGTTTAATGCGAAAATTAAATTTGATGATTTTAGATCGAAACTGGTTATTTGTCACATGTCATAGGAGTTTTAGAGAAGCTTGGTTACAGAATCTTGTACGGCCCGAATGAAACGAATTTTGACTTATTATGGGTGCATGAGTATCCTTTCACAATCGCTTCTTTGCAAAGGTTTATAAAAGGAGTCAGACCATACCAAAAAATCAATCACATCCCAGGTTCTGGATATTACACAAGTAAAGTAAGATTTGCCTCTTTAATAATCCAGCAATTTCGATGAAATGCCAAAAAATGCAATCGTTTTTTTATTTTTTTCATGATTTTTGTGCTTATTTTAATATAAAATACAAAAAAATTCTTCGATCACTTACATTTGATAAATTGCTAAATAATTTTAGATACATTTGTTAACATCAAAATTATCGATGGGACTACTAAAAACTTTCAAAATTCCTGAAATGAAGGACGAATTTTTGCGTTACTATGAAAGAAACTCAAATGAACTGTTTATAATAAAAAATAATAAACATCGCGGCATTGAAATAAAAAGTATCGATGAAATTAATTTCACTATAAACAACTTTTTTATACAACAATACGTATCAAATCCTTACCTTATTGATGGAAAGTTGGTTCAATTCCCTTTTTTCGAAGTTAAAATATAACAATATTAATTTATTAATAATTTTAGGAATAGAATAAGAAAACAAAATGCCAAAAATTTGCAGTAAAAAAAAAGAAAATCATAAAATTTTACAAGAACAGCGATAAAAATTGCTCACAAATCTCCCAGTAGATGGTAATTCTTAGGAGAAAATAAGCCAAGCTAAATTCGATGTTTCCAAAAAAATGGGCAAGAGAGATTGATAAAAATGATTTTGAGGAAATTTGATATTGGAATATATACAGTCATAACATCGGTACTACCACTACGAGTTTATATTTATGAAGGTGATGTGCTATTACGCTTTTGTCCTGAAAATTATTTCCCATTTGATTCGAAAAATAAAGATAAATATGTTGTTAGTGACGATTATTTACCCATTTGGCAGGTAATTTGCGTATTTTGTCTTGAAATGTTATGCAAAATTTCCTAAATTTCACGGAAATTTTATTATGAATGTTGTTATAGAAAAAATCTTAAGACAACGCAAAAACTGCAGTTCGCTGCTCATAAAATATGCTATAGAAATATTAAATAACAATCGCTATGATATTCTTAATCTAATTTTTGCAAAAAAAGACATTTCAAAACCCCTGAAATTCCTTTCTTCCATTTTTCACCTATTTAATAAAATTTTCGCTTTTGTGGTTTTCCGTTATTTCATTGTGGATTGTCTTGATTGGAGTCAAATCATAAACTGTAATACCCACATTAGAAAGAAATATCGAACACAGTTATTATTAGAGATTCAACCACGGGAAAGAAGCGATTTAATTATATTCTAGGTAGATCAATTAAAAAAGTATTATGCTGAACAAAAAATGACATCTCGTGAGACGCTTAACGCTTATATTCGTGCAAATGGTAAAGATGCTAGCAAAGTGTGGAGTACCATCAAAGAAATCATTGCAGAAGTAAGAATTTTATGTGAATAATGAATCATAAAATTATGTGAATGAATTATAAATAATTATAATGAATAAAATAATTTTTATATTTTTGCATTTTGCTGTTGGACAAGAAAAATTGCCAAAAAAATTTTATTGGATTAATATAAAGTTGAAATTTATTAGACTGAAATGAAAATTTTTCTTCTTGAATAACGATATTGAAAAAAGTGATTTTAAATTATATGACAGGTATTCCAGTCTCAGCAAGATAATTTAATCGCTGCAAGTAAAGAATATGGCGATAATAGGTTGTTCTAAGCAACATTCTTTTCAAGAAATAGGCTTTAAGGCCTTATATTTTTATATTTTTAAGGCTTTTCTTTCACAGTTATGAATTTTTGTACCTTATATTTATTTAATTTTCCATTTTTCTGATGAATTCTACGATATGTGAATAATGAAATTGTAACTAATAAACTTCTAATTCGCATTTTTTAACATTAGCACGTCAAAATTTTAGTGAAATATATCGCATTTGTATTAAAATAATAAAAATTCTTAAATCAAAATGTTACTGACATTCAGTACTGCGCCAATTTTAGGCCATTTTTTGAACTTTCTCGTTTCGATTTCATCCTTGATGATCATCTTAATGCCTTTCTTATGGAAGTAAGTATAATATTTATTTTTTAAAATTTATCAAAGTTTTTTCATTTTTCAACTCAACCAATTTTTTTCTTCAATTTTTATCACTCAGTAAATTTTGAAATGACTATTTATCGAATGTTTTTTTGAAAAAATAGATGGCCTTGACGAAAAATCTATTGCAAAAGCAAAATGGCTTATTGCCTGACAATTTGTTTTTAGTTTTGATATATTTTAAGGCAAATATGTCACCAAATTTATCGTCATCACACTTTAAACAAAATGGTTTATTATATGAACAGTTATTATTAAATGTTTTTTCTTTGGTTGGAATCGCGAATCATTTTCACGGCCAATCTTTGGAGGAAAAGTTGTATGTTTTCTTCTATTGGTGCCCTTTATAGTAGCCATTTTTTACTTTTGTACTTCTATTTTTATTTTTGAATTTTAATTTTTTGAATTTTCGAACCTGTCTAATTCGTTTTAAAGATTCATATGGTTAAAGTTTTAGAACGATCTACTAAAATCTCAAATTCATAAAATCTAAAATTTTTACTTCATTTCTATTTTTAATGGGTTTGAGCCTTAAGAAATTTTTAATTGCCAGTTTTTGTGCTATGCTAAAGTGCTGAGATATGCTTAAAGTTATATTATTCATGAACTTGGATTATCCCAACTTTCTAGCAAAAATAAAGCAATTCGTGAAATAGAAGTATCTGAACGAGATTTACGAGCTTTTGACAATGAATGTGTTGTTGAAGGCGCAATGTGTTTTGGCAAAAAATCCTGCAATAATCACTTGGTTGGTTTATAATTTCAACAAAAATATTCAATAACGAAAAAAAAAATCAAATTATCACAAATTGACTAATTAAGAATGGCGTAGAATGGCTCAGTGGGTTGCTGTTCAATTGGGGGTGCCGATACTGAGCTTCGATTCCCCGCAGAAGTAAACCTGTAGAAAAATCCGGCTGATGCTGACGACTCACCTATATGTCTATCGCCAAGGAACTCCCTGGCATATTGCCCAAAGCGACAAGCCAGTGGAGCGAGTTTAACCAGTAATGGTGAGGGCTCTTAAAAAAAAGACAAATTAAGAATTCATTTGCAGAAATGCCGATTATGTGGGCATTGTTTCAATTATGAAATGAAAACGATATTGCGATCATCGTATTTAGAGCAAATTTCGAGAAGAAATCTGCGAAGGGTACTACCTACGACGATTCCTAATGAGCGCCACGTCTATCGCAAATATACTCAACTCGATAGACTTATCATTTTGTGGTTTGATGCCAAGTGTAAGCAAGACAAGGTGTGGTGTTCGTAATTTATGAAAATAAGATTTGCTAAGAGTTCTGCTCTTTCTTTGCTCTTCTCATAAGTGTCATTTAATTATTCTTTTTTGATCAAATTTTTTTTTTATTCATTTTGTTCACTTGGTTATTTGTGGAGAAATGGGCTGAATTTAATCTGCGAACAAGCCATTCAACCATATATCACTAAATTTTCAAATTGTAAAGGAGCTGCTTTCGAAAAAATCATCAGAGTTTTTTCCTGTTTCTTTAATTTGTCCTGTGGTTTACTAGCTCGCGAGGAATTTTACCTCTTGTTTCGTTCTTCTGCCCACAAAGAGAGATAAAAGGTATTTGTAAAGGTAATTGCCAGATGCTCAAATTTGGGTGATTAAACCGCACTATACTTACAAACTTTTATATCCCCACCTCTATAATTAAAATTTGGTAATTATAAGACCGATAAGAATCACAATCATCACGTTAGTAATGATGGCTGAACTCGAATTTTCCTCAAACTAGCCTTATACGACTCATCCTTCCAGTCTTCTCCACTTCCAGAGCTCTACTGTCGGAAGCTTTTTTAAAATTAGAGGAGATAAAAATTGGTCATTTGTGGAAATGATTAACTTATTGCCAGTCGTGATTTGTGTTGCACGGCAGATTTGCATAATCCCTTTTTCTTATAATTGACAATTCTTTATTGAAACAAAAATTTCTTTGAATTTCAAATTTGACTGATTAAAATGTGCATAAAGAAACTCGTAATTGACAAGAATCTTAATTTAAATAAAATACATTTTTTATCGAAAATTTTCCAAATCTTGCATTTCAATTTCTTCAAATTCATATTTAAACTGCTTTTTATAGGAAATTTGCTTTCTTAAATTTGCTGAAAAAAGGGAATAAAATGTTCTTGTTATTCGAGCAATATGCATAAAACCACCCGCACTTGTAAACTAGGATTATAAACCTGCAGTTCGTTTGTTTCACTTGTGTTGGAGTGGCAAGTTGGATGTGTCTTCACTGAATATTTTGTCGGAACAGCTGAAGTATTCACATAGGAGTTAAGTTTTCAAAACGAAGAGAACCTTGTACGACATTAATCTCCACGCCACTGCGTGTTAAAAACTCTAATGATAATTCATAATTCATGTATAATTCATTTCTGACAAATAATTTATATTTCATAATTCATAAAATAAATGCGATCGATATTTTAGTAATAAAAATTTTCTTAAGCTATTGTTAAACATTTATTTATTGTTAAATTTTCAAAAATCTATTTTATCCATCTAGTTTTTTATGAAAATTTCTCGTCCTTTCCATTTGGCAGCCATAAGTTTTAGTTTTTCAACTTTTGAAAAATTCTTAAAATGAATTTGAACAATTTTTATCAAAGGATGTAAACTCAGTGATAAAATTCATATGATTTGATCATCATTAGGATAAATAAATTTGTTGTGGATTTTTCATAAAAGTCTGATTTTTCTTTGCAATTTTTTAATCAATGAAATCTTCATTAAAAATGGGGCAATGCTGCACTTCTTCCATTTATTCTGGTCAATAAAATCTGCGGAGATTTCTATTGCACTACAGCTGATCCGATGTTGATTTTTGCTTAATGTGTTATGCGACGTATATTAATTATTATTTTAATTAATATTATTTTTTAACCTTAGAAAAAAAGTCAAAATTAGAAAAAATAAATGAAAACTGATATCACTCATCATAAATTTTGCAAAAACCAAAATTATAAAGAAATAAAAAATAGATCGTCGATTGTAAACCTAATAAAACTCGACTGTAGTGTGATTGATGCACTATTGACAAAATGCATCAATTTTGATTCATTTCATTAAGGCGATATTTAAAGTACCATTCTTATTCAATATTTATTTATTTAAGCAAGCAAGCAGGGCGACAAGCGCCAAGTGTTTTGTACCATCGTTCCATTTTCTGGCTGCTTCTTCTTGAAACATATGAACTGGCATATTAACATTCGATTGTTCAGATAACAAAACTTAAAAAATTTTAAACGAGCACAACTCATTTGAAATTTTTTGAATTTAGTATCAAATTTAAAGAAATTTAAAGCAGAGAAAAACTTTTTAAAATTATTTAGCACCTGAATTACAATTCAACATTCAATAGTAAAAAATAAGGCTATTATATTACACAGCAGCAGCACATTTCAATCACAGCTATGCTCATTTATAACAAATTAATTATAATAATATAACATATATAAATAATTTAAAATAATTAAATAATAAATGTAATTTCAAGTGATTAAGTAATATATAAAATAATTAATTTAATTACCAATAAAGAAATTCAATTAGAACATGGCAGAGAAACAAAAAAAAATTCAAAAATATTGAAAAAGCTTTTTATTATAAGCAATTTTAATTCGATTTATTCAATTTTAAAATTTAGATCGTTTCTTTTCAGATCATTTAAAATGCTTTTAAAGCATTTTATCGAAACATTTGTTCCTATAATAAAAAACATCATTTGTTGGTCACTTTTTCAGGATAAATCTGTCGGACACTGCAAGTTGCGAAGAAATATCACGTTGATTATTATAGTGCGTGATTGGATGATAGTAACCGAATTTTGTATCACCAACGATTTTAGGTCTTTCATGCTTCTATTGTTATCCTTCACTGAAAAATAAGAAAAAATTATCATTATCGTTGCACTATAAAAAGTCTTAAAAGAATAGGAATAACAATAATTTTTAAATCTCGGTTTTTACATAATATTAGTGATAATTTTGAGTTAATCTTGGATTTTTGCATAAATTATTCATATTTCTCATGAATTATCTTTTTTCGTGTCAATAAATTTCAGTAAATTTCAGATCATTGCGATTCATTACAACACTAAGTGAGAAGTGGAACTATTTCAAAGATCGAAATTTTTTGTTAAAAAAGTACAGCAGAAAACGTTTTTTTTTCTTTATCACCTTGTATAGTTAACTTCATTTTCTAGAAGACAATGCCAGTCGTTTCTTTGTTGCGAACTGACTGTTGAGCATTCATATGGCGGTGGAGCTGCAAGAAATTTCTAAAATCAATTAAAGTTCTAAAATTTCTAAAATTCTAAATTTTCAGATAAAATTTCTTTCCTCTGAACGTGGTCAAAAAGCTATAATTCATTTCCAAAATGGAGTTAATAAATTCTCTTCTGAGCTTAAAGCTTTTGTTAGATTAATGCTAAAATCAGCGAGAAAGCAATCATCGTCGCCCTTTTTACAAAGAAATCGCGCAAAAAAAAGGAAATTGACAGAAATTTCAATGGTAAAATTAAAATTATCTTACTTCATAAATTTTTAATGCACTTCATTGTTTCTTCCTTTTTTTATTTAAAATTAAAAACAAGTCATAAAATCACTTTTCGACTCCATTATTTTACCTTTTTTCCATTTTTTATTTCTATAATTCATTTTCAAAATGGAGTTTTTAAATTCTCTTTCGTTCTTCATTCTTTTATTCTTTCATTCATTCATTCATTTCATTCTTTTTTTAGGAGATTACGAATTCCGAATTTTTATTCAATTTTACCGCTTTTTCTCGTAAAATTTATTTGTTATGGAGTTCATTCCAACTAAATTCTGTCTTTATTTTGGCATATTAGACAATGAAAATTCACAGTCACTCTCAATCACACAATGAATAAAAAATATATGAAATAATAAAATGATTCATATTATTACTTTTACTTCTTTTCTCTCTTCTATGGTCGCTCACCATTTCCGGTTAAGTTTTATTGGAGCCGACAAATTTTGCCAGGAATTATCTTGTCAACAGAAGGTTCATTTGAGTCGTCAGCACCATTCGGATTTTTGAAAAAAAAATTTACTTCTGCCGGAAACCCATTTAATCACTCCACACTTATCACGCTTATCATATTTAACCTAAGATTAATCCACAAATTATGAACCGATTTCTGCAGCTCAACAATCCGTCCTGGATGCGAAACCCAATCTTTAATATTTCTTCGAAAGAAATCTACTCAAATAGCAAAAAGTTTTACTATGTGATCACATACCAAGTGAAAGAACACGAAAAACTAACATATATCAATTATAGGCAAAAGATGATCAATTTGAGCACCAGGATAAAAACTTAAAAGAAAACGAAGTTCCACTGAGACTTGCTATGGAATGATTTTATAGTAAAAAATATCGGAAAAGACTAGAGTTGAAAAACCAATAATCGAAATTCCTGCCAAACACTTGTCGGCCGAAAATGAGCAGCTGGGAGAAAAAGACTTAATTTTGTGGCACACGTTCGAGATCCTCTAAAATATATCTTTGCTAGAAGGAATCATTTTTGCGTTTTTCCTTTAAATTTATTGAGCATTAATAATCACTAATCTAATCTCATCGAAGGTTTTTGGTTAATTTTATTTGATTTTTGATTTGCTTCAAATTTCGCTTGTTAGTAAGTAAATCATAAGCGCTTCAATTCACTTGAGAATTGCTTCTATTAATTAAAAGATATTCATTTCTCAGCTAAAATTTATTTGTTTGATATATATTTATTTCGAAATAGCGTGATACACGATTCTAATTTTAAATAATTTTAAAAAATAATTATTCAAAAACTGCTATATAAATTTATTTATCATATTTACTTATCGTTCTGTCAGAAATAAAATAAATTATTAAAATTCTGTTCCAACGTCAATTTTAGATATTAAGCAATATTCATTTACGCTAATCGCCCACAGAAAGCTCTTTGCAGCCAAAATTTTTCCAAAAGACCTATATGAATCAAAATTTCCAATTTTTAATTTTTCATTCAATGAAATGCCACGAGTGACCGCTCTATTTCATAGGAGATCCCAATAACAATAGGCTAGAAATAATTTTCATTTTCGAACAAAAAAACAAATTTTTCTGATTGAAAATGAGCAGAATAATTCTCTCATGGGAATTAGTACTTCATCCGATTTTTTTAAAACTAAAAAATTTCCTCTTAAAATTATTTCTTCATTCTACTAAAATTTAGCATGAAATTTAATTTTATATTTTCAAAATCCCGAATGTTTAATGATATTTTCACATTTTCGCCGCTGTAATAAAGCCCACTAGAATATGCTATAAAATATACTTATTGCAAAACGTTCACAAAAAAACTGATATCTTATGAGAAATTTTTCGACAAGAAATATTTGTAAAAGTGATTGTCCTCAACTTATTACAGCAATACGTTGGGAGTAATGAAAATTAGAAGCATTTATCGACAAAGAATTGAAAAAAGATTTCTATACAAAATTCCTTCAAATTCATTCTCGGATACTATAATTTTATTTTAATTGAAACCCCATTTAACAAAATTTATTTGCAAATCAAATATTTTTTTTAGCTAAATGAGAAGACTTTGGCAAAAGTCAAAAAACTTAAATAAAGGACGAAAATTGGAATTCAATTCCAAATATTATATCATATTTGTAAAAATATTGCAAAAACGTCAATTTTAGCATTAAAAAACCCATTTCTAATAAGAAATTCCAAATTTTATTTCATCGACATGAAATTATTTGTCACTTGCATGCAACACTGCTCAAAATAAACCGTTTTGCATGATTGTTCATAAAGTTGAGGATACATATTATGTCTGAAACATCTCATGCAAAAATCGGCTTTTCTTCTTTATCAATAATAGAAATCTCAATCACACTTTTCTCACTTCTTTCAATATCAGTCCGTCTTTAAAATGAACCATTTAGTTGCAGATAGCATAACTGATTATGAAAAAAGCGTGAAAATTCACCGAAATCTTTTTTATCCCATATTCAGCAAGTTAATGGAGCAAAATAATTAGTGTAGTAATTTATGCATTAAATTTTGCTGCAAATATTCTTTAATAAATATGGTATTTTTAACGAATTTGCAGTTAAGCACTCATTTAAAATTAATAGTAAATGGCTATAAAAATTAATGGAATTTTTATAATTGCTTATTTTATTATTAGCTTATAGTGATAATAAATTTCATTTTCCAAGCTAAAAAATTAATTCACCTAAAAAATCTTTAAGAATTATTTTAATTTTTAAATAAATCGTTAGGAAAGTTTTTATAAAATGGCCTTGAAAATAGAAAATTAGAGTTAAAGTTAATTTCAATCACAAATCAATTTATTTGTGTTTAGCTTATTTAATTTACGAATTCTTCTCGTTACTTTTATTATTCTGTCCCAGTAGAATACTAAATCTGTCAACATTATTGATTTTAGCGACAGATTTTAAAAACTTTCCGATAGCGAATTGCCAGTAAGAGCTTTTATAGAAGTCGAATATCGTAAAGTTCAACATGTGAGCGATTTTTTTTCAAGCAATTTTCTGGATTTCAAAAAATACATTCATTAAATTTCTTATTAGCCAAATTTGATACTATTTTCATGCAAAAAACCTACATGTGTAATTCTTTTTCGTGAAAAATTAATTCCATTGCTCGCCTTCTTAGTCTTAATTCTTCCGTTTGAAATATAAATTAATGAATTCTATTTTATTTATACTAAAAGATTAATGAACTTTTACTAAAAAGAATAATATTCTCAGAAATATATTCTAAGAATGAAAAACCGAAATTTTAACAAAAAAATTGAAAATGTAATTAAGAATAATTTAATGAGAGGAATAAAATAAAGAAATGAACCAAGTTAGATGCGTAACAAAATTGAATTTGTTTGATTGGTGATTTTCATTTTTTTTCTCAAATTTAGCTGAATTTTCTAAGGAATTTTATTAAATTAAATCGTTATGGTACGAGAGAATCTAAATTTCGCCCCCTTTTTCATCAAATCCATTTCATTCATTTAATGCTAATATTTAATGAATTTATTAAAGCGTTTGGGAAACCATCTAATCACCTTTAAATGATTAAATATTAAGAAAAACAGATTTTAAAGAGGGAAAATAAATAATGCAAGAAAAGACAATAAAATGATGAAAAAATTTATTTTTCTACAAATTTTTTAGATTTTTTCCTTTAATCATTTTGACATTAATTATAAAATGATTTTAATAATAATAATAAATAATTTAAAATTATTGGGAAAATTCTAAAAAAAATTAAAATTAAAATTTGATAAATCCCTACAAAGTTTATAGAAAACGTTTTAAAATTATGAAAAAATAGTTTCTTCTAAAATCTATAAAATAATTTCATTGCTTTTCAAAAATTCTTCTTTTATTTTATTTCTTCTATTTTTTCTGTTGTCTTCTATAACAGTTTCATTGCATTTTATTGCATTAAAGATAACAACATTTTTGATAAACGATTGTGGAAAATATTTTGCATTCCGAAATTCATAGAAGATTTGCTTTTTTGCTTAACATTCCCAGGCATTATTATTATATCCTCAGTTTACTTCATTATTTGATTTTCTATGATGATTTTCTCCGTCAAATTTATTAGCAGCAATATACTCAAATAAATTCAATTTCCTTTATCTTTTCCTGTTTAGCGTGTATTTCCTTAAAGAATAGTAATGAAGGAATTATTTCGGAAATATTGAAAATTTTATCGAAAATCTGTCTTAGAATCTCAATTCGTATGTGATTAAAATCCTTAAATATCCGAAGATTTTGGATCTAAAAAAACAAGAATTATAAATATTTTAAAATATTTCTTAAAACTATAAGTGGGCAAAAAATGAGTTCAATGCTGCAAAGTTTTAAACAATAAGCAGGATGGACGTTTCAAGTTCACTTTTTTAATGCTGGATTTTTCCAAAAGTTGCTAAACAGCGAATGCAAGAAAGAATGAGAGACAGCCAAGGCACTAGAAGAAGAGATCGGGGAAGTCTGCTTCATTCAACCGAAGCTTTATGACTAAACATACCTTCATATTTCATATGTTTCGTTGGTAATAAATCAACCGATCGATACTGTTGGTTGGTTTGTATTATTTGACAATCTAAAACAGGTTCCTTTCACTATGAAAATTCGTATAAATTAATCAGTGTGCTTCTAATCAATATTAATGAATATATTTATTTATTTATTTTCATAAAAAATTCAATATTCATGAAAATCCATGAAAATTGTGTTTGAAAACTTACGTGGATTATTTGCGTGGATTGGACAAAATGAAATATTTTTACAAAGGCACATTATTAATAATATTACCAATAACATTATAACAATGGTCGATATTATTATTAGTGCAAGATTGCTGAAATTTTATCATAATAAAATCACTTCCATTACTTCTAAAATTATTATTTGGAGAAAAGTCAAATGAAAGGTTAAATATTCGACTAATCGACTATTATTCATTGTTCGTCAGCCGCTGAAATAAGATTATAAAAGAATTTAATCGAAAAGGGCGAAAATTCGCTTCGCAACTTCATTTTTTCGACTTTTAGCACATTGCTTTTCTTTTAATAAAAGTGATAAACTATGTGTCGGATTCTGAATTTAATTTATAGAATCCAATCCGCTTAATGGCGAGGAAATCTTTCAAGGGAAATTTCTTTATACGGCGAATTAAAAAATAATATTTATAATATATATTTTTAAAAAAAAATTAAACTTCAAGCTTAGGGCGATGAATAAAAAACGTCGCATTAATTGAATAATTAATTTAAAATTAAATTAATAAAATTAAAATAAAATGATAAATTTATTGTATCGCTTCGAATTATTGAAATACGAAATTTTCTCAAAAAGAAAATTGAAATTAATTTATAAGAGCATAAAATAAAACATTTTAAAATATAATGCTTTTCGCTATTTTAAGTTATTATAAAATATACGAAAAAAAAGAAAAAATTAAAGAAATTTATAAATTTTTAATAAATTTGAAAAAAAAATTTTTTGATGAAAAAATAAAATGGGTAAAATATTTGATGAAATAATAGAATGAAATAAAAATAATGCAATCAAATAAACGTATAATTATATAATTAAATGTAAAGAAATTTTTTATCGAATTTTTAATTATTTAATAAAGCTTTTTTTTCAACTAAATTAATGAAAGAAATCGAAAAAAAATTGCTTCTCTCGTACTCGTTTGGTCGTTATGGATGACAGACGACGACTATTAAACGTTCAAGTAAGTTAATCTGCATACATCAAATAATTCATAAAATTTAGCGAATGCTTACTTCCTTCTCTTTCGACGGAAATCATTATATATCGCTCTAGCAGTTATGAAAAAAAAAATGACCTATACTCGGATTAGAATAATATTTTATGATATTTTATAATGTAACATCGATTTCGATATCCGAAAAAAACTTAAAATACTCATTTAACTTAACTAAAAAATAATATTTTAGATAATTTTGAAGAAAATAAATCAATTTTCTACAGAACATTTTCTTTTTTCTTATCATAGAAAAGTAGAAGAAAAATAGGAAAGAAAAAACAAAAAAAATGATGAATTAAAAATTGCCAGAAATACGACATAAATTTTATTAGAATTATATAAAAATTTATAGAAAATCCATCAAATATATACTATTTACACAAATCAATTCTGATTTAATTTATAAAAAAATAATAAAATTTAAAAAAAAACGATTCAAAAGTTCAATTCGATCTAATATCGGTTTTGTTGGGATTTAACTGAATGAATATGCTTGGATGAATAAAAATTTTTTTCTTCTGCATCAATGAATTCTTTATCTGAATTTTTTATCTCAAAAATTTTTATTTATTTATTTATGCATTCAAATTTCGTTCAATATTATGATTTTATTAGTTTTATTTATTATATTTTTCACTGAAATTTTTTCTATATATGCGTTGAAAGAATAAAAGCAAAATAATATTTACATTATGCAAAGTCGTATAAATATTAAAAAAAAGAGTCAATTACATTAAAAAAAAGTGAAAGTTTTCATTGTTTGATACCAACCCAACGAGTTTAACCAGTAATGGCGAAAACTCTTAAAAAAATATTTAAAAAATGAGGATAGGATAGGATTGCTTAGTGGGTTGTTGCTCAAATTGAAGCGCCAATACTCAGGTCCTATTCCCCGCAGGAGCAAACCTGTCCGAAAATCCAGGTGATGCTGGCGAAGCACCTGTATTTCTATCGCCAAGGGACTCTCTGGCATATTTGTCCAATGCGACAAGCCAGCAGAGCAAGTTTGATAATGGAAAAAACTCTCACAAAAAAACATTAAAAGAAATAAAAGTTTTCATTGTTTTATGAGAGAAGCAAGCAAAATTTCCTAATAACTCAAATCATAATTTACAAATATAGATAAATATTTGGGAAAGGCATAAGTAACTGGCATTATCTGCAAGAATATCTTCTCTATATGGCTTTGACTAGGAGATTTCCTGAAAAATCATGCGGAATAATGAAGCCAAATTTTATGCGACTTCTCCATCCATTATAGAGGTTGGGAAAGGGATTTTTATTTTTAACATGTGAGCGATCAGAAATTTTTCCAATTTATAAAGAAAATATAATAAAGTTAGAATGGTTAGTTCTTGCTGTCATTTCGGGAAGCCGATCTGTGGTCTAACTGCCAAAATGTGATGGACAACATAACCTATCTTTCTAAAAATCCGTCCCGGCGGACCACTTGTATTTTTATTGCTAAGTGATTCCCTGGTAAAATTAATTGTTCTAACCAAAATAGCTAAGCGAGCTTAGCTAGAAATAATAAGCGCTCTTTAAAAAAAATTGTATATATACAAGTTCAAGAAATAAATATTCTTTCTTAATTTTCTTAATTTTATAGTAAAAGAATAGGAACTGAGTAAAAATAAGTAAGAAAAATATGAATAAAGAATGGCTAAATTTTTAACTAATATGAAATTAATGAATTAGTTAGGCGTATTGAATTAGATAAATAAATCATATAATTCGTTCTATCCATTATTTATAATCGTCCGAATAAATTTTAAATGCGAAAACTAAAAAATTCGAATTTAGAAAAAATTAATTAAATAAATCTCTTTTTGTGGATAATTAAATCGTCATTCTTATTGAAACAAAATTTAAAAAATAGCTATTTTGTTTAATCAAAATTTTTAACTAAAAAAAAACAATTAATTGTAAATTTTATAAATTGAGTTTTATGAAAATTCAAAACGACAGTTATTTTAATAAAAATCAATGGCAACTAAAAAAAGCTGCAGACATCTCATCTTGCTTTTCTCTTGATTAATAGCTTTTTTCAAAAATAATAATAATTTGTTCGTTATTGCGGCCAAGTGAAAGAAATGATAAACAAAAAAAAATGGTTTAGAAACTGAAAATCCCCAATAAGTTATAAAAATTTTGAAAAAAAAGTGGAAATAATGAATGGAGTTAATTGAAATTGTCACTCAGCTAAGAAGATCGTATAATAGTTTTTTATCAATTAAGTGATTAAAATGCTGAAATATTTAAAAAATCGAAAAAATCAAACCTACTTTTTAAAAAATAATTTCCTCAATTGAGCTGTTTGAATATCTTGCAATTGTTTGAGATGCTCAAACGTACAACAATAATAACTGCCGGGCACGACTTGTGATGGACAACAATATTCTTCATTAATGTTATCCTTGAAATCTGGGCAAATTTTCCTTTTATTTGTTTTCGTTATTGTTGTTGTTGCAGTAGTTACATCGTTCGGACATAATAAACTATTTGTTAATTTTATTAAAACCAATAATATTAAATTTATTGGTCCAATTTTCATATTCGTTCGAAGCAATTCAAATAAATCCATTTGATTTGCCTTAAAAAATTTTTTAGTTTATTTGCATTAATGACTTTCAGCGAAAAGAAATTCATCTCGTTAAAGATAATAAATAAGCACACAAACGCCTACACATGCAAATATGGAAATATACCGTTGATTTCAGGTTCAATATTAGATTCAATCCATACTGCAATACATTTATTCAAAGGCTAATGACGGCACTTAGAAATTTGCATTTGTGATGGAACAGAAATATATTTACGAATTAAATAATTATAATGAAGAAATTTTTATTTAAAGAATTTATAAACAAGTAAATATTAATTAATTATTATAAAAGAAGAGAAAGAAATTTTCAGAAAGGAATTTTGTTAATTATTATACGAAATAAAACGTGAAAATAGAATAAATAGAATGGAAATGAAAATTATTTATTCATTGCCAGTAAAATAAATAGTGAATTAATGAAAAGTTGTGTTTATTATTAAATGATAATAAAAATATAAAATAATAATTATTGATATTTTAATAATAAAAATTATATTTCAGTAGTATAAAATTAATTTAAAATATTAGAAGGAAAGGAAAGGTGAAGGAAATGAAAAAAAGAAATATTGTAAATGATTAGGAAAAAAGGAAAATAATTACAATCCTTCATTTTTATAATAACCGCAACGCAAATAAATTCAACTCCACCCAAAGGCTTTTTAAAAATTTTTAGTTTTCTTTAAAACCACTCCCATTCTATTTTATTTTATTTTATATAATTAAAATAATTTACTAGGATTTTTTGAAAAAAAGAGAAATTTTTTAAAATAGATAAATAAATAGTTTTTTTAAAAATAATGAAAGCAATTATTTCAATTAATTATTAATAATAATTATTATTATTATCGCTTTGACAAATAATAAATTATTGTTTAAAAATATTAAATAAATAAAAAATAAATTATAATTATTAATTTATTAATTAAGCAGATAACGATAGAATATGAAAATAAATAAAATTTAAACTTCATGAAGCTTTGTTATATTCGATTATTGCTTCATCTATGTCCCTTATATCCTTTAACATCCCCTCAAATAATGTAAAACTTTTCCATATCTTTCCACAGTGCTCTCCATAATCCACGTCTTTATTCAGTTTTACTTTTATTGAATTGGTTTTCACCACAAAAATTTATTAAACACTTGAAAAGCACTTTAACTTCACTTTGAACTTATTTTTTTCTTTAGCAAAAAATATATTTAACTTTACAATATTTAACTTCTGAAAATTGTATATGGAAATCTCATAAGATATTTCTTTTCATTTTTACTGACTTTATAATTAATAATTCTATTTCGTTTCTATAGCAATAAAAAATTTTTTTGATTTTACTAATATATAATAGGTATATAAATTAATATTGCCAACAATAATTGTTTTTATTTTATTGCATTTTTTTGTTGATTTATGCTTATTTATTTATTTATTCATCCATTTTTAATTCATTTTATTTCATCTTTTTTTATTTATTTTGTTTTCTTCATTTATTCACATTTATTTCCAAGACATTTTTTGCATTCAAAATATTTTTTATAGTTTTTTGAATAATTTTTTATAATAATTTTTATTGATTTAAAATGGTTTAAAATAAGATAAAATAATTTTAAAATATTTTAATTTTTATTACTAATAATTTGATTTGATTGTTTAAAAATATAAACACGAAATTCCTTGCAAGTATATTTTAATTTCATAATTTTACTGAACTGCCATGATTTGCGGAAAAAAATTATTGTTTAATGAAAATCAGTAAATAATAAATATTTCGAAAATGAAATATTGCAAAACAATTGCAAAGTGAAAATTTAAAATATTCTGTCAAATCTGAGCTCTCGAAAATCACGGATAATAATATTAAATATAAATTGTAGAAAATTCTAAAATTGATTCGAAAATTTTGATTTCGAAGATCAATAAATTCATTTAGCGATTTAATTCATTATTTTAACTAATGAGTGAAAAAGTTAATTGTCAATAGTTAATGGATAATAAACTGATAATTTATTTGCCGTTATCAACTGTTTCCAAATTAAGAAGTGGGCATCCTACTAAAGATTTTCTTTTACTAAATAAACTTGATAAACTGCTTTCAAAGCCGACAATTTTATGTGTCTCACACCCTTACCCATTTGGCGCTTCACTGCTGAGTGTATTTTGGTGAAGAATTTTAAAATGTATTGAAAATGTAATAGTGGCTGGATTCATTAAAAGGCTTTAAGGTAGTCTAAAATGAAATTCAAAATTTATCAATTAAATAATTAATAATTATTAGATAATAATTTCATTTGAAATTGCATTTCTTTACCTACCAAATCGCTTTCTATTTTCGATTTTTATGAGAACAATTCTGCTTAATTCTTAAATTATAGAATTCTCTAAATACATTCATCGATAACACAGTTAAGCGAATTATTTAAGGAAATTTTGAAAAAATATTGACAAAGAAGAAAAAAACTTTGATAATATCGATAATACTGATAAAAAACCTGGATTAATATGTTAAAATAAGTCAAAAATTTTGTTATACAAAGACGAATTTTAATTTGAAGCGCAATTTGAAATCGTCTTCTGAATGTTCGCGCTTCGGATCGCTCTCTTTTTTTGGTAAAAGAATCATTTGAAATTCCAAAAAATTTTTGTCAAAATTTTAATAATTTTTCGATTTATTCACTTAAAATTTCAAATAAATGAATCCTATTCATTTAACATATCATTTAATAAAATTTACAAAGCTAATGATAAACATACTCTGATATTGTAATATGTTCCATATCAATCATTGTAACAATTGTTGTTATGCATTCTTACACTAATCTTTTTCAAGAACTTAATAGAAATGAAAATTTAATGAAAGGGTAAGGCCTCGCTCGTTCCTACTCGTTAACCTTTAGCAAACTTCAAATAATCTCAAGTAATTGTGCTTTAAAATGGTGGAAGATTGCACATTATATAAAAAAGTACCAATTAATAAGAGTTGAAAGACTACGATGAATAAAACTATATGTTTATTTAGTTCATACATGGAAATATAAAATAAAATCGCAAATTTCTTGCGTATCGATAAATTACTAAAGACATTGCTTTTCTGTGGATTCTGCGGATTGAGCAAATTTGATTTTGATGCCCCTTACCATTATAGCTTATTCGGTCTGTTAATCGGTCTGTTAGATTTTATATTTAAAAACTCTGACTGTGGTTGAAATATTCAGATTAAAACCTTTAAAAATTAATATTCGGATATATTAGTATATTCGAAAATGAAGCAATGAGGAGAAACTTAAAATGGAACCATTTTAAGCAATAAAATGAGAAGTTCAAGGAAATATTAAATGTAATTGCTGTTTGCAAAATGTACAAATCATTTTGGGTAAATGCCAACTCGTAAATTAAACTATTTTCGAATTCTCATTCATGAATTATAAATTTTGATAAAATTTCACAGATTATTGGTTATCGACGATTTATTTACTTTTCTTAGATTCTTTGGTAAAAAAATGAAAAGCTATTCTTCACAAAAAACAACAAATATTTATTAAATTCCCACCAACGTGAAAATGAATAAATTTTTATGAATAATTAAAATATTCATTCTGAATAAATAAATTTTCTACATAAATTTTCTAATAAATCGTAATTTGCATAATTTTTGTAATAATTTGCAATAAACATTGAAAAATTCTAGAAAATAATTTTCCACATCAATTAAACTAAATTTTAAACAATAGAAATAATATTCGTTGACTGACAGCTTTATATTTCATTTTGAAAGTAAAAGAAAAATTGAAATATTCGCTTAAAGGAGGCGAAAGTAGAATAAACAATCGCCTTTTACCTCTTATCAATGAATAAATTAACTTATCAAAATTCATATCAAAATGGTGTTATAAGATAATTGCGAAATCTATGAACATATTATGTTATATCTCATTTTTCATATACGTCCATAACAGCATGTCAATATTGTCAATGAAAAAGGTCGCTTGTTTACATCGTTAGCTGTTGAATAAATTGCTCGAATAAGCCATATAATAATGGATGGTGATTGTCTCATTTTCTAATTAAGCTTTTTAAATTTCTCATTTTCTTTTATCATTTCAAAAAACTGAAAAAATAGAAAATGAATAGAAAAAAATGCATGTAAATGCTTATGAAAAATATGCCTAATTTTTAAAATCTTCGTCAATATTTTCTTCTTTTGAAAATAATTCTTTGCTTTGGGTAATTCCAATTTTCAATATACAGTAAGTAAATTGGAAACACTGCGAACAGAAAGAACACTTATATAAAAATTTTTGGAAATTTTAGGTACCATAAAAAATGATTTGTTAAAAATAATTTTAATAAGTAAATCGAATAATCGGTTAGATTTCGATCTATTAGTTGGATGAAGAGCGAACGTTAAGAAAACGTTCAGTTAAGATCATAAGTTCGGTTGCTGCATTTTGACAGGAGTAAAACGTAGCTGCGTTTGATCTGCACTTAAATATACTCTCTGGTCTTATTTAAAAATCGTCAAAGCAACTAGAAGAAAAGAGAAAAGAGATTTTAGAAGAATGATGAATGAATAATATGAAAATGTATGAGAAGTATGAAAGTATCATTGATCTGCATAAATATTTTATCAATTAGCAGTAGATGATGATAGCAACTGTGATATATGATATGATATATCAATAAATGATGTGTATCAAGCCCATTAAATATGATAATATATTTTTTTAATATATTAATGGGACAAATGAGAAAGATAAATTAACCACTTTATCACTTGATAAGCCTATGAAAGATTAATTTCTATGCAGTTCATTTGCAAAGCTTTGGAATTGTTTTTTTGGTTAAGAAAAAAGATCTTAGCTAAATTTGACCTGAAATTTTAATTCCTATGAGCAAGGATCACCTTATTGCAATATTAAATATCAAAAAATTCAATTCAACTGGTAGCATTTTT